GAGAAAAAAAAAGAGAATTGGATATAGTCGTTTTCTAGGGATAGAAGACGAGGGAATTGGAAACGTTGGGGGGGGGGCTTGGTTTTGAGAGAAACCACGAGAGGGCTAGCATTTGTCTTAAAGTAAGGGGTTTTGTGAATCGTTTTGCGCTAATGAGTGAGTGCTCAAGGCGATTTGGATGACTCTGCTATTTGATGTGATTTGAAGATTTGCGTCTAGGTTTTGAGAAATAGTATGTAAAGACGACATAGTTTATGTTGAACAAAACGCTTAATGGAGATGAATGCTAGGTGTTGACAGAAACAGGAAGAAACAAAACTACTATCGTAATGTGAACAGCCAGCCAGCCAGCCAAGACCTGTCTGTCAGCAGCACACTCAAACCGCCACCTCGCCATTCGCATTCTGGTCCTTCAAGACGTCCGGATTCAGAGGCTTACTCGCATCATACCCCAGCTGTTTGACAATGCCCAACCCTTTCGTCCGGCCCTCACGGAACAATATCCTATCGCCAACAGCGAGATACTCCGGGCGCTGCACGAAGCGGAAAGCGACAGTCGCGCGGTCGCCCGTGCGGATATAGCTGCGATCGATGTCGATGATCGCACAGGTCTGCGACACGGGTCCGACGTGCAGCATGGCCTGGTACTTTGTCTTGATGGTAGTAGCGTGGCTGAGGATCAGGACCTCGGCGACGAAGTCGCGGTATACCTTTGGTGCGGCGGCGGCGGCGTTTTCGGGCTTGTGCAGGACGACCATGCCTTTGCGGACGTCCTTTCGGCGGACGTTGCGGAGGGCGAGCGAGGCGCTTTGGCCGGCGGAGCAGGCGGGGACGGGGATGCGTTTGCGCTCGATGGAGCGGACTTTTGTGGTTGTGAATTGGCCGAGGGAGTCTGGGCCGACGAGGATGGTGTCGCCGGTGTGGATGACGCCGGATTTGACGACGCCGGAGATGACGGTGCCGACGAAGGGGACGGAGAAGGTGTCGTTGACGTGGAATTCGAGGGGGGCGTCGGCGTTGTAGTTACCGTGGTGCGGCAGGATGTTGAGGAACATGCGGACGAGATCGAGGGATTGGCCGGTGACGTTGGAGACTTGGAAGATGGGGCAGATGCGGCGGGAGACGAATTGGGTCTGTCAAATTGTTAGGACGAAGGGGCGGATAAAGGGGGTCTAAAGAGTGCTTACAGCGGTGTTGACGCATTCTTCGCGGTTCTTGATGAACACTGGGATTTTGCGAGCACCTTGGGATTTGAGGATTTTAGTCAATTGCGTTATGGTCTGTTCCAAGATATTTGGCGGGCAGATGTCGATTTTGGTTATGACCACCATGACTGGGACATTGAGCGCCAAGGCGATACCGAGATGCTCTCTGCATACAGGTTAGCAAGGTGGAGACAAGGGCTGTAAGTACATAAACTTACTTGCTCATACCGATGAGGCCGTTATTCGCAGCAACCATTAGAAGACAGTAATTCGGCTCGCTGCTAAGCAGACCAAACACAGTGGTTCGTAGATAACGTTCATGGCCTGCCAGATCAGTAAAGCTTATCACTTTCGCCTACAGCAAGTCAGGAAAGATGGCGCAACAAGCAAAACCATGACTCACTGATCGTCGTCCAATCTCCTCCCATGTGAGTTTCCTCCCAGGGACATTAGATGTCACCACATGGCCTTTGGAGTCGAAACCCATAATCTCCATGCCGACCGAGCTAGTTCGACCACTCTCAATCTCATGTTTATGTCGGAACAGGTTCACACGCGCTTTACCACGGCCATCGTCGAGACCTCCTTTCACCAAAACTCCCAACATGGTACTCTTGCCAGCATCCACTGCATGTATCTGTCAGCCAATGCAAATCGAAAGGGACACTCTTGAACAAAGCACTCACCATTTCCAACCACCGCAATCCGCGTCTCAATCACGTCATCCACCGTCTCTGGCTTCCGACGTATCATCAACTTCCCCGACGAACTCTTATCCTTCGCATTCGCAGGCCCGACATCCTCCTCACCACCCACATTCCGCGTCATGAGCAATCGACACTCCGCATTCGCCACCACGGCAGCCGCCTCGAGCCGCTCGAGCGCAAAGCCCCAGTCGTCGATGCTGAACCCCATCGAATCGCCATTATCCTCCAGACCGAGGTCGAACAGCGTCTCGTTGTGGCCCTCGTCCATGCGCACGGTCAAGTGCTCCGCCAGCGCCCTGACGCATTCCTCCGCATCCGTCTGCTTGTCCAGCAGCACCTCCCTCAGCCGGATATGGCTAGATTCCTCGTCGAGACCGAGCTGGTCGATTATGTCGAGCTCGTCGTGCTCTTCGAGGGGGGGCGCCGGGGCGCCTGGTGCTCGTCGGAGGGTCTGTTGCTTCTGGACGTAGTCGGCGAAGTCGCTGAGGGCCTAGTTGTGCAGAGTGCATTTCAGCTGCTGTTCTACTGGTGCTTCTTCTCCCCCAACAGGTCATACGTACAGATTCTCCCTTCCGGCGGTCTTGTGGTGTCTGTGGCACCTGTTTGGTGGTTGGTGCCATGCTTGCTGTCGTTGGCTCGTGTGTATATTTAAAGTTCGTGCTCAGGTCAACGTTCGTAATATCCGTAAATAGAGTAATATACGAGTTATGTGGGTGACGTCCATTAAGTTGTGCATCTGCGCAAGACGAGGTTTCAAGGAGGAGGAGGGAATTAGAAACAAATTGGGGCTGTGAGGGCAATCAATGATCTGTTGATTGCTCCTAGAAAGGTGCACGTTGGAGGCAGCGCAGCTAAATAGATATGTGGAGACTCTAATCGATAGAGGAGTCATTGTGGAGTGACTAGTCATCCATGCTTGGGCCGAGTTCCTGCATTGAGATACCGCCTGTTCCCTACGAGCTTGACTCATTACCATGAACATCTACACAACCACAATTAGTAGTAGCGCACAAATAGATACAATGAGTGCGGTCTCTCTGCTTGGACATTATTCGACGATCATCATTACAGGTTCACATGTCGTGTTGTAAATGCATAGATTTACACAAGAGGCAGATGCTTGGCAAACCAGATCGCGAAGATCCCGTTACTATGGAGTAGGCTAGCTACTGCTACTCCTTCCCCCTTCCCAAAACATTTGGTTACCGAACTTCATGGTAATCATTACATTTGTCGGCCTGTTGGTAGACAGCTCTTCCCTAGTCTCAATGGTCAGGAATCCAAAGACCTGCAATGAATCCAAAGACGGGCAATGAGCAGTCAGTCTCTTGCTCGACCTGCTCCCCTCAGCCTATAGTAAAGTGCTTGATAATCTTCTGGTCGTAAGAAGGATCATACGTCTCGTCTTCGCCAACAGCTATTCTATAGGCAACCTTGGCGTATCCCTCTGCCTGTATTGCTTTCTTTTCCGCACCACTTGCCCGAAAAGCGGAGCGTACATGCTGGAAAGCCTCGACTACGTGATCCAAAAAGTGGCCCCAAGTAACGACACGGAATTCAACATCCGATGCTTCGAAGCCTGTCACGACGAAGCCAAGTGATTCGAGCGCGCTCTTGCCGTGCACCAGAGCGTCCATATACTTCTTGTCTTGGATGAGGAAGCGTGTCAGGGCCAGTTGCGGGTCAAATATTTTCACACGTGGAACGGCGCTTGTTGGCTGCGGATATGTCTTCTGCAGAGCATCCAGTGTCCGCTGGATATTGCGAATTGTATCAGGATGATTTAGAGCTAAATCGAAATCTCGCTCTAGCCTCTTGTGAATCTGTTGTCGCTGCTTCGTGGTCGCTGGCTTGGTCGTTTTGGTGTCAAGACAGATGGTGCACTCGCAACGGAAGCCCCAGTGCTCAAATACATTTTCAAGCTTCTTTGCAGGTCTGTAGGTGAAGAGGATCTCGGCGCCGGGCTCGAGATCTCTGGTTGCGCGGACTACCATCATGTCACCAATGAAGGACCTGTGCGCGTTACTACGACAAGAGTGATTGATGTAGGACGCCTTGATCCAAAAACCGGAGCTGTGGTGCACACTATCTTCTTTTCGACTCGCCGCCATCATTGTGTCTTTCCATATGCCGATGCTAGAGTCTGGGCAGCCAAAGACATTGAGTGTCATGATACGCTCGACGAGGAAGCTGTGAGCAAGTGTCAGTACAAGGCTTGTGTTGAGAAGTTTTCTTTAGAAGTATACATACGTATCGACAATTGGTTTATCATCGACAAATGGTGTGCTGGGCGACTCATACTGGCCATGAAACAATGTCTTGAATGCTGGTGCGCGAGATGGATTACACCATAGCTTTCGAACCAGTTTTGTCAAGAGATCAGCTTGCGTGCCCAAGAAACCTTGGTTTGTTTCAATGTTCATCAACAGAGAGATCTTCGAAGTGTCTCGATTCACCACGGACCCTTCTGATTCGGCGTATGCGTAGCCAAATGCCTTCTCACACAGAAGCAGGTCGCCAGCCTTGATGGCCTGAGTAGCGAACAGACCGCGCCCTTTGGATGCAGTCTGCCGCACCTCGACAGGCCCAGTGAACGTAGCATGATTCAACTGAGGAGGGCGCATAGTTCGAGCTAAAGCCTGCATTCTCTTGAAAGGATAGATGCCGGTTGTTTGCTCCGTGATCCTATCACGCGCTCTTGCTAGGGCAGTTGGACCATCGCTGTCATTAGAGAAGGCGGAGCAGAATAGCTCGAGAGTCTGGCAGCATTCATCGTATCGTTCAAGATTGTAGAGAGTATCAGCAGCACGGAAGAGTGCCTTGTTGTTAGGCTGTGCACCAAAGGATGGAAACCCCGTGTCAAGAAGCGCTGCATCGAACTGTCCAGTCTTCAGATATGCTAGCGCTCGATTTCTTTTGAGCATGGCAAGCTCCTCTTCCGTGACATTTTCATGGTCAATACCCTCGGAGTAGCTGCACGAGTTAGCTGTCAGGCATATCCGAAGTCTCGAAAGAGGAGTTTCTTACAAATCGATGGCCTCATGGTAACGCTTCTGTGCCACTGCATCATTGCCTTTCTTCTTTAAGGCCTGCACCGAGGCTTTCACCTTTAGCATTCGAGATCGCCACTTGGCAGGTACCATGGAGTCGTCATGTTTGGTCCAGACGATGTCCGACAGATGGTCCACGCGAAGGCCGTATCGACCATCTGACGTGGCCTTGAAGTAAGGCTCCTTGACGATCAGGACTGTACCTTGGCCAAAGAAATCGGTTGCTCTCCGAACTTCCTCGTCCTCCTGTTGATAGATCATCAGCAGTACCACGTCATCTTTCTCATCTTCCGTAATTGCCATGATAGCACTCATCCTGTTAGGCGGGGTTATGGTCCTCAGAGTGAGGAATCTGCCGCGATGATGAGTCTCGAGCTGGAGGTCCTTGATGAAGATAGGTGTCAAATCGACAATGGATGTGGCACAAGGTGCGTAAGCTGGCGGTACGAAGGACGAATGGATTTCGTGTTGTCGACTCTGCATCACCGTCGAAAGGTATCCCATCATGAAAGTGTTATACGCCTCATCTCGCGATTCGCGGTTGTGCAGTCGCTGACCACGACGCGACTGAGCTTTATGAAGCAGCTGCCTCTGCGCCTCCAGCGCCTTCATGTATGGTCCCAGGAAAGTATTTGAATCCATGATATAGGTGCTCTAGAGTTCGTCTGAGTTGGGTGAAGGAGAGGTGTTCAGAGACAGGATCAGGCTGGCTATATATATAATGAAATAGATCACATGACAGAGGTAAAGAACTTGTCTTGCGATCATGCACTGAACAATCATACGAGGTTGATGTATAGAAGGAAACACATACGCAAACGCACAGATGTTTAAAAACGAAACTCTGAACCACCTTTGAGTATTTCCATAGCAAAGTCGTGATTGCTGTTCACCTGCTGGATGTGCTGTATTTGTTACAATCCCTGCGTGTGAAATTAGTGGTTGAAAACTGCATTCGCCGAGTTTCGCGCGTCGAATGGCATTTTCACTCGTCCTCCACTCGGAGCACGTAGCTTCCAAACTCCCTCGCCGACACACCCTTCTCGAACAACAGATCAAGCTCCTCGAACGTCCTCCCACGCGTTTCCGGAATTCGAAAGTACGCCCACGCAAGACAGATTGCTGCCAGCCCGCCAAAGAAGAACCCCAGCTTCCCGCGCAGATTCGCCTCGTCCGGCGCGATCATAAACGGTATTGCAACCGTCATGGCTATTCCAAGAACGGCCTGAACAGCCGTCGCCACAGCAATAGTCTTCGCTCGCACCTTCGTCGCGGAGCATTCGCAGATAATCACGAAACAGATCGGCCCGACGCTGATGCCGTAGAAGAAATTCCACACGAGCATTAGCGCAGATTGTGCCCAGATGATACCCGTGTTCGTTTCGCGGCTCGGCACGCAATCGAGGACGCCGATGATAAGCTGAATGATGGCGAGCATGGCCAGTCCGGAATTGTAGATAGTACGCCGGCCAACGCGTACCATCAGCGCGAACGAGATGAGCGTACCGATAAAGCCAACACCCAGGAAGCCGATAGACATATCGAAGGCCTTGTCTGTTGACAGGCCAGCCTGTACGAAGAAGTACGTGCCATAGTTGATGAGGTAGATGCCACTTAGCACCTGTGTCGCATATACGCCGATAGATATCTCAGTACGGCGCAAGTTGATGCGCCGGAAACAGTCCCAGTATGTGCTTCCCGCCTCCATCTCCTGCTCCAGTCGATCCGTTTCAATGATCATAGCGAGTGTGTTTTTAACGTTCACGCGCGGCGAGGCGAGACGGCGAAGGGATTTCTCAGCTTCTTCGAATCGTTCCTGGCGCGCAAGCCACCAGGGCGATTCCGGCGCAAAGGGTATTCCAGGCAGGATGATTGCAATCCAAACCCATTGCAGGGCAAAAGGGATGCTATATGCCCAATGGCTGTCCAGCTTGCTAGTTCCTGCGGCGACTCCGTTCGCGATGAGTTGTCCGATAACGAAGCATAGGTTGATATAGCTCGTCAGTTGGCCTCGAATGGCTACGGGACAGACTTCCGAGGCATAGGCTGGAGCAATGACGACGTATGCTCCCAGAATGAGACCTCCTAGAAGCTCCCCCACGAGAAGGACAGGCAATGAGCGAGCGAAGAATTGGATGAAGACGCAGCCACATGTACCCATGACACATACCGCAAAGGTTTTGCGGCGACCATACCATTCCATAGGGTACGCCGAAAAGAGAGCGCCGACGCATTGGCCGATAGGATTGCCCATAGAAAGACCCGATTGCCAAGGTGCAGAAATGATATACTTATAACCACATCAGCGAGTGTGCATCTCACAATGAAAGTAGTCCTTCCTACAATGCATATGCGGACAGAGTACTTACCTCGCCCTTGAATTCATATCCAAAGTCCCGCTGAAACGCTGGGACAGCGTACAGGTTTCCAAGCAGCTGCGGATCAAACGCAAGCATAATAACCCCTAGCGAGAAAAAGACCGACCAGCCGATTGCTTTTGGATACAGCTTCACAGCCTCGACAAAGCCCATTTGGTGCTCAGCATCGAGCGCATCCCGGACGTTATCATCCTTCATGAGACCTTGCGGAGTGTATGCCTCCTCCACAACAGCTCCATGATGCTGTTCAACGTCCTTCGCGCCCATGATACCGTTCAAGGAGTCCACGCTCTCCGTCTCGTTTTCGTCGTCACCTTCCTGGTCTGCGTTAGATTGTAGAAGCGGTTGCGTTTGTTCTTGCTCTGGGGCACAGCGGTCAGATATAGTTTGTCGAGAGAATGGAACCCCCCTCATGGCCGGCATGTAAGGGTAGTATCATAACGTCTCTTCTATGGGTCCCTTGTTGATCTGGTTATCTCTCGGGATGCCTATCGCATCGTCGGTTGACGTCGCGGAAGAGCCGCCCAACTGGCCGAGACCAAGCCAGCAACGGCAAGTGGATCGCTAGATAGGGCTAGCCCGATAGGGGTGTAATGGACTAAGTCCGTCCAGTCATGTGTTTTGCCTTTGTTTATCACGGCCTCACAACTAAAATATACACACCAACATCCTGTTTTTACCTGCAATCAAAGTCCTACACTCATAACAGGGACGTGAAGTGATTCGCCCAAATATGAATATTTTCTATTCAGGCGCTCATAGCATGTTGCGTCAGCCAATGCTGACGGCATGCCAGGCTCACCAGATCAAGAAGCAAGCATATACCTACTCTGTTATTCCTGTTGGCATAGACTGCAATTCACTGCGAGCTTGTTTCACGCGTGCAAAAGTCATTGGAAGATGAATATGTAGGGACACCTCAATTTGATATCATCGCGCTAAAGAAAGTAGTCGCGTTGGAGGCGTGATGAGCATTAGTGGAACATAGGTTGTTACCTTCAAACTGGAGTTGAGCTACCCTCGGTTTCACTGACTATGTGGAATTTTCTTCTTCTCCTCGCGGAGGTTTGGTGATACTTCCTGGATAGATGCATTGCTATATTGTGCAGCCAGTGTAGAGGTTGGGGGCTCTATGTTCTTCGTGCCGGCTGATGCCACTATAATTGATTGATGGGAGATAGCCGTACTGTATCTAACAAGTGCGAGTTATGCTGTGGTGCACAGTTAACAGTATCGGTGGCTGGCATTCGAGAGCTGATAGCGCTAAGCGCACGAAGGATCGAGTAGTTCAGTTGTCGGATTGCAATGATTGCAGGAGAGAGTCCAGATAAACATGCGTCACAAAGAATGTCGTACTGACGAACTCCTCTCCACCACAGACTCTTTGTCGTATCTTCATCGGAAGTTATAGGAATTCTCCATAGAACGTGACTATAACTACTTAGCTAGACCAGAGCCACAACTTCTATCGAAATGTAAGCTGGGCCCAAATCATCGGCGTTACATGCTCCAGTAAGCAGGCGCAATGCCAGGTTGAAAGCGTCGACGGAACGATCTTCTCGGCCAACGAGACACATGTGCACCATCAACCCAAGATCGCGCAGAGACACGGCCGGAAAGACTCTGTCTGCGGTCACCTCGAATTTATAACGCAGTGCAGAAATGCAACGGAATGGGAATCAAGGCAACCTCGCACTTCAACCACCTCGGTGTGCCTCCGTCACCTAGGAAGGAACCACAGTCGGATCTACGACATTCAAGGCGTAAGCCTCCCTCTGCATCGGAGGGGTAGCGGCTTGCTATCGGTGCCACGGGCTGTGATTGGACCTTGTTAAGGTCATGGTGATACGAAGATGTTGCTCAGCACGAGATCTCTCCTGTGATCTGGCAAATGCTACCAGAAAGGTCGTCGCGACTTACAGATGCAGGATACAAAGCATCATGTGCTGTCTACGGACGTGGAAGACACCTGTGGTATGTTCTCGACCTGACCCGAAGACGTTACGGGAAACACGAATGGGGGACGTGGGCCTATCGTGGTACAGCACACGCAATCGCTCCTCTCTAACGTCGGAGACGGAACTTGGGCATGGAGGCCGTGCTGGGTATGTCTACGATCTAGATGTAAGTAATTTGTAGTGCAGAGTCGATGCAGGTGGGACAAAGTCTCGCATATTATGCACAGGACCAGAAATGAACGCGTTGTCTGTGTCTTTGCCAGGTCAACGCGTCGTCCAGTAGCCTTAGCTCATGCAGTTGTTGAGGACATGAATTGAGCAATTGTGGAAACCGAAGAGGTCACATTGAATCGTGAAACCACGTTCAATGTTATATGCGATTGACCGTAGGCCATAATTCTGGTGGACCTGGTTTTCGAAAATCTCAGGTGATAGCTGCGAATGTGGAGTTTCGTGTCCCTGGATAGAAATATGAGCTCAATAACAGATCCAAGACACGATCTACAACTGGCCTAATCTGCCGAATGCAGGCTCGAGTACGACTAGACATGAAAAGTATAACAGAGGCATAGAAAAATTGCGGTCTGTATCTCTATTTTCTCCCGCGTGCTACAGGCGTCGCGAACAAGGTCATGCAGTTGTGAGTCGAAAGGGCGGTGGACCGAAAGAGGTGAGATGAAGTGACGCCAATGGAACGATACTACCAGAGCGAGACGAGGACTAATTTGTGAATAGGGAGGTGTCATACATAGAACTGTTCATTAAGTTCCTCAGTATTACAATACCATGGAGAGTAGATCTGGCGGGCATATGCAAGCGATGCCGCCTATTTCTGGAGACCTGTTGTGATAGATTATCATAGGGATAATAAATATCAGAACGAGAACTTTTTTCAGAGGAAACCGAACTGTCGTTATTGAATTGCCGAATGGCTATGCAATCAGGTATTGCTCGGAGAAAGGGCACCTCGCTCACCAATGTGAGATCGACCAGGAAGACAATGGAGGCATTCGGTCAACTACGAAATCAGCGCAAGTATCATAGTGTTCAGGGCTCTTCCGTGCTTTCTACCAGCGTCTCCCTAATCTGCCAGTGCTGGACTTTAGGCTTTTGTGGCGCCCTTAGTCGGCTACAGGTACCGTTCGGCATCGAGGGAAATACGTGTTGAAGGTCCGCAGTGTTATTGATTTTGCAATCAATGCTGCTACTAAACGTCACGATTTAGATGGAGTGTTGCTTAAATACACACTCGGTTCCAAGAACAGGACAGCTTTTACAGAATGGTCATCGGGGAGACCAGATACATCCGGTTATTCTTCTGTTCGGTAAGATATAGAGTATTCGTCCGGAAGCTGAACGGTTGCGATAATTAGTGGTCAACTCGGCAGGACACAACTTGTAACTTGCGAGTCTCATGTGTTACACGTAACTCCAGATCGTCTGCGACGGCAGATTGCTCTGCAGAATGTCTGCCAAGACGCAGGTTTTCTTGCATCAGAGTGGGACGTAGTTCCTGCAACGGACTCGAGCAAGGAACCACTCGGTCAGCTTTGGACTTGGACCTCTGTAGTAAGAAGGCGATTACGTGTCGTTGCCCCGTTACCAGCAGAAATGAGCTGGTGATGTATCCATAATATTAGGAGGATGGAGATGTCTCGGTGCGGGGTATTGTCGAGTCTGCGGCAGCATCCATGCAGGCGAGCGAAACATGTGCGAGCGGCCAAGGGAGGAACAATATGAGGGTTGTATTGTGGCGGTATATGGGCCTGATGAAGTGGAATCGGGATTGTTGGCCGTACGAAAGTGGAGTTGGGTCTCATGCTCCGGCTAGGAGAGCGAAGTAATGCATGCATGGCGTTGATGAAGCTGTGATTTCCGGGGCTGGATTAACTGACCCTCACTCAACCTCAGCTGCACGGTCGTTGTAGCTTCTCAGCACGAGATAGCAGGCTGTGTGGTGCTGATGATTCGATAGTCATCATGACTCCGGATCCAGGCATCTGAAGATCAAGTCACACGTCACGATGGGCGTGAGTGGTGAGAGAAGAAGCGGGAATGGGACATGCCAGGTTGTAATGTAGTGTGTGTGTCTGTGTGGTCCTAAGGTTGGTTGGTGTTGGGTTTGTGTCTAATTTGGGGCTTGATTGGGGCTTGGCTAATTATTTGCCCGCCAGTACCAGTAATGCCAGGGCCCCAGGGATGGCCTCCCTGCTCCGAAAGAATACTTGTCTCACCGGACCGGGGAGTAGGGGAGTAGGGGCGGAGGATGAGGAGGAGGAGGAGGAGGAGGAGCAGGTGGAGGTTGCTAGTTTCTCACAATCAATCATTAGTCGCGGCTGAAAGCGGTCTGGCATTGAGGTCTCGGAAAGATCAACATATGTCGTTAAGACACCGGACTGACTTGTCGTCGGCGCGTGGAGCTTTGACGAACAAACATTATGCTCGTGATGGTTGGAGGAGCATTTTCACCTCTGTTCTCGATGCTCGTCTTAGGCAGGCTGGCAGGCAGGCCGGCGCGGACTGTCCCCAATCTGGACCTAGCTGATGACTGCATTCAAATCCTCCGATGAAACCATATGCGAGTCGTTAGCTGGATGTTGATTGATGTCTTGGGTTAGACCATACAGAGACCGAAGAATGATGGTTGTCGAGATTTTGAGGTGCCGAAAACTGTCCCTTGCAGACCTGCTTCCATGATGTTGTCGGTTACGTCGACGGAGCTGAGTTGGGCAAGACTTTCCACATACTGCAGTATTTGCCGGCCACACCGAGATTGAGATCGAATCCGTAGGGAACGGGGTTTTGGATTGATGGGCAAGGGAACGTGAAGGTCAGACGATTGACGCAACTGATGCACAGAGGTACCCGTGGACCTCAGGACGCGGTGTTTGACGAAGCGCCAAGAGGAAACCTTGGAAGCCCTAGGTATCGAACTTTTACTATCCGGGCCCCGCCCTGCTGCACCTGTAGAGCCGTCAAATAATAATGTCACCGAAGATGACACCCTATTCAATCCTTGTAAGAATGATGTGATACTTTTCACTGCTCAGTGGGAACCGGGGCATAAATTTAGCGTAGCAGCGGCAACGATCACGACGACCACAGGTGACAGCTTCTTTTCAGCTCTGCGTGAAACCTCGGGATGGCGGCGCGACAAACGTGAAATATGGTAATAATTGTAGCCATTGCACTATCGGACAGGATATCGATGTGAGTGGGCCGCCGGGATCTGGAGATGCGAAAAAACGGATGACCACGCCACGGCAAGCGGGATCACGACTAATACTGAGTAGTGGGCAATTACTGGATTATTGACGTACTACAGCGAGTATTCTATAACACACTCGCAGCATTACTATTCCAGACTCAGATCTTTATCAGACGGTGAGCCACGGCAGACCGTCAATCAACCTTGGGCTGATTGCCAAGCTTGACGGCCTGGGAGGAAAACGAGAGTCGAGGTCTCCGTAGTCTCGCTCCAGTGTCCTTCCTCTCTGTCGCTGGATCTTTGGATCCTGCATGTCGCTATCGCGAAACCTGACCCTCGAGGGATGGAAGATTTAGGCTAGAATTGAATGGCAAAGTCTACCACGGGCGTACGCAGCCAGAACCATGTCTAGGGGCCCGTATGACGGACTCGGGCGGGTCTCTGTATTTGGTTAAGACAGGTAACAAGTCATTAACTTTCTGGCCTTTCGCCCTCCTTCCGCTTTGCAGGCGAGGCTCTGGAACATGAGCGATAAAGCGACGCGGGGAGCTGGGATCGACGGCAACGACGCGTGATGGCTGCACTGGCAAATACAAGCGAAAGTGCAGTACGGCAACGGACGGAATCGTGTGAGGAAAAGCATTTTACTGTCAGCATTGCATCTTAGCCACTGCTAGTCCAGTTGCCTGATTCGCGGATGAAGGGAGTGAACTAGTAAGTATGTTTATTACCAGCCTCGACGCCCAGCGGACTGGAATGTGAGAATATGAGATGGAGCAGATAATGCATTTGCATATCGATATTGCAACCGGATAGGGCTCCGTCCGCATTGGCTACACACGGAAGTGGCCAACTACGAATGATCAAATGCCTGTCTTTCATGCCGCGACGAAGGCAACACTCCCAGACGCTTATTCACACAGATGACGCCGATATGTCTTTAGTGATCAGGGATACGAGGAGTGAGACTAGAGTGAAGCCCGACGTTAGCGGACGTGCTGTATGTATGAAGTTTGTCACTTGTGAAAGGGCCAGAAAGAACGATGTGACGATGGCAGGCCCAGGACCGAAAGACCCCACCATCATCCTTCACACACGAACAAGCTGATTTGCCTCGCCACATCCGCACAGAGACAAAGCACGCGCGCACTTTTTGCAATCCTAACGGACCGGATGGACCTGACCTGATATTCTAGCTTGGCTTCGTGGCGGTCGTCGTCGTGGTTGTGACTATCAATCGAAGACCTATCCGTCACGGTCGGGCGTGGCGGTAATACTAGGTAGACAGCCCTGCCCTGCCCTGGCGGCTGGATGCTAGATACAGTGGCAGCAACGAAGTCGCTGTGCTCTGTGCACAGGGCGAGAAGGGCTGTTTGACATTAACAGCAAGCCATTACTAAAGAGGATCCTAGATGCACACTGCCATGTACGAGCGGCAGCAGTGAGGCGAGGGTGACAGCGACAGCGAGAGCGTGTGAGTAGTTGAGAGCATGAGCATGAGGCATGATGAAGGGGGAAGACTGGAGACTGGCCAGGTGTCGCTAGGGGCACCGCGACTCGAGGGCAAACCTGTAACCTGTAACCTGTAACGACCGGGTGGGCTGGAACCTGCTAAGAGAGAGATGGAGAGAGTGAGTGAACAAGGGCTAGAGGCGCAATCATAGGGAGCAGCACGCAGTAAATAGCCTGTGGCCCCGAGATCAAACCGCCAGCAAAGGTCCTGACTTCAGACTATAATAACAATTAAGTACATGACCATTCTATACTTCCCCAGCATGCACTAACGACCTAGGCCGGCCAGCCAATCACGGATTGGCCATTGCGCTGAGCAAGACGATCCTACCACTTCTTGCTTTCATCCCGTTAGTGATCAGCCCGTTGAAGGCATGCCCAAAAGCCAAAAACAAAAAGGCAAACGCGCTGTCGCCGTAGGGGATCGGAATCTGGCTGCGACAGCAACCTAGAGGCTGTACCTGGGTATGCTGTGTGCCAAGGACAAAAGGATGTGCCCGGTTGGACAGCAACACCTAGCCCTCCGTGGATGCTCTTTTCCTTTTGGCGGCATGGTTCCGGTGCGTTGATCACGATGTTTCTTTGGTTCACTCTATCACGTCAGTGTCAGCATCAAGATGCACTTCCCAGTTGCATCAATCGGCGGTAAGTCTGGCATGAGCAAAACATGATCCACGGCCTCTTTAGTCAGGCCAACACACACGACACACCGAGTGTGTAAACGAACGGCGACTGTTCTAGTCGCAAAGTCTCGGATAAGGAACATGGAATGGGAAAAGGTGATACTGGTGCTGCTTTCCGAACCCGCGCTATGCAGCCTCATGCCTGTCCGTCCTCACAGGCCGCAGGTCTGAGAGAACCGAGCTTTGATAAATGACCAAATGACCGAATGACCCTGTAGACCAGGTGGTCATTGTAACAGTGTCAGTGACTGAGATGCTGTAAACGTTTCGAACAACGAAGAGAGGCAGACGAGTACAAGCCACGACGGCCAGACCAGCTTGCGCGGCGCGGCTGATGAAGATGTTGCACCCCAGCTGTGTATGGAGTCTAGGAAATATACGTGGGTAGAGACAATCACTAATATAATTATGGAAAGTGATGATACCTAGGCTGACGATAGTGTTAACCTACTCTACTAGTAACCAGCCGCGTATATTTTCCAGCAACCGGTGACCAGGGGGGTGGGAGGGTAGAGAAGAGGTCACCACCTGAATCAATGCTTAATATTAATAAAAAAAATTGCTCGATGCTCAATCCTCAAGCATGCCCTTCTGAATCTGCGCCTTGGGTAGTTTCTGGACCAGGGGCTCAGGGGCGTGCGTACGTAGGTACCTAGTAACCTACTACCTATTACCTACCTAGCTGACTTATTACACCTGCAGTCGGTAGTAGGTTGCCTCCAGAATGCTCCGTAAGCTGTGTTTGAGCATATCCCTTATCATCCATCCGATTGTCTTTGCATCCTACGATTCATACCGAGTAATACCCGCGAACGGATCACAGCAAACCGAGCGGGGATCCACGGTCAACCTTGCAAACGCTAACATACACATAGTAAGTTTGAACCCAAGCAGTGCACATTAGCACACGTACTATGTACTTTGTACTTTTGTAATTCCACAACTTCCGTAACCAAACCGCAAAGTACTTGTGTCGGTCCCCACAGAGTGGATACTAAGACTAATTAGGTATTCTGCCTCTGTCCGCAAGGTCTAGGTTGAGTCTCACAGAGTCGACAGGATGACTCTGCTTCCTCCTCAAGCCAGCAAATTGCATATTATGGAAGCGTGTTGGACGGCACAACATGCCTGCGCCATAAAAGCCCGAGTGCTCCTGGGCGGTGATAATATGGCTGGTATTGGCTTTCATTTCGAAGCATATCATCCCGTTTGTCCCATGCATGCAGTGACTACTGTGGCTGTCTGGCCACAGGCGGTGCTTTCTCCTGTGAATCGTGAACCGTAAACCGTGGACCGTAAATCTTGAATCGTGGAATCGTGAGTCGTCGAGCAACGGAGGTTAGTCAGTACTCCTTCCAACCACTGGCACGAATACGGCCCAATCCTGTCTATCTATGATTGCCAAGTGACCTACCTCTCTGTTGCTCAACCCTCCACGCACGCGATCCGCCGCCCTTGATGGAGGCGCAGGCGCGAATTTGGTGTAATGATTTCAGCGCTACGGTGCACAGCCAAAATCGACTGGAGACGTGACTGTGCCTCGATGAGAGTCGACGTGGGCCAGAGACAGACAGCACCAGCATCAGCCAGCCCTGCAAGTCTCCTAACGTCGCTCCCAGGCTCCCCGTGTGGTTGTTGGTGTTTGTATGGATGAGTGATGATGAGTGGCGTACGGTGTAATAGTTGGAGGGAGTATCTAGATAGCAGACACCTAGTAGCTATGTAGCAGGTACCTCCTCCTTCCATTTCTTAACTTTCCTTGCCTTTTCCTTTCCAAGATCCAGTCCGGGACCCCCCTCCCTCCTCTCGCTCCGTATAGTAGAATGAATCCATTCCGGTTCATCCATTCCAGTGCAGCAGCAGCAGCAGCACAGGTGAGCAAAGTCCTTCATATCCCCGGTCAGTCTAGCACTTTGTACCGGACCCGGCGCCCGCTCGCTTGCTTGACTTGACGCCAATGCCCCCAATGCCTCCAATGCCTACCCCCGGCGTGGTGGACGCCTAGGTGTGTGTGTTCTGGCTAGCTAGCTAGGTACGCCTATGTCTGCGCCCTCGCCCTCGCCCACCCGACCACACCCACGCCCAGCAACCAACCCCCCAACCCGCTCGTGCAATCACGACCTCGTTTGTTGGCGCCGCGTCTATCATCATTCATCAGTGCTTTTCTAACGCTCCATCAGCTTGTGCATAATATCCTGCAACCTGGACTGGGCCTCGCGCGCAGGCTGTGTGTGTGGTCCACCCCCCTCGCTCCACTCCACCCGTCGGCCTCCACCACAACAACCACCTCCTCCACCACCAACGTCGTCGTCGTCGTTGTCGTTGTCGTCGCCCTTTACTATTCCCCTCCCCCCCCCTAAAAAATCTTAGACTATTCGGAGCAGGGCACTGTCGGCGGTGCGCGGACCACTATACTCTCCACGCACGCACATGTCAGAACGGGCCTGAGCTCATGTGTCTTTGTTCCATGTCTTTTTTCGCATTTGCTCCCAAGAGTCCACACACACACACACACACACACACACACACACACACACAACACATACACACCACACACACCCACACCCACACCCACATTCACCCACTCATACACTGACGCACACATGTTGATTTGACACACACACACACTCACACACACACATATCCTCCTGCACACTCTCTCCTGTTACTCGCCCTCACTTCACAATATGTCACGCTATATCCTGGCTAACGCCCTTCCAATTATGCCTGGAACCTGCCGCGCCTGCGATGACCATTAAACCATGGCCATGGTCCACTCCACTTCATTAATAGTGATGGACGATGCACCTACCGACTCCAAGGATACCGTTTTTATCAAAACAGTTACCTCCGCTGCCGCCATGGTCCATTGTCCACGCATACCGAAACGCCTCCTTCCGTCACGCTTCCTGCCTTGATCCATTCCCGGCCTTTTTTTTAGTTTACTTTCCTTTCATTGTCTTCTCAAACCTATCAACTGCCTAAGCTCCACCTTTCTGTCTTTAACCTCCGTGGTTCGTGTCAGCGTGTCACCATCCTGTGCCTTCCTACTTCCCATCTACATATCTGCCGGCACCCTCGTCCGTCGACGCCTCCAGACTCCTTGCTTGCCCCAGTCAAGCTTGTTCCCGTTTGCGGCCAGCTCGGGAATCTCTCCACTGTCCGCCGAAGCATCCATATCTCAACCTACTCGACCGTGGTTGTCATTCCAACCGGTGCAAGAAATGTCGTGAAAGGCAGCCGCTACTCTCTCCTCCACCTCCTGCTGCAGAACCAACCACAAACCAAGTCACCATTGCCAAGAGAGCTGTCCTTCCCTATATGACTACCGCTCTGGCCTTTCTTCCCACTCACCTCCAACTTACCTCACTTCACAACTGTCCCCCAGCAGCAACTGCCTCTCAATGCTGTCCATGCCTCACGCCGTGGGCCGAACGCCCTTCGACACTCTCTCCCATCGCTCAAAGCAAGACCAGATCCTTCTACCGCTACCGAAGTCCTCATCCATACCTCCATTCAGCCAATCCACTGCATACTCAAGACCACCCTTGACAACTGCTCCACCGACACCTCCTACAGACATGAACTTCCACAATACCAGCTTGCTACCTTCATATGCTCCTCCAAACGCCCACACACATTCTGATGCAAATTGGGGAAATGGAAGAGGCATGGAGGAGGTCATCAGTCAAGCAGGAATGGGTCCAGGGACTTGCAGCTTCCGACCCGTACAAGAAGTGTCGAACTCCAGTAGTTCACAGTATGTTGCGTCGGGGAAGAACCATTCACGGAAAAGCTCGAACAATGAAATTGCGCCCTCATTGCAAATTCCAGATACCATCAAGACTCCACAGTCAGGAATGCCACAGCTTGCTGCAGAAGTAAGTGCGTTGGCTGACTTCAAATCTACATACGCTGACACATACTAGATTACCTGCCTGTTCTGGTTCGAAAGCTCTGCGACCCTACAGGAAGTCCTGCATCCAACTTCACCCCGAAAAAGACCTATACCATTGTGCCCGGAGGCGATGCCAAGCACTGGCTTTAGGAAATGGGTAGCTACAATTCTATCGACCACTCAAGTGACGCCAAACGTTATTCTCTTGGCGTTGATGTTTGTGTATCGCCTAAAGAAGTCGAATCCCACAGTGAAGGGAAAGCTTGGCAGCGAATATCGTCTTTTGACAGTAGCGCTGATGTTGGGCAATAAGTGTGAGTCTATACACCGTTTACTATGACGCTAAGCTGATTATGGCCAGTTCTGGATGATAACACATACACCAACAAGACCTGGGCTGAAGTTTCTGGCATCTCCGTCACTGAAGTCCATGTCATGGAGGTGGAATTCCTTAGCAATATGCGTTACAGTCTTTTCACCTCCGAAAAGCAGTGGAATGAATGGCACGTGACATTGGGCAAGTTTGGCACCTTCTTCGACAGGGCGTCGAGAGTAAACATGGAGCTCGCACAACGTCTAAGCGGGCCATCGACTCCGACCTTGCTTGTTCCTCCAACGCTCCCAACTCCCCCTACGTCTTCATGTCGTACATCGCCACCATTTGGACACAGCCAATCCCCGAATCACAAACTTCGTAACAATACTCCCTTGTTATACCCACAAACAAGCTCGACCGCTATCTCGCCCATCGGCCCGCTACCAGAGCAAGATTTCAGGCCTAACGGCCGCAAACGTAGTTACGACGATGCTTCTCAAGCTCCCCCTCCGAAACGGCTGCAACACCAATATCACCCCACGAACATCATTACCAACCCAGGAAGCACCGCGCAGATGATGCCGACTGTCGCTGCTCCAACTTTGCCACGTCTTCCTAACCTCTCGATACCACTCGGTCAATCTTTACAGTCATTATCGGTACCACAACTCCCACCGCCAGGCAATCGAGCAATGTCACTTGTCTACCCTCCCCCGAATCATTGGTCTCAGCCTCAAATGACACCAATGCCCACCACTACTACCAGCGGTCCTGTAGTCTCACAGGTTCCCTCTTCAAGTATGAGTGTGCACGAGCAATCACGCCAGCTCAGTCCCTTTCCAGGATCTGCTAATGGCTCACCAAACTCGGTGCATTTCCCAGCAAGCCGTCTCTCTCCATCGTACTACTTGCAGCAGCGGCAATCACCGTACCGACCTGTTCGACATGTCCACACCCTTTTGCATCCTCCACCGTCCGCATCAATGCACAATCCAAACAGGAGCATGTCAAACGATCAGATGCACTATCAGCCTCTCGGCCGTCCGTTGACGGAACGTAGAGCTGGTACCCTCCCATATATGCATCATGAGGCTTGGCCGGTCACTAACCAATTCAACCAGTTTCCAGTACTTCCGCAGCCGGACTTTTCGCGGGTTTGAATTTGAATCACTGTCCGATTGCAACGATTCCCTTGCAGCTATCCGCGGAGTCCGGGCGCAGTAGCGTCTTTCACTGGATGGATTTATCCGACACAGCGGACTAGCATTTTCTTTTATGGAGTTTCGAAAAATTGCCATGCATTCATAGGAGTTCTGGAGGATATCGGCTGTCGCGATTATCCCTTCCATTTTTCGGGTTAACGGCGTCTTTCAGACGTTTTATCATCAGCAGGAGCATCTGCATTGGACGGCGTTTATACATAGCTACAGGCTACATCTTTTTGACTTGCATTGTTACGAAAGGATTTTTTATATATCCCAGGAGTAGCGCAGTGCGCAGCTACTCCACTGGTTCATCCAGCTCTGTACGATTATGGGGATTCCTTGAGGAGGACAGAAGAACAGTACACAGCGGAAGATGTGCTGAAGCGGTGGAAAGTCTAATAACGCCGAGAGAGCCGGGACTCTGCTCAAGGCCTATCATACAAGCGAGTATGGACAGTTTTAAACAGCTGAGCCAATAGCCAGCTTTCCCCGATTGGCTTGATCTGATGTTCCACACTGCACTTGACGCCTGATCTGAGTGAGCTAAGCCTTTGGCATGAATGTGTGTCATGTGAGTAATGTGTGTACCGGCCATGGAGCTGCGTTGAGGTAGAGGAGTGACACTTCTTTAACGACTGCTTCCCCATCAGACAGACAGGCAGGCATCACCTAAAAGAGAGAGACAGACAGACATACATATGAAATAAATGGATGATTGGGATTCTGGACGTGCTTGCTGGTTGAGAGGTGTATATGTGTGTTGTGTGTGTATGTGTATGTGTATGTGTGTGTGCATAAATATAGATGACAGGAGGTAATATAGGCTGTGTTTGTTTTGTCGTGTCGTGTCCTGTCTTGTGAATGGATGGATGGATGAATGGATAGATGATAGATGAATATGTGAATGAATGAATGAATGAATGGTCATAATGCACGTGCAATGCGCTATGCATGCAGCACTTTGGTTGTAAGATGAGTTTACGGGAAAAAGGGTCTTGTCTGGTGGTGGATATGGATATGGATATGTGTATGTGTATGTGTGTATGTGTGTATGTGTATGTGTATGTTTTATTTGCTCAGCATGGAAATGGAAATGGATGCGTATGATGGAAACAAATTTGTGATGGTGAAGCGTGAGTGTGATGATACGATATAGGTGACTGTTAGTTTCGATCATTATTACTATCGATATATCTCATTCTGTGCGTGGATGGGTGGATGGATGGATGGATGGATGGATGGATGGGTCGATGGCTAGAATACTCACTCACGCGTTCGCTCGTGTATATCGCTCGCTCCTCTATAGAGAGAGGAGAGGGGGGGGGAGGGGGAGAGTTTATAATGGAATTACTTTTGCCTTGCTAATACGTACTATAGAGACACACGGGATGATGATAGTATGCTCTCTTTCACTTTCCTGTTTCCGGTTTTATACTTTTCTGCTGTAGTTGTTACGGGTAGATAGATGGGTACGTAAGTAGCTTACGGGTAAGTAGTCAATGATAAAGGATAAATGATGAACGATGAATGATGAATAGTAAAGCGGCGAGCTTGTTTCTGGGGGTTTGCGAGAGAGGAGAGGGAGGGAGTGAGGGAAAGAGGGAGGGGATGTGTGCTATTCCATATAGCTTATCGACATGGAGTTTTAGTAGTAGTTTCTATGATTTCCCTTGTTTTTTGTTGCTAGTTGTGCGAGTGGTGAGGTGGGGTAATAAATAGCGAGTAAAGACAGACAGAGAAGGAGAACAAGAATATATTTTTTCTCTCTGTAGAGTGAGGAACGTTAAAGGAGGAGGTGCTGAGGGGTCGCTTGCAAGATGATAGCAGGAATCTGGGGAATGATGTGGGTAGTGTAGTAGTACTAGTGATGCGGTTTATACGATCCGTGGTTCAAGCGTTCCAGTGTTTTCCGGTGGTGTTCCAGTATGTGCTCTGGCGGGATTTGGCGGGCGGGGGAGTGGGAGGATGTTATTATGGTATGGGTACGGTATGTGTGGGCATGAATGGTACGGGAGTTAGTGTTTTGGACTTGTGGTTCTCACATAGTTACGTGTTATTGGAAGTTATGGAGAAAGAGACATAACGGGAAGTTTTTTGCTGTCTGCTGTAGTAGTATATGTAGGTAAAGGTGAGCTCGACGCATTACGAGGCTGAGATAGACGGCAGTAGATGGATAAGATAGACTGATGATAGGAGATTTATTCTCTGAGTGGTTTACAGACGGGCATGGAGTTTATTGGGATGGAATAGTGTTCGACTAGACGGCACCGTGGAGTTACCGGTGTGTTTTGGCCGGATGGATATGGATGAGGTTGGGTGACTGATATGAGCGGAAAGGTACTCGTTTTTGTTATTTCTAGGTGATATACGAAAGCTTGAAGGCAGTTGTGCTCGAGTGGAATGGGATGCCCTCGAAGGTAAGTGAGCCTGTCAAGCTGGATGGAATATATAGGCTAGAAGCATCTAGACAACTGGCTGCTGGTAGGTAAGTTGGCCCAACAATCATGTGTGTCCTCTCCAGCGAAGCTTGCAGAGTTGGGCTTGGTTTGGTGCTGCTCGAATGCATAGTAGAGTAAGTCGTGAGCACTGAACAGTTGTGCTTCATGCCTTTATTGTAGCAGGAACATTCATCTAAAACTGTGCCGTTTACAGGTGGCACCCGGAGAGCTGATCTAGTAGGATGTGGGAAGTACTGGAAGACCAAGTGCTGCATACCAACAAACCATCGACCGAAGCACAAGTAAGAGGGTAAGTCACGCCATCAAAATCCAAGGTATGTAGGATCGTCTTGCACCATAACAGAACAAAACACCAGAAGCGCCGATTCTTCTCAAGACTCTTTGCATTCCATGCCAGCTTAGCGCTCAAATTCCACAACATCCTCCCTGTCTCTCGTCGGACTCGGACTCCTCGTCTTCTCCGTCTGCGACGCCTGTGCATTTGAAATAGTCGGCGCGCTTGCCTTACCACTCTCAACATCCTCCGTCTCCATACCCTCGAGCAGATCTCGATCTCCTTCACGGATACTCCGCCTCTCCTTCTCGGCCTCTTGGTCATCCTCGTCGTCTTCGTCTCCTCCCACACCACCGTGTCGTGCGGCCTCACGATCGAGTTCCTTTTGAGCCTCGTCCATGCGGCGCTTGACCTCTGCTGCGACACGCATGCCGTCGGATACAATGTTGTCGAGCATGCCACGGAGTCCTTTGCCGGGTGGTACGACGCCGCCGGAGCCAGGAATTGGAATGGCAGGCTTAGCGGTGCTACCACGGCCAGTTGGGTTGGCGAACGTGTTGAGGTTGGAAGACGACGATGCCGACGAGGGAGCTGGGGCATCGGCTAGGCGGAAGGAGTTCGAGAAATCTGATTCGAAAAACTGTTCAAGGATTTCGTCGGCGAGAATGACCATTCGGAACGTCGGGAGAGTGATATGCAGCGGGTTATTAGGGTCAAGAGCGACATTGGCAGCGTGTTTTTCAGCACGTGAAGAGGGACTAAGAGATTTGGAGAGTGTTTGTGAAGCTTGTGCAGAAGGATTGCTCGTGAGTTTAGGGGTGGAGGGTGCTGGAGAATCTTTAAGGTCGAGAAGATCTTCGTCATCGTCGTCGTCGCCTATGCTGAAGGCGTCGGGATCTGCTAGTTCTTCATCTTTCTTCTCCTCCCCCTTCTCCTCCCTCTTCTCCTGCGGCTCTACAGGGTTCCCAGCTTGGTTTACTGGGTGATCAGGATCGGCGTATTCAAAGCAGCGTCGTATGAAAGCAGATACACTACTGAGGAATTGCTCGTTCCTGCTTGGTCCGTCTGTGACATGCAGGTCTTGCATGGCAGGGGACGAAGTCGCAGGGCTGTCTATCCCTCTTCGTGAGAGAAATAGGAGTGCCTCAGATATTCGCAGAATACCTTCGCGATCCACCTTGCCGTCTCCATCGTCGTCGTACAAGTCAAAGAAATACGCAATGTTCGACATGATGTCTTTCGTGCCCTTCACTTGCGCAAATCCAGTGACGACATCTTGCAGGCTCAGTGAACTATGCATGTTGGTATCCCATCTCCGAAACAGTCTGTTCATGAACTCATGCTCTGCTGGCTCGGGTCCTGAACCCCAGGGTGACATTTGTATACTGCGACTGCGCATACTGCCACCGAAGTACGAGTGAGATTGAGAATCATGACCATTCAACTGAGTGGAGGTTGGAGAATCAGTCACTGCCCATCGTGCTAGGCCTGGGATACATTAGCTGTTACCATCTTTAAAGTTAGAATGCGTCTGTCATGAGCATACCTGCCAAGAACTCCCGAAAGCCCTCATAATCCATCTGTGTAGGACTGGGCCCTAGTGCAACTCGACCCATCTCCACATCGTTGCCAGGGATGCCGGTTACGATCTCAGTTGCTTTCGCCTTCCCAGCCTTCGCTTTACGATCAGCTTCCTGTTGAATGATCTCAGCCCTCTGCTGTCTTTCGTAAAGGACCCCGTAGAACCGATCGTAAAGAAAGCCAAGGTCGTTTAGACTCAGCTTCTTACTCTCAGGCCCAAGATTACGTATGGACGTCCTCTTGGCGAAGTTCTCGATGTTTTCGAGAACTGCATCTTTGTGTTTCGATCGTTGCTCCGATATCGTATTTTGGGTGATCCCAGCAAATTCTTTGAACGCAACAACCATCAACTCTTGGAACCGTGTTACTGCCCGCAGCTTTGGATTCTCAGAGCGCGGATGTGCTGACTCATCTAGTCTTGCAAAATACGTCTTCAGGACTGATATAAAAGTGCCATCATCCGCGGCGTCCAGTAGATCTTCACCATTTATCCTCAGAATGGCGAGTCCAATCTGGAAAAGCACTTTGGGTCCCTCAAGGAAGAAGACATCCAACACTCTAAAAGCAAATATGAGTGGCATTGAGTTGATGTAGAGTGAGAGGAACCACGGAAGTGACACAACTGATAACTGCACGTCCGACTTGACAAGGTGGTCCCATAGTATCGGCATAGTCTTCTCAACCAGAGATTCAAAGACACGTTGGTCTAGCAACGTACCGTACATCGTCGTGGAGTAGTAGCCAGGTAGGAGTCTATCGCAAAGAACAGATAAAAGGTAAAAAGCCTGAGATTCGGACATGTATCTGTATAACTAGGTTAGAGCATGTCAATGTGACGAAAGGATGAGGCATACATTAGCAAGGCAGCGACAACTATATTCATTGCTTGGCAGTAGCCGACCTCCTCATTCGTCCAACTGTAGGCTGTAAGGACCCTTCGAAGCCTACCGATTCCTTCTTCGCTCTGGAACCCAGGATACTCTGGAAGACTGCGATTTAAGTCTTTCTCAATCTCGTCTATTGCCAAGGACTGCTGTCCGGAATACTTGGCCAATGTCTCAGTGTAAAGCTTTGGATTCTGTAGACGCAGGAAGAATGAACCTGAAGTCAGCTCCCATATTTCTGAACGGAGGCGATTAGGTAGGCCGACGCGAATTAACTTGTGGAATGTTGGTTGACGTATGAGAGTTGCGTTCCGCCCGTTTTCTGCTACCAATCAGATTCTCCATACTCGTTCAATCTGGGTCATGCTTCTCACCTTTGAGATACTCTCGCCATAGCCGTATCTTGGTAGCGTCTCGCAGCTTTCGCGCATTACCTGGATATCGGAACACCGTCCCCAGGCCTGTGTCAGGAGGATCTCTTTGCTCCCCTGGCCCAGCATCTTTATTCTCGATGTCGGTAGCGATCAGATACTCCGAGTAGCAGTCGTTCACAACTGAACGGAGGTTATCTGTCCCTTTAACGCCCTCCCTTAGACCCTTCTTCAGTCCGTCGCAAAATCTCTCGCACTGTTGGCGACTTCCAGCGAGCTGAACTGTGAGCTTCTGGGGACCACCGATTTCTCCACTCTTGCTCTTGTTGTCAAATCCATGCCATGTTGTTATCGCCAGAGCAAACATATAGCTTTGGCTATGCAGTCTCTCAACGCGCCTTATCGCACACAGGGGGAGAGTAAACCCATTGCCTCCGGGACCAGCGCCATGCGTTTGACCAGTGAAAGCACTCGAAGTGCTCAAGCTGGCAGAGTTCAAGAAACTTGATGCTTGCGTGGAGAAGCAAAGATACTGTTCACTCAGATGAAGCTTCCCCACATAATGGATGCCCTGAGGTCTTTCCCTCTCTTTCTCCGGAGAATCACCTGAGCCTCTTGTACTATGGTGTGGGGAAAGCGTAAGCTCGGCAGTTATCTCTTGGAGAGGATTTTGCGAGTCCGGCAAGCGAAACTGGTGTCGGAATAGCGAGGCTTTGGTAGGTCTGCGGTCGCTTGAGGGGCTGGCAACGGAGAGGGTGGGTTCGATAAACTGCTGAGCTTTCTGGACTAGACTCTGAAAACTGAACATTGCTCAAAGCTGCATTGTTTTAAGCTCACAATCTGTCTATGTCCAGTAGCCTGGGTATCACGGCGATACGAAGCTGAAGTGCGAGCTGCTATACATGGTGTTGCGGAGCTTGCCCGAAACCCCCGAGCGAGCTTAGCCTCTCAGCAGCCCCTCACGTGCTGCGGCTGTTGGGGCGTCGAATACTTGAGAGCCTCAGCATGCAACTAGCCAGGTTCAACGCATGAAAGCACCGTTAGACTGTGATTAGCCGGATCGCCTATGGAATCCCTGGACGTCTCCTCATATCGAAATGATGCAACTTTAGTGGGGAACATGCTTGGTTATGGAGACAGCATACGATAACAATGGTATGTAACCCGCAATGCTCATCAATTTTCTTTCAGACAAAACTTTCTATAGGGGGACGAGCCATGCTATTGACGGTCCGAAAGACACATAGCTAGAGACGCCTTGTCAAGGACCATGCTCCAAACTCCAGACTTGCTGCTGCGAACCATTACAATTTTCGACCATGTAAAATGTACTACAGAACCATCTCGATGATTGATAATAGCAGTAAACCCACGACTCTTCCTTAGGTGACAGTGTATCCTCCATCAACGCGGAGATCGGCTCCTGTGACGTAAAGGCTCGCATCGCTCGATAGGAATGTAACAGCTCCCATTAGGTCTTCAGGCCTTCCCATTTTACCCTGAGGAATCAGGGAGGTCCACTTGTTCTTAAGATCTGGGTTGTCGTCGAGAATCTTCTTGGTTCTGTGTCACAGTCAGGGTACCATCAAGCACGAGGAGTTCGATTCATGACTTACAGTGCGGTAAGCATGTAGCCTGGAGAGATGCAGTTCACACGAATACCAGCGTGTGCCCATTCAACTGCCAAGCTGGCTGCCAAATGCCTCACAGCAGCCTTCGCGGCGTTGTACGGTGCCTGGGGCTGGGGGACATTGACAATAGCACCAGACATACTGCCAATCATGACGATAGATCCTTGTGCCTTGCGCTCCATCAGGTGCTTCGCTACACCTACGGACCATAGGTATGTGCCATCCACGTTGACGCCCCAGAGCTTCTGAATACGGTCATGGGGGTAAGAGATGGCGTCATAGTTCTCCGTGAAGCCAGCAGATGTGACGAGGTTGTCAATCTGGCCGTGCTCCTTGATGATCTCCGCAATCGCTTGATTGACTGAGGTTGGGCTGGAGACATCACAATAATGTGCTGTGACCTTGGGGAGATGCTCAACACCTGGATTCTCGGCCTCAAAGGTTGCCACTAGGCCCTCTGCAGACCTGGAAGCTTCTTCCTCTATGAAGATACATTAATAAGTGCTTTTGTTGTTACAGTCGTACCCAAGGGGTGTTGGACATACTGTTCATATCCACAAGGGCAACGTTCGCACCGCTTGCGACCAAAGCCTGGGCCATTACGAGACCAAGACCACGAGCACCTCCAGTGACAACACCGACACGACCTTCTAGTGAGAAGGCAGCCAGTGTTCTTTTGAAATGGAAGCCCCCTCGACCTTGCACAGGCATACTGGAGGGGAGGTCTTCCTCCTCAGGATACTCCACCTTGATACTCTCATCTGTTCGAGCAAGAGCACCCTCGTGCTCACCAGACTCTCCAGGCTGACCAGTCGTAGAGGCCGAATCATGGTCAGTATTGTCGTCCCATGGAGGCTGGTCGCGGAGACTGGAGGATTTCGATAGCCATCTGGCCTGGCACGGCGGGGCAACCTTCACAGGCCTCGTAGCGGCGCGGGAAGCTGTTGCTGAAGCTCTCAGAGCACTTCTGAGCATCTGTGGGCGGATAATTGAGGCCATGATGTGTGATTGTTGGAGCAACAAAGCAGTCAATCAGTAGGATGGGAGTGTGATGTAGCAGAGAAGAACACAAAAGGATTGGAAGGGAGAGACACAGCTTATCAGGGTGGAATGACAAGCAGCGAACACGATGGACCCTGAAGGTTGAAAAGGAAAATGTTGAGTAGCAAGCAACGGGAGCTTAGGGCACAAGCACAGAGAAACAGCTGCCAATTGCCCCCTTCTTCCCCGCCAGTGATGGCGGCGACGTAATAAAATTGGACCTTGAGCCCATCGCGTCCGGCGACTGCAGCAACGTGCGCCGCCTAGCGAAGTATCGTGAAGTCCCAAGACTCGTGCCCCCCCACCCCGCCCACCGCACCGCATGGTGTTGATCCTGCTGTTCTTTTCCTTTTCCACCCTGAGATTTTCATCAATTGTCCAGCTACCGGTGCTTTCTTGGGCCAATCGATGTTCGATGCTGGCGAAGCGATGTTGCGAAGTCGACTCGTTACCATAACTCATACGGGTCTGACTGGCACAACGTCCACGTTCGCATCCGAATCGCGTTCGATCGTTTTGCCTTTCCGCCATGCATCGTGAGATTTTCCTGCCGTCCTGCAGGGTTCTGAGACGTCTCGTCCGCCTCGAACCGGTGTATAACTAACTATTGGAACCATCTGGAAGCTCAGGTCAGGCTCAACTTTCTCCTCCCCTCCTCCTTTCTAGTGCTTGCAATATTTTTCACAACTTTGCTACCCCTTGCTTTCGCTGTCGGAGTTTAATTCTTTCCAGTGTTGCATCACGGGTCCTTATCACTGTCATCGACAGGATTCGATGCTTTACCTGGATGTTGTGCAGCACCCACCAAATACACAAAGCAACCTCCACGCATGCACATTGCACGCGGACATAATTAGTGTATCGTGAACTGCAGAATTAGGACCAGTCGGTCCTACTATTTATTGGCCTCTTCTTGTCACGACCGTAATAGCAGCGTCGAAGGAACATATTCCCTACCCTCCGAAAGTCGGCATTGGCTGAAGAAATCGCTAAGTCCCCCACTGTCGCGCCTATGATCATTCGCATCGGACCTCATCGTTCGCCTACACACTTGGATACCTTGCAAATCATTACTTACTGACATCCCTTATCTACGCGCCGCACTGTTAACAGCACCACACGCACGCCATGTCAATGCGACAATCCTCTGCACTCAAATAACGCTGTCTTTCCTCAGGTCCCATACGTCTACTGAGTGGGCGTATGCCAAGAGCTTGGGTTGTCTTGACTGAATTGTCTGGCATCATCCAACGTCCACGTAATCACTTTGGACATGTTTTTACCATGTAAAGATCACGATGGTGTGTGACACAAGTGGGGACCAACTGGACCTGCATACTTCTCGAAATTTACTCCAACCCAGATAGACACTTGCTGATGCTATCTGGGGTACATCGGCCCGGAACCACTTATATTAACGAAGCAAGGAAGGATGTTGTGCTTTCAAATGTGCTTCTATTAGCTTTCGCGGGCTCGCTTCCTCAATCCATCTGACACTGCGACTTCGAGTAACGACTCGTAATACCCAAGAATACTTAACAAGGAATCTGAAAATTTTCAATGCTGTTGTCCACGGGTAGCACAGACGGCCGTTACCAGCCTACATCGTAGTCCTCGGGCCTATTAAACGTTGCCTACAATGTGCACACGGTTTGTCCTTGTAACTTGTCTAGAATTACATCCCTGTAAGCTTGGCCTTACTAGACCTATTTATAACGTTGCAGTCTGCGAATGTGTCGCAAACGACCGCAATAGCGCTACATTGACCCACATTTTTTGGGATGCGCAAGTCTGCCGTCAACCCATGTTGTAAAATCGCATGAGTACTTATGGATAGCGTCTTAGATGGCAAGACTGAATGAATATGCATGCATAAAGGTACGTCCATAATGCACATCAGATCCTTTATTTTCTAAATTAAGTTATAAGCTATACTCCACTCGACTGATCGAATGCCGCGTGGGGTCTTGATGACATTAAAGTATCTCGACATCAACATATGGACACATCAACAGAGGCAATTCAGCGCCAATACTCCTCCATCGCTCATCACTCAAAATCGAGTTAGAGACCATCTCGATAGGATAACTCAGAGCAGTATTCATCTTTCCCAGAAATGACATTCAAATATCGAACCCGTGGACAAACGAGAGCGATGCCAAGACGACCTCGACCGACGGGAGGAAGGGGACATGCTGGATGCGATGTTCAGAAGCTCTGCCAGAATACTTCGATCCAGCTATGTCACCCCGTGGGCCCCAAATGCTCCAACGAAGATGATAACAATCTATGAAGCCTCGACATGTCTGAATGGTCCTCATACTAGTCTCCAGGACCTAGCCAAACGTACATCTCCCACTTATATGCTCTAGAACTCTCCAAACGTCTTAGAAGAGCTGGTCTGGAATTAGCGACGGCGATAGCGACGTCTTTCCAATGCCGCGGAATGAGAGACAAGCTCAACGTTACGCGACACCTACGGTATGGGCGTAGTATGTCCGATCATAAATTGCTGGGTGCCCACGCAACTTGTCGAGTATCGCAAAATCTTGTATGTCACAAGTAGATACCGGAGACTGACCTCACTGGGCGCGCACTTGGCTATGTAAAGATCGGTTACTTTGAATGATCCTGGTGGGGCGGTCCAGTCGTACATTGGGTGGTATTCTTCTTCTAGCCAGCCTGTGCTCTCAACCTTTGAATGAATGGAATACTAAAGAAGCTCGTTAGTCGGCTGATGTTGATACTGAGCCGATCATCTATAGCATATACAACATCCAACCTCTTCAGGTTCAACGACCACAGTCCTGGTTCCTAAGACTATCTTGCACACCACGGCTTATTGCCACCACCGCTTTCCCTGTTCTTGGACGTATGTTACAGAGTTGACTATTAGCTCAATCTGGTCAACGAGCCGTGAAACTAGAGCAGCATTGCAGATTTTGCTCCGCAATGTTGGAACGAATTCTACATAGATCTGACATGTTAACATCGCTTACCGTTGTCATGCCAGCATCCAAATAGGCGCTCGGTAGCAGAGAAGGCCAATTCCAGCAGCCTGGAGCACCTTAATGCTCTAGGGAGAAAGATGGTCGTTGACTCGATAGCCGATCATATGTGCTACACAGCGCCAACCACATACGAAGGGGAATAGAATTACCTTGTCGGATAAACGCGCCCGGAACTGTCTCAGGGTCTTGGACGATATGTAGTCAGAAGGAGTTCGAAGAACGTATCTGCTTGGTGCTACCCATAGTAATTCATCGGCGTCCAACTGAAGGTATGGTATGTGAGACAGTTTCAACAGCAGCATTTCCTTATGTCTTCTCCTGATTCTACGGACCTGGAGCCGCGATAGATGTGCTTAAAGCTAGCTGCCATTTAACTAAGGGGTTGCCCTTTCTTACCACGCCTGCCCGCATGAAGTGATAAAACCTGGGGCTCTCGTATCCTCACGTCTGCGAATCAGAAGCGGCTGAGCTCAAACCTCAATGAATCTTTTGAACTTGTTACTGGATTGAACCACAGGTACTGCGGCTTGCGACTCACCAAATCTCAGATGTGGTAAAATTGGAAGGTCATTCTCGCGTCTTGTAAAACGTATCAGACCCTACTACGTCGCCAAACATATGTGGACGTCATTCTTGATTGCCACTAAGAGACATAATGTTGGATCACTTCTTGCCGAAGAGCCAATTCCCTACAGGAATCAGGACACTTTTTTACTGCCTACAAGGTCTTGCTGAAGGATCCAGGTGGCCATAACCCGCAAAACGCTTCCTACTTGTCTCCCAGAAGATTTCAATATCTTTGATTGTATAGGCTTCGATAGTTGTGATTTCTGAAAGAGTTGGCACAGTCAACAATAAGCCAATGCATGCTCGGCGCTACTAGATTACTCTTCCATAGAGATGGAGTTGATGGGTGGCGAATACTGAGCGTGTTTCATATAGTTGGTGTCTGGCTAGATCCTAGATGAGAACGGCACGTGGTATGAATATACGGTCCATAGGCGCTCGCACTATAATGGTGAAAGTAGAAATAAAAATGGATCCGATGGGATTGCTTGACGATTAATGAGGACTTGGCGCACGTGATGCCTTGCTTGATGGCTAAGATGCTAGGAGTCGACTACAATTCTTAAAGTTTCTCCACAACCAACGGACGTGACCTACCACACGTAGGATTGCGATATCCTTCATGTCACCCCGATTGCAGCTCTTACGAGCCTGCACTCGCCCTCAATTTTCATCAAAGTCGACCTCCCTGCCAATTCAGTCGCCAATTGCGACATTTCTCGCGCCGATCCTCCTGCGCAGTGGACTGCTCGAGCAGACACGGTCCGCATCCATCCTTTCTTCAATCTCAGATACTCAAGGAGCATACAACAAGAGAATAAGAGTGGGAAGAGGTCCCGCTTCTGGGAAAGGAAAGACATCGGGGAGAGGTCACAAGGGTCAAAAACAGCACGGCAAGGTCCCCAGAGGCTTCACCGGAGGCCAAACGCCAGATGAGATTGTAAACCCGCCCAGGGGAAAAGATAACCGGACATATCGGTGAGACTCCGCTTATGCTTAACTGTTGTGTTTCTTTGACACAGCCGACATATTTCATGGAACATGGCTGATCTCCGCATAGCTTCACCCAAGAGTTCGCCAAAGTCAATGTCGACCGTATTCAACAGTGGATCGATCAAGGCCGCCTCGACCCCAAGAAGCCCATTACACTGAGGGATCTGCAAAGAAGTCGTTGCACACATGGCCTGAAGGAAGGCGTGAAGCTCCTTGCGAGAGTGCGTATAATTACCACGTATATATTTCACTAGACTAATTAGCTGCGTACAGAACGCCGGTCAACTCACTACCCCGATCAACATCATTGTCTCCCGCGCATCCGCAGGTGCCATTAAAGCCGTCGAAGCTGCTGGCGGCACGATCAGTACACGCTTCTATACCAAAGCGTCCCTGCGACGCATCATGGCGGGCGAAACCGACCCCATAAACTCTCTTATGTCTGCGTTCCCTCCCGAAATCGCCGATCTGACATCAAGGCCTATAATAGATGCAGAGACTGGACTTAAGCTCACGGGCTGGAAATATCGACTGCCCGACCCGACGAGTAGAGCAGATATCGAATATTACCGAGATCCGGCGCATCGGGGATATCTTAGCCATTTGGTGAAGGATGGCGAGAGTCCAAGTCTATTCTTCAGAACTGCAAAGGCGGAGCAAGAGAGGAAGGCTCTTGGTAAGCAGCAAGCAGAGACGCCCATATCGGAGACGAAGTTGTGGTGAAGAATTTAGTGTTGCGGGAGGGACGTGTATGATAGATATGTCTCTCGGGGTATTATTGCGTTGCTGCTGCTGCCTGAAAGTAACAGTTCTCATGTATAAATATACGAGATTGTATATGTTCAAAGTCAACATAGACATTCCATGCCTTCTGAAGATGCTCGACACTTGATCAGCGCGACTACACACTTCATGTTGCTCATTTATCCCCAGATAATCTCACTTCCTACAGGTCAAAACTCCTCTGGCCAGGCATTCAACAGCGATCACACATGAGTGATGGTGCTCACGTAGAGATTCTTGGAGCAAACCCCGCACCCCAATGAAGGCAAAAAGGCAAACAAATGACGACTCCTGGTCACCATCCATGCTAGTGAGTCATACATGATTTGACTGCCTAAGAGAATACGTCATCTGGACGAAATCGAACCTGTATGCCACCCTCTAGCACGTATGAACCCTTCGATGCCAGCGCGCCATCTTTTACTGATTCAACGATCTCAAGTTTCGGTTCCCAGTCCTCCATGTATTCTCTACAACAGAAGCTCAACCCTCAAGATCTCCTGGGCGGGTCAGTTGATGGAGTGGGCACTCTCGGCACCTCTTTATGGAGAAAGTCCTTGAAACGCTTCATTGAGGATGAGGATGAGGAGGAGGATGAGGAGGGGGAGGAGGAGGAGGGAGAGGAGGAGGTCCATCCATGGAACACAAGCCAACAGCAGGGTGCAACTCTTGAGACTCCATTCCTCAGATTATGGGACGAACATTCCGGAAGTCAGCCCAAAGACAACCATATGAAAGCAAGAGCAACACGGCAACGTCTTAACACCAGAGCCTCCCGTAAGGAATCTTTGTCTCTACATCTGAAGCACGATACACGGACACCAACTCCTTACATCTCATTTACAGTCTCACCATCGGCAATACGTGGTCTAGCCCCAAGAAGAACTGAAAAACGAGGGCCACAAAAGCTGATTGTTGTCGATCCAATCGCTCGCAAGAGAAATCGAATGCCTTTTCTGCACGTCCTCGATGAAATGGACTATTATGATATACCCGACCCTTATAATCAGCGTAACCGTTACTATCGAGACCATTACATATGTCTCTGGGAGGTTACCCCTGACGAGGTCGTTGGGCAGTGGGATTATGATGACCTCTTGAGCACTAGTGAGGATTGGTACGAGGACATTATTCTGCCTGCTGTTGAGAATTTCAGGCAAAAGACTACAGCCTCAGATGCTGAGGAGCTGGCTAATCTGCTTGGAGGAGTTTCATGTAAGTCCGAGGAGAGAATCTTCCACGCGAGGAGCTAACAGCATGTGCAGTGGCGAACAAACCCAAGGCTCTCCAATCTTCTAGCAAACCCAACAAGGCTGTATCGGTCGAGAGTGCTGCTTTGAACGATCATGTGTCTAAAAAGGGGGCAGTTCTAGGTTCTGCTTCTGAGAAAGCTTCAACAAGAAATGCAACGACAGGCAAGGCTAGGCCAAAGAAAGCTACACCGAAAGAGCCTTCGTCAAGCGAGACAGTTTCAGACAAACATAAGCCAAAGATCAAGCCAGTGAGACTCGCGTTCATCGAAGATGAATAAATTGGATCTCCTTTTACGGGGACCATCTCAGATGAAGAAACGCTAGGGAAGTATGCTTCAAACGACTCTAACGACCAGTGACGGAGTCCCACGCAGTGGACAGTGCTATGGAAAGCTTGAATATGACTGTGATCGAGTTTCCTCTTATACAGGCAACGGGATATTGCAGTTAGCCCAGTCGAAGGATAACTAGAGAGCTGGACTCTTGATTTCTTTTTTTCTTACACATGTAGCTACTCTGAAAGAATATCGATGCTCTACTCATCCTATGCTGAAGTCGCAATGCGCTAATGAAAGCTGAGATTCATACAGTCACACCTCTCCCCATTCATCAACTCAATTTAAATCTGGCTACAAACCCTTACAAAGGGTACCCTTCTCCTTCAACCCTCGTCTCCTCCCCCAAGAGCACAAAGTCCTTCTTCCCCACGTTCACCCCCTCCTTCCTCAGAATCGCATACACCATACTCAAGTGAAAGTAGAAATTCGGCACCGCAAACCTCATCACATAGTCCTTCTTCTCCAACTCGTGCGGGCCTCCGAACCACTTCACCCACACCTTGCCCTCGCTCTGCGCGAAGCCTTCCTCCTTCACTCCCGCCAATACCTTCTCGACATCCGCAATCCGCGCCAGCGCATCGGCCACGGACGTTGGGTCAAAGGAGTCGTATTTCGGGACCGATGCTTCGGAAATTGCGCCGACTTTGACGAGGGTTGTGGTGGCGACGCACATGGCGATTTGGCGGGCGAGCGGCCACATATCGTCGATGATACGGGCCTCAAGGATTGCGGAGTCGGAAAGACCATGGGATTGGGCTTTGGTCAGAAGACCTTTGAGGACTTCCAGGCCGTCTTGGACCTGCGGGACATACGCAGCGTAGAGAGTTTCGGCGGACATGATTGGGTGTTTTGATTGGTAGATGTTTGTAATGCTTGTGGTGGCTAGGTCTGTGAGGTGAGATTTGTTGGTGTTGATAAGTTGTTGATTGAGAGGGAGGTGGCCTGGCGTTTGGGTGTTATATACTCAGTTTGGGCCTTTAGGGGCGGTGTGAAACTTAATCGTGACTAGGGATGGTATGCTGCACGTCGAGACTTATGGAATGAGAGAGCCAATAGAATGTGACGTTGTAATGACCTTCAAGCACTGTAAGTTGTATACAGGATGATAATCACCTCTCTGTCAGCATGCTTGTAAATCAATCGAGGCTGAGTGAAACATCAGTCCGTGGCACAAGAAATCTGCAGTACAACAACCGCCATTAGATAGAGGTGACCCAGAGCGCATGTTGTCTTCGCGGATCTAGCGTGGCATCCTGAAGGCGATCTCTCGGGCATTCGGTCCGTAGCGCAAGTGCTTACCTCTGTTGGTTCAATTATAGGCTAGCACGCCGTGGAATTCGAGCTTGATTAGTAATTGCAAGCGTAGTGTGTGAGGTGAACAACTGACTCTCCCAGGGAGTCCGATGTCTTCGTGAAACTTTTCGTGTTACAGCCCTACCAGTTTGAGGATTGTTATAAGGTCTTGATACATTAGGGAGTCAAGTCTTTGTAAGAGACGAGCTATTATAGTGATACCAGATAGGACGCTCATGAAGTAATTAGCGTGTCTTCTATCTTTACAGATAAGGCAGTGAAACCGAATATATTTACAGCTTGAAAGTCAATGATTTGAATTATCTCTATGATCCCTCGCAGCTACGATCGTTAAAGAAACGACTCGTACGTGCTGCCGGAACGAAGCCACCTGCTGCGTGTGTGGCGCTGTACAGCAAACAGTGCGAATTGATGTTGTTCATCTCGTACGTGAGGCAATTGGAAGCTGCAACACATCGGGTGCCACATACTGCTGGGGTATCAGCGGGTTGGTCGTCAATCAGATATTGATTGTTCGGCCCTGGAAAGGCCGTGCCCTCCACCCCGCAGATTTGTGCATTCGGATCAGTAGTAGGTGTGGGAATCGTTGTATCAGTATTTGTCGTCGGGCTTCCTTCATCCGATGGCTGAGGGTCTTGGAAACAGGAGATATCGTAGAATGGCGGCTCGTCGCTGCATGAGTGGAAGGTGGCATGGTTCGCGGCGGGAGTATTGTAGAGCTTGCAGATAAGGTCAGAGGTGAGCTGAAAGCTGTAGCACAGATATGTTTGTAGACAGAATCGAGTACAGGCTTCCAGACTACCGTATGCGGGGCTGCTTCCCCATGTCCGACGTAAGGATGTTCCTGAAATGCCACAAACTTGACCTGTTGGCACAATTGTGGAAGCAATACAAGACGGGGAAGGCGATACTGAAGCTGACGGTGATACTGGAGCTGACGGTGATACTGGAGCTGTCGGTGATACTGACGCTGATGGCGATAGCGATGGGGTAGTGGCAGTCACAGCTACGGTCTGCGAGGCTGTTGAGTGTGTTGAAGAGGTAGTTGTTACCAACGATGTAGACTTTGACGTCGAGAAGTAAAACACGCTGGTGATTGACGAAGTCTTGATCGTTGTTGTTGGTTGATTTGGAGTTGAGAACGTTGATGATGACACGGTCTTAGCACCGGATTGTGTCTTTGACTTGCAGGCAGACTTTGATGGACAATTGCAGGATCGATCGTAGAACGTTAGAGAGCCGGAATTCGAAGAGCGCGCCGATTGGGAACTACGAGATAGAGTCAGCGGTCGTTCCCATGGTTATTCATATTGAACTTGCATGTAACTAGTGTATAGGCGACACGTCCCAGCACCAATAGCATATGTTTTGCATTGTCTGTCTCTTCCACAACGGGCTTTGCAGCCGCCTAATGTCGTACTGATAGGATCGCTTTCAGTGCAGTACGGCGAAATGACCTTCTCAACGCCTTGTATCTCGCATGTCGATGGTGGACAGTGAGAACGGCTATTACCAAAAGGGTTTGCCGCCACGAGTGATGAGAGTGTAATCAAGGCGAAGAACCGCATGATCAGAAATGTACGGATCTAACGGTAGGGGCCCTGGCATTGAACTTATACTTTGTGTTCTGTTCTGGCTGAGCATAGCTTCGGTAAAATGGGCCATATCCCCTGAAGGTTTAAGCCACACGGCGCTGGTCTGAAGGGAACAATGCACAGTCGAGCTGAGCAGTCGAGCCGACTTCAGTGTTAAACGAATGTAGAATATCTACACTGCAGACTTAGGTCTAGGAAGAACATGTTGACATAACAAATGGATGGCTAGATTGCCTAAGGAGGGTATAGTGCCCGAGTGTCCGTGCTCACTTTTGCCGAGTTTAGTCTTTGATCAAGGTCTAGATTCAGACATCTAATACGGGGGAGCCGAAGCTGCAAAGTGTGGCTTTGAACGTCCAAATTCGAGATCGTCCTCAGGGTCGATCATTCTTACATGCAGATAATAGTGGGTTGGGCCATATCACTGCCAGGGGCGCCGACACTGAGCGCATAGCACCACATCTTTTTACAAGGAGTGGTGTGTATAGATGCAGGAGCAACCCACTCAGTTGACGTAGGCCTCTTTTGTGTTGGGTATGACTCTCTGAACGTGTGCGCTTATGCCTCCAATGGTCGCTTTCGTGGATTCTCGTTCATGTCTGGGCTTGCTTTCAATTCTGCAACCGCAAAATATCCCTTGTTCTCAACGACACCCCGGTCTTTGATGACTGCAGTGTACTTGACCACAAATTCGGGCTCAACATCACCATCCAGGCGGCCAGCATCCTCTGTATTTGGATCAGCTAAGACTTCAACGCCATGCTGCCCTGAGCCAAGCAATTCGCGCAGCGTCCCTCGAGGCAAGATGTCAGTACAATCGTTGTGGGTCAGGAGTTCGATCTTTTCTTTTTTGGCAAAAAGTATAAGGGGCTTTGGCACTACGCAACAGTCGCGAAGGTTAATCTGATTAACACTCGGTCGTACTCGAGTTTGTGGCAGTAATTTGTTCAAACGTTGTGTGCCGAATTCTGCTAGGCCTAGCTTTCCGATTACCCCAACGTCATGGAGTTCTTCCAATGTCCGCCAAGTTTCCAGCATAGTAGGTATGTCTTCTGGGTCAGCTGGCGAGGAGTGAGCTTCTTCTGAGGAGTCAACGTCCGAGTCGGAGTCTTCATCATCTGCATCGAATGCAATACCAGGAAAGGACACTATAAGCAAGTCGATAGAAGTCACCTTCAGGGCGTTCAAGACAAAGTCAACCGCCTCTTTCGCTTGAGCACGCCGTCTTGAGGCAGGTATGTTGGGAAGGAAGAAAAGCTTGACAGTAATGTCGTATTGTGCGCGCTCTTCTATCAGCCCTGTCTCTGTGTTCTCTAGGGACGGAATATATAGTGTTGAACCAATCTGCTGCGTCCAAGCTTTAAAATCTGAGTTCGTGTTTGGGGAGTCTATTGTATGGGCTGGCTTATACAGTTCTTTCTGAGCAGTAAAATTCGCGCGTAGAGTATTTGTGAGTTCTGCGTTCGACTTTTCGATTGTTGGCCGACGCATCACTGTGGGCCCTCTGCCCATGATGTTTCTATGAAGCTGTGGTCAGTTGATAGACTCTAGGGCATGCAGTACATGAAACATACGATGTTGAAAGTACGAGCTTCATTGCGCCGATTCTCGTTACCCGCTATCAGAGGTGTTTGGTGGTGCGCTACGGAGACTAAACAGCACGATGTATGGATGCGTCAAGCAGTACGGTATTCTAGCGATGTAGTGGTGGGATTATATTTCAAAAATGATGTACTGCCCACGCCCATGAATGATCGCAAAGCAATTCATAATCCTAGCTGTAGGACATGCCCGACGAGCGGGGCACAGTAAATGACAGCCTGAGGCCACTAATCTGTATCCATCCATGTCACCCACGGCAGAACATAGTTTTGCACCACAGACGATCTCCAAACTCCGGCCCGCCCTGCAACCACGATTTATTCCTTTCCTTGTGGCCAACATGGCTATCAAGTGAGTTACATCTTCACGTAACAAAGTAGACGCTAATATCCACTAAGATACCTCATCCTCCTTTCACGCCAGGGCAAAGTGGTCAGTCAGCTTCCACCAACTCAACATCCCCTCGACTCTAGCTGACCAGAGACCTCCATAGCGATTGGCAAAATGGTTCACAACCCTTTCTCCCAAGGACAAAGCAAAGATTATAAAAGATGTATCGCAGCTGGTTCTGGCCAGACGGACACGGATGTGTAACTTTTTAGAATATAAAGGTATGATCATTCAAGGTGCTCCGGGTTATGACACTGACCGAAAGCAGACACCAAGATCGTTTATCGCCGCTATGCCTCCCTTTTCTTCATAGCAGGTTGTGATTCTACCGATAATGAACTCATCACACTCGAAATTGTGCATCGTTATGTCGAACAAATGGACAAATACTATGGGAACGTGTGCGAGCTCGACATAATCTTCAACTTTCAGAAAGCGTACTTCATTCTCGATGAACTCCTTCTCGCTGGCGAGATGCAAGAAAGCAGCAAGAAGAATGTCCTTAGATGTATAGCCCAACAAGACAGTCTTGAAGATATGGAGGTACGTTTCAAGCTTCGTCAATCCCACTCTGCACCTCCCGTCATGACCACCCTTACCCACGATAGCACAGCGGCCACTACTGATACCTCATTTAGACAGAGGATGATGTAGTAACAAAGATAATGTAATATTCGATCACGATCCGACGTACAAGTTCTTCACATCCCGTTCGTCAAGGCGCACGCTCATTGCCTGGTGGGACAACACGTTTTCTAGTGATAATTCTTCAAACATTGCCTAGAGCTAACAAGTACAACAGGCCGAAGAGAACCTGGTGAAAGAGCTTAAAAACTCTGGCATTGTTTGATTCATCACGGAGTCTCGCAACTTACAATATGACTGCATCGCAACGGAACACAATGGCGTTATAGGCGTTTGCATACCCCAGACTGTTAGGCCCAATGGACATGGTGTCACATTTTATAACTTGTCAATCATGCTTCCTGCTCAGCGGGATCAGCTCAGCATGCAATACAACGAGATTGTTTCAGCTCTCACTCTTTTGAAAGTCCTCTGGGCCAATATCCAGTGCTACCAATGTGACAAGTCAAGTACAGCGTCGCCATGACGAATGGACATTCACGTATCATTTTTGAGATTCACTGACTTAGGTGCGTATCATGTCTTAGGAAATCGTAATCGATGACTTTCGGGTTCGACTGTTGGGTACTATCCATTCACCAAACTTCGACAAGAACGACTCAATCATTGTTACCATTACTGATATACGCGTAAGACGGACAAACCCGGGAAAAGAACAGTCTATTCGGAATGGAAGCATGGCAGGGCAACGTCACGAATCCGTGTCACGTGAGAGGTCGCTGTGACGAGTCGAATGGCTGATGGGTGCAGGAGGGCGGTTTGATTGGCTACGCAGACAGTTCAGCTGTCCACATCCACATCATCGCGCGACTTGACACTCACTCTACATCTTGCGATAACGACAGTCACTCTGTCAAACAGATCTTCTGACGATGCCTTCCATCACCTTCGCCGCTTCCTGCTAGACTAGACGGTCTGGCTCGAACAGTATAGAGAGTCTGGTCCTGCACCCAGCCGAAGCCTTATCTCTACCGTTGTACTTGCTCACACAGGAGACTCCCCGAGACCCGATACAGCCATCTCAACCGGCAAAGACCGACCTTGGTCAGCCTCAGCACAGTAATCCTGCAGTGAACGGCACGACATACCATTTATATACACAAAGCACGTTCATGTCACGGTCCTCAAACAAAACGTCACCGTCGCTCCATCAGATTAGTCTTCGCACAAAGACAAACACATTATGAAGGTATGACCTCACCACGCTCATAAACGCGCAATGCGACAGCCAAATTAACTCTACCTGTCCACGCGGCAGTATCTTCCGCTACGTGATTTTGAAGACGTGACGAGCGCACTCAACTTTACCACGCCTGACTGCCACGTTGTTGGAGGGTGCGACCTCTACACCACCAAGGCCGCTGGCTCGGACAAGAAGCTCTACAAGTCCATTGAAAACACGCTCGAGACACAACACGCCTCCCTGCTTCGTTTGTCTGCTTCCCTGTCCCCGCCGCAACAAGAGTCTCTTGCCGATTCCCTCAATCTCTCGCGTTCTTCACCATTCGGCCCGCTCTCACAGATATCCTCTCGCCGTACCTTCGCATACCTGATAGCAACACTCAATGCATCCCACCCAGATTACGATTTCTCGCATGTTTTGCGCCCGGCAGACTTCCGGCGCGAGCGCTCTCTCCGCGGCGTAATGCACACCCTCGACACAACACTATCAAATCTCAGGCCCTCCACACTTGTGAGCTCGCCTTCGTCATGGTCGTCCGGACCTATACCCTCAGGCCTTCGCACACCTGGAGGTAGTACAACGTGGGGCCCACGAATGTGGCGTCTGATCGATGCTGAGATGGACTTGCGCAAATGTAGCGTATACGCGTACGCGCCTGAGGAAGATCCGTTCGACGGCGACGAGGGTGCAGTGTGGCGCATGGACTATTTTTTCTTCAATAAAGAACGAAAGAGAGTGTGCTACATGTATCTGCGCGGACTAAGCGTCATCAGCCATTCACCGGTGTTGCGGCCGATGGGCACTCCGAAGCGCACGCGCAGTGGCATGGGAGGAATGTCAGAGCCTACGACACCGATGACAAGTGGCGCGCGCAAGCGAGCGCGGTATTGGTTGGGTGAGCGGGCTGATGGGGATGATGTTGAGGGCGGATGGGGCGAGGACGATGAGGATGCTGGGATAATAGCTGAACCAGGCGACGATGAGGTCGATGTCGATGATATAACGTTGGATCTACGTGACGTAGAGGTGGAGAGGAGAAGAGCCATGTCCATGGCCGTGAGCTCAGACGAGGAAGAAGATGCTGAGGACGAAGATGAGGAGGACGATCTAGACGTGGTGAGACAGGAGCAGAAGCAGCACAGGGCAATGAGCGAGACGATGGCTGATGAGATGGAGTTCTGATTGAGCTTCTATGTTGGTACTCGTGCAGCGCCTTTGCTCTGTTTCTCGATATCTACTGAAGATGTCGACGACCAAGTACGACTCACGGTATATGCCGCATCTGTTTCGGCAAACACTTTCCTTTCCTTTTCCTTCCATTCATTGTCCAGGGCGTTGTTCGATTGGCCCGGTGGGAGCGGTGCCAACAGCAAACGATACCCTTTTCCTGTTTCCTTTCTCGTGTTGTATTTCTGACGGTTCCTGGGTGGTACACGAATGAAGGTCCCCATACTTCATGATAATGCGCGAGGCTTTTAATGACTGGCGTATGTTGCGGGTGTTTTCGGTTGTTTACCTTTCAATTGCTTACACGCGCGACTGGCTCCTCAAGGAGGAAGAGAACAGCTGTTTGGCACACAGCCGTTTGGTTGAGCCAGTATTTCCATATGTCCGTACGAATATGAACCATTTGATGACCACCTGCGTGACCGCGTGTCCTGCGATCCACCACTCTGTGTCCGAGGATCACATTGTATGGGTGCTCTTTCACCCAAGCATACTCTTTTTGCGTCCCCTCATCCGCACATCCTCCAACCGCCTCAGCACAGCCTTTGCATCGCTATAGCCCTTGAGAGTTGCATACGCCTCCAGAACGATCTTAAACAACGGCTCCGCGATCGGATGCGTGGCGGCGAAGGCCCTCTCGAGCACGTACAGATCCACCGCTCGGTCTTCGTGCTGGATGGACGATTGCGCGAGGCCAAAGTCGATCAAGACTATTGGTGCGTCGAGCGGTGGTTTGCCCTCTTCAACAACAGCCCCAGTATCAGTCGCGTGCGCCGATGTTGAGTCCGGTGGTGCGTCCTGCGAGCGCAGCATGATATTCGATGTGGTGAGATCGCCATGCACACAGCCCGCGCGATGCAATTTCGCAATCTCGAGACCGACACGTCGGAGCATGGCGTCTATTTTCCCATCTTGCTCTTTTCCCTCCTCCTCCTCCTCTTCTTGTTTGCCCTCCCTCTCCCTCTCCCTCTCCCCTCCCTCCTCTCCCACCCACCCTCGCTCTCCCCTCTTCCCCTCCTCCCAACCTCTCAGAACCCGCCTGACCGTCCACGACCCCACATCCTCCAACACAAGCCAGCCTGCATCCCAATCCGCAGCGCGCACGCCCGGCACACAGATGCCTGCGCGCGCGGCCTTGAGCAGCATGCGGGCCTCGGACAGCAGGCGGAAGCGCGAGAGGCGGGCGTCGAGGATGGGGTGGCGGTATGGTTTGGCCGGGCGGTGTTTGAGGATTGCGGGTTGGGATGGGGTTGGGTGGGTTGTGCGGTAGACGAGGGCTTCGGCACCTTGGGTGAGGAGGGTTGTGGTTGTGCTGGTTGAGAAGGGTGGTGGGAGGCGTTGATGTGGGGTTGGGGTGTGTTGGGTGGGATTGAGGGGTGGCATTGTGGGTTGGGAGGAGAATGTGTTTTGTGGGTGTTGGTTTTATGAGAGAGTGGTGTTATGTGGGTTATTTTGATGTTTTGCTGGTGAGGTTGTCGGACTTTTTCTGGAGGGTTGATTTGAGGCTTGGTGGGGTGGTTTGGAAGCTTCCAAGGTCGGATGTGGGGTAAGTTTTGTGTGTATTGGTGAAGTAGCTAGGTATGATCGATATTAGACAATGTTTATGTATTGAAGAAGAGCGAGTGTAGTTATGCGATTGCTGCGATTGCATACAAACATGGTGGCATTTTCCAATTTAATTACGTTTATTGATGAGAAGTCTCAAGATATACACCATATATGCGAGAGCCACGATGTATATTTCTCTGCTCACCCACTAAGCAATTTTCAGAGTTATAGAGTCGTCAAGTAGAGATTATCTCTATTTTTACTTGATGATAGTTTCGATAACTAGAATAGTGCTTTCTACGTGGTCGATATGACTAGGTGTTTCAATGTAGTAACGTAGGTTGTCATGACCTCCATTCTCATTGTTACAAGAAGCACCAAGCATAAAGACAGTTCATGTATGTAGGTATGGAATAGCTCATACGGTCAAAAGGTATGCCATGCCCTGTTTCGAGACCCTATGAGACTGGGTGCATGGTCAACGCGTGAGCGATGTCATCATCTCTCGTACGCTGCACTTGGCAAAGAAGCAAACAGAGTATCTATTTTAGTCTATAATACTTAGGCTAAAATAAGCTCTAGAAGAGCCAAGGGAGACTGCCGAGGCCATGCACGTAGGATGATAGGACATGTCCTAGATGTTAGAGACTGAAGATATACCGATATAGATGTGAGTGGATCACCAGCGAATCGTGCTTGCGGTCTTAGCGAACATCGACCAGGTTTGTGACCAGTAGTGGTGTATGTACCTAAGCAAGCTGCAGTGTTAATGTAGTCCATCTGTCATCGTCAAACAGCAACATCATAAAGTGGAATAGGGAATTAAGGAGGATGAAACCAAGGCTGAAGCTGAAACAAGCCAGGGACAAATGTCTGTCTGCGTCTTCGCTTGCACCGGGGGGTTAGCCTCTATTTTGCTACGTCCTTAGGGCAGTCTAGCCTATTTCCAAGGGGGGCTCTGCGTCTGCTTTGGGGTCTGCACGAAATGGATTGCCCCACCCAGGTTGTCCAGGTCCCAAAGAATGCATCAGCATCATCCTGTCGGCAGGAATGATAACAGATGCGAGCAAGAGAAAGCGATAAAATTACAAGCAAACCGTGACGACGGTGTCAGTGTAGCCATGTCAGATGTTGTTGGCGCTCCGAAGCCTGTGAAGGATTGTCCTTACGACATTTATTTATTTATAAGTGATCGGCTGAAGGTCTCTCTTCCTGCGTAGCGGGGCTGTACGCATATTGCCCAGAGCGCTGTTGCGTGGTCATCCATTGCCGCATGCTGGTTGGCTGTTCTGCTAGAAAGGAACCGATGGGTTGGGCGGTTATGCAGCTCGACGCGGGCATCGCTCCGCATAGCACCGATTATCACGCTCTCCACTCTGGCATGTAGAGGCTCGTGTGGTACAGATGATGAGCTGGTATGATGCGACAGGATTCGCGTGTCTGATGCATTTGGATCAAGAGTTTCAGAGCAGGCGGGGGACATCGGACGCATCTATCCGATAGCAAGGGGCATGTAACAGCGACAGGCCACATCTACAGCATCCGAACAAGTCTCCGGTCGACCCCGTTAAAGGGGCGAGCAGGAGAAGAGTCCAAGAGTCATCTGGTAACGACTTCTCTCCCAGAGTCGGTGTTGTCGGGATGTTCCCAGCCATTACTGCATTGCGTTTTTAAGAAAGTGGATCGAGTGGTGAAAGGCTCCGAGTGGTGAGGAGCGTACAACGGAGGAGGTCGGTGCCGGCATCGCGCTTAGTTGTATCATTCACAACGATCCAGCCATATCACAATTCATGGACGTCAAGTCATAAGATATTATCATGTATAACAAACATGTCGATCGAGTGAACAGGATGCGGCTGCGGGGTATGGATATCGATACACCGACGCCACTATGAATGCTAGCGGGTAGAGCGGGCGTCCAATGTGAAGAAAAGTGAATGGCCTGTTCGTGTTATCGGCCACAAATTACGGTCAGATGCTTTGTTACTTTATTGCTGGAGAGGTTGAAAGATTGAGATAGAGAGAGTGATTGGGCAGCGAGGCCTGGGAACGTTTTCTTGTAGGCGATCCCTTACTGGGCGGTTGAGGAAGGCTAGCGGTATCTAATAGCGGCCCCTGCCTGGGGTCTTTGACAGTCTAACAGTCAGGAAGGACACCCACCCCCCCGCATACTCATCACACAGGCCAGACCGCAGACCACCACCACCACCACCAAGACGACCACGACAGACCACCGCATACCACAGACCGCAGACCGCAGTCCACAGACCACAGAGCCGCCCCCGTCAACGCACAGCACTGCGCGCGCACACACACTCACTTCACGCTCACACTCAACTCACCGAGCAACTCACAGCACCAGCACAGTCGCCGCGCTCCCACCACCCTTGCTTTCTTCTCTTTCTCCGCCCCCTTCTTCCTCCTCTTCCTCTTCTTCTTCTCCTCCCCCATCCATTCTTCACCTCCTCGTCGTCCTTGAACCTTCTCTCCTCCATCCACGCCCATTTGGTCCTTCTCTCAATACCTTTACCCTCTCTCTCTCGCCCACTCCGCTGTTTTCTTTCTTCGCAATCGTCGGTGCTCCAGCATTTATACAAACTTTCGCCCTGCCTAATTCCTCTTCGACGTGCTATCCGAGCTCGGCTTGCATCGACGCTCCTTGTCTTCATCTTTCCTCCAGTTCTGTCACGTACACAGCACCGGCTCTCTGCTCGTACGCATCATCCTCTTCGAGCTCATCCTAGACTGCTATCTGCAATCTCCGCCCGCGCTACCTTCGCATTTCGACCATCAGCTTTGGCGTGCCTTCGCTCAGTCCCACCATCGCCGCTTTGCCAGTCACTGTGGCATCGTCGAACCTCTTCATACATCACCTCGCTCACCTCACGCTGTTGCCTACCGCTCGAGACCTTGGTTACCCGTGAATTGGTACCTCGCAGCTCTTCGATACCCCGCACGCACATTTGCTGTCTCTCTCAACGCCAGTATACTCGTTTAAAATTTTCGACCTATCCTACCTAATCACCTAATTTTGCTTCTCCTCATTCTACATCAACTTTCGGCACCTTGATCGTGTGCCTCTCCATATTTGGACACCTCAGAGTTCCATCGCCATTCCTTGTAAAATTCCGCTTCTGCGCCAGACATCAATTTTCCACACTGCTACATATTCGTCGAATCATCTCTCGCCGACCTAGGCCATCACAGCTTCAATTACAATACCAAGTCACTCCTGTACATCTACTATCATGAGCATGGACGCAGGCGGTCTCGCTCAGATGACCTACAACAACTTCAACAACGCCGGCTTGGGAATGCCAGGTGCTGGCTTTGCTTCCCGTGGTAAAGGCTCCCAGCTCAAGCGCCTCAGTGTTGCATCTCCTCCCAAGGTAGCTTCCATCAGTGAGACGCAAGAGTCTGTGCCTACCCCTAGGACCAGTCGCTCCCATCTTCTCGCCGGTCTTCGCACTGCCCCAAAGACCCCAACTGGCCCTGTCCCAGCCTCTGCGCCTTACAACCAAGCTCAGCACCGTGGCTACAACGATCAATACAGGGGCTACGGACAAGCGATGCCACAAACCGCCACAGGTGCAACCTTTGGCAGTAATGGTTACGGGCAGCAATACGGCATGAGCGCCCAGCAGCAGGTTTATTCACTCCCGGAGCAAGTGCTTGCACCTCCAACCATGCAGTACGCCCAAGACGAGCAAACTGACCCAAACTTCCTCGCTCAATTGATGGCCACCGAACTTTTCTTGGAGGAGCGCCGGAAACAGCTCCAGCGTCAGCTTTTGAGCTTGACGAACCAGGGTCTCCCAGTGGACGACCATGCCAGCTATGGTCAGCAATATTTGAACCCTACCATGGGCCAGCAGATGAGCTATCAGCAGCAACAATTTCTTGCACAGCAGCAGCAGCAGGCCATGAACGCTGTGCAGGTTGCCTTTAACCCACTTACTGGCCAGTACCAGTACGTTGTGGACCCAAGTATGCAGACTCAGCTTGCCAGTTCACCACCTCCACCAACTCCGAGCTACACTTCGTCGCCTCCCAAAACACACACTCCAACTTTCCGTGCTGAAGTGACACCACCTGACGAGAAGGTCAATCCATTCGCTCGCTCCTCTTCTCCTCCGAAGAAGTCGCCGTCTCCTCAAGCTGATGTCACTCCCCTTCCACCACCATCTGCCAACGCTTTTCGCCGTGGACATCATAAGAAAGTATCCTCCCTCGCATTGAACAGCTCCGCCGATGTTGTTGATGGTCCGCGATCTGCTATCACCCGCCCAGTCGGATTTCCGCAGACTCCCCAAACTGGTACTTTTGGACCTGGTCAAGCTCGTGCCGGCGAACACCCGGTTCGTCAACCTCGGGGCCCACCATCAATCGAAGAGCTCAGGGCTGCGCCGACTACAAAGCACGAAGGCAGTAAGAACTTTGCCACGCGTCAACGTCGTCACGCCGTCAAGAATCTTGTGCGCGCTGGTATTGAGCGTCGTGGAGTGCGCTCTGGAAGCCCTGGCAGCATGACTCCAGTCAGCGAGACTGACATGTCATACGATTCCGACAGTGCTCGCAGTGGGAGTCTTTCCGGTAAGCCCAGCATTGGGAGTCTTCGAGCTGCTGCGAACGGAGCCATTGGTTCCGAGCGCAAGGAGTTGGCTAGAAATCGAAGCAGTGCCGATAACGTCTGCTATGCCAACAGCGTCAGCAGTGACGAGGGCACCAATGTTGGAGGTAAACTTGTGGAGGTGAAGGTTGAAGACGATAAGCCTGTAACCGACCGTCGCAGCATGATGCCTCGCCTCGTCCTGACCAGTGCCGAGAAACGCAAGAGCAACATGTGCTAGATGGAATACATGAAATGGTCCTTCACAAAAAAACCCGCGTGCTCATAGACTTTCGGTAGATCCAGAGTTTATTCGAGGTGCGCATGTCTCGACACACGCCTATGCCGTTCGATGCACAGACATTTACAACGGCCTTATTCATGAATCTCCTTTTAGTTCGTTCTTAAGAGCTGAATTGTACTTGCAAAACTGGCTTTTCTCTGCTTTTTCTACTCTATTGCATGATCGCGGACGACAGTTCCGTGTCATATTCAACTCTACTCACCGGCAGCTTCATGCGCCTCTATCTTTTCTCTTCGTAGGACCACGTCCTCCTATTACTCCGCCTTTTTTTAACGTGACTCTGTTTTATGAGTACCTATGCTGCATGGCGGACTGTTTACATCGGATCGAAAAGAGACAATGAAAGGGGTGGCGAAACTGCTAAAGATGGTGTCTGTTTTGCGGCTGCTATGCCTGTCCTCTCGGGGTTATGGATGGAGGCTTTTTACTTCTTGTCACTCGTTCAAATGGCATATATTACTTTGCAGGTTTTGCGAAAGGAAAGCAGGATTGGGCATGGCACGTTGAAGTGGTTGTTATACTGAAGGGGAAAGTTTGCGCTGCACGGACAATGAGTATGGCCTTGTGCGTGCGTGCGTTAGTTAGACTTTCAAGCGTACTAGAGGATGGAAATTATATACATCCATGGAATTGAAAAAAAAATTTATCCACTCGTTTGAGAACAATTGTTATCACCCTAGTCTCGCCGCCGTGTGTGTATTAGTGTCGTTGTTCTACCCTCGTCCAGTATCTGTCTTGAAGACCAACGGTAACATTACAAGTGTGCGAGAGTGACGCAAGGGAATGCTTTCTGTCATTGTATTAGAAGGACCTAAAGGAACAGGACTAGTAGATTGGAAAGGGTATATATGTATATGTTTTATTTTTCTTCGTTTTTGTGGTAAAAAGATGGATAAAGGTTGATAACCTATCGACCCCCAAAACACGCAGCCTAACAATGACTTATATATATAGTTAATAAGTCAAATCATGAAGAAGAAGAAGAGAAGAAGAAGAAGTTTGACACATCATGTCTGTATCATGCATGTATCATGGTATGTACGTGTAAATATATATAATATAGTAACCGGAAGAGAGAGAATGTTATAAGAGTTTGATTAGGGAGAAGAATTATTATAAATTCCAACCCTCCCCGTCCCCTGCCAAGGCCCCCCTTCCCCCTCAGTATGGCCGAGAATTAGGTTGTTGATGTTTATTTATTTGATTCTATTTCTTTTATTTGCTTTTGAGAGTCTTTGGTCGTTGAGATCTATTATAGTGATGTTGATATAATGTGTGTGGCCTCGGGGTGGACATGCGTTGTTGTTTCGTCGATACCTATAGTTGTTGCATTCTCCGTCATGTATGGATGCTGTTCGAATGCGAAAGGGTGAACTTTTGTGAAGGTGGGAATGCTGCTGCTGCTGCTGTATCGTCTAATACGCACATGCTGTGAGAGAAAAAAGGTTCCGCCCAAAGAATCTTGAAACAAGAAAACTGGCAGACAAATTTTGTGTGAAGATTAAAGAAGATACGCGTGCAACTCCAAGGATGAACGCAAGTCGGGGAGATGAAGGTCAGTCACTTTTATAAGGTTAATTGGCCAAGCATTTTCTGAACCGTTAACGTAGAATTTGTTGGTGTCGTCCCATGGCTGTTCTGCGATTTGGAAACTGGATGGAAGTAGCATATAGGCTTACGTAGTGATAATGACGATGATGATGAAGACCGGAGAAGCTGGATAGCAGTGTTTCGGACAAGGAGCGTAGGTATTCTTCAGCGTCGCTCTGGCGAACGTGATCGTCCGCGGCTAATGCCAGGCCTGAACATGCGCTGCTCGCGATCGTAAGATTCAGCCGACCCGACGTGAATGAAACGTCCATCTACGCCATATAGTAAGCACATGAAACTACTCGTACCCCAAAATCATTCGGTTTGCACTCTTACCCAGGCCCAGAGCAGCGGCATCAAGCTTGACTACGAAGCTTGCCAAGATGTCTCCCTTCTGTCCGCGTCCATTGACGACGGTGACATTATGCCTGGTCGAGGCCTGTTCAAAGTCGGCCAGAAGCAACTCTGCGTGCTCGAACTTGAAGTCGCGGTTGCGCCGCTGGTACGATCCTGGAGGTCCGTTAATCAGTGTTCCGTATCCATCACTCTGAGCAACTAGGATTCGGTCGTTAACAATGAACTCGTGGAATTTTCGAAGATATGCTGCGTCAGAGGTCTGCTGTGCGACTACTGCAGGCTTAACCAGTGATTTTGTTGATGCTGAGGGGCTCGTCGGAATAGGTAAGTCTCTTGCCTTACTTGGTGCCGGCGATAGAGCTGAATCGAGGAACAGGTTTGCCTGAGCTTGTGAAGTGGTCTTTAATACCATGTCTAGAAGAAGGTGCCCTGCGGAATCTTCATTTATAGAAGACTGGAGGATATGGCGTATAGCAGGTGTACTAATTAGCTCATCTGCATGTTTATGGGTTGCGTCTGTAATGAAATCAATCATCTCAACGTCCTTGTTCTTAGACGCAATCTCATAAATGCGTTCCAGTAGAGCAATAACCTCTTCTTTATAGATCGGATAGCCTGTGCGTATGTTCTTCGAAGAATAGATGCGAATCTCGTCATATTTGATAAGTGACGCGTGCTTGTACATGGACAATTCGGAGTAGAAAAGCGATAGCGTTTCCTCGGTGCTCCTCTTTGACTCGAGACCTCTTACCGGCCAGTCGAGTGGCGTGTCCTTAGGACCGACTACTTGAAGCTGTATTCGTGGGCCAAATGGAACATAGGACTTGCGTTCCAGGAATTGCTTTAGTCGAGTTGCCGTATGTCCAAAGTTAGAGCCCATGTCAACGATCTTTCGGTCACCTTGTGTCATACACTCTCCTAGCTTCGTCAGCTCCTCGAGGGAATGCCGTGGCATGAGACAAGTAAGTCGGGACTGGATGATGTCCTCCTCTTGAGTATTTGGATTACTGAAGAGAATGGTAACAACCTCCTTCTTGATTCTATACCACATCTTAGCATGAGCTTCAGACCGAGCTGCCTTTCGTACAGAAGCGGCATGGGTTAAATCAGAACAGGAAGACATACGAATTGGTTCGGGTCAAACCTGCTGATGAGGCAGGTGAAAGTGCATTGGGGATATCAGGGACCTTGGAGTCATTGCTGGGTGTGCCATTGCTATTTCCACGGACAATATGACCACTGTTAGACGAACACAATGACGTGTTGGCCTCATCTCGTCCCGGCACATTGGGCTTGGAAGTTGTGGATGGGCATTCTCCATAGCCTATACCTGAGTCTTTGCGCCCCAAGGAAGACGTAGCAAGATCATCCTTCGCGGTGCGATGCGTGTTGTCGACCTTTACCGTTATCAAACTATGCCTGCTTGAGACATCGTCCACTTGAGGAGACGCCATAGGAGCTGTTGATTGAGATCGCGATCTCAGGAAATTGCGTACTTGCGTATCTAAATTGAGGGAAGATGGTCTATTTACTGGTAAAGTCGCAGGGAACTGTTGAGAGGAAGATTGCCCAAGTGATCGTGGTGAGCGTTGGTTGTTCATCTATGTTGAGGCGCTAATAGGTTGTGAAGGTCAAGCTAGACTATGTGAACTTGATGGATGAATGTTCTCGAAGTTGAGAAGCGAAGTGCGTAAGGGAGAAGACAGGCTGTGCACTCGATTTAATTGCGATGAGGAAGAGTGCCTTAAAAGTCGGTGTAATAGAATTTAGCAGAGCGGCTCCGCCTCTTTCATATATTTTCGCGTTTGTGTCGTGACCTACTCGCAGTGGCCAGGTTTGCGGTGTATTTCAGGTCGCAAGCTATTAGCCGTAAGGCGGCGAATTTGTCAGTCACTGCTGCAGCTGTTGCTTTGTTCTCGCAAGAGCCGACACTGGACGGCAGCTGAGATGAGGTCAAGGAATTGTCCCTTGACAGAAAGCGAGCTCACAAAAATTGGAGGTCTTGTTGAGCTCAGCTCGCAAGCGAGAAAGGGGTACCTAACGCATCGATTCTGTAAGTAGCTAGGTAGTAGTAATTAGTCGGGCAAAAACAAATACCTACAGAGATCCGTCCAGAATTTTTAGCCTATACTAGTACTTTATTAGTCCAGTTAGAAATAGTAGCGCTATCAAAGAGATAAAATATCTACTTTAAATAAATTATATATATGTTTTATAATAGCTATCTTAGTAATATAAGACTAAGTATAAGGTACTATGTACACCTAAAGGCCATATAGGAATATATTAACTTTCTATACTTATGTACTAACGCATCTTTTCGAATTTCAGTCAAACTATAAGTAGATACACTACTTATTGATTATTACTTCAGTATCATTACTAGTCGTCTAGTAGTATATATAGAATGTTCCAAGGTCTATGTTTTAAGTGAATCTAGGAACTTTGAAATCAACTCGAGTTTCGCTCGGCTGCTCTTTACAGGCTGCGTGTGCGTCCGACGCGCCGCTGATATTTTACTGAAGTCGTTGTGTCATGGAAGACGGGATCATGTGAAGTGAGCATGACACGGCAGGCAAACAGACCGCTTAGGTCTTATGCGGGGTAATAATACACGCGGTAAAAAGAGCAATATTGTTTCCTAGCAAGGGCCCGCTACCTCCTACGTCTCAGAAACAATGGTCTATGCTACGGTGGTAGAAGATGCCGACCCAGGTAACCTTGCATTGATTGATGTTCCCTTCACTGTTGGGTGTACCATGTCATGCAATGTAAATACAATAAAAAAGGCAATAACATCAACGACAGTTGAATCAACGCTTGGTACTGAACATCTCGATACCAACCCCGTTCTTTCCCTCATGCACAGTGATGTCTTCGGCAGCTTTGACCAAGTCATATTCCATGCCCTCCGTCACCACGCTGTCTTGTTGATAGTCAGGGTGAGTGCGGACGAAGTGTCTGATCCACCTTGCAGCCGTCCATAGTCGTCCGTCTGCTCTCTTTCTAATGACATCCAGATACCTGGCGAATTCGCACCTAGTCTCGACGTCAATATTCATACTATCAAGGTAGCTCTCAACTAGTGGTATCAGGCCGGGAAAGCCGTCAGATGTGTTTTGCTGTCCATTAATAATTTCGTTAACTGTCATAAGCTCGTATTCATCCTCTACTGGCCCAAATGGCGATGATGGACGACTTGTAGGAGAATTTGATCCTGATACAGGTACGCTGCTAGGTCGTAGTCCACGGCCCGAGAAGGGATTCTTTCTGAAGTGGAATACACTAGACAGGACAGCATCACGTGCGTGAGCGGTCTCCATGTTCTCCGTGACGCGAGCTATGGGCATGTAGAAGTTGAGATCGAAGCTGAGTATGGCTCTTGTAATCAGGACAATGAAAATAGCAAACGCGGCATTCTCAAAGTCGGTGATTTGTATTTCCATCGACCTAAATTCGACACGCCAGCCAATGTCAGAACCAGCTGGCGGTGGCTTGAATCGCATGTGTTGCCAGTTAGTCGACTGCAAATTCTCAAAATGATCGACTTTTTCCAGGTCTAGCTCTTTGAGATCCTCGGCGAATACAACGATTGGGTCACGAATGAACAAATGCGCAAAATGTGTGGCAAGGAGATCATCCATACCGCCTTGCACAAGGCGTTGTTTCAGATCGCCGTCAACAATCAGATCAGGGTCGAGATATTCCTTCCGTAATCGCGGATCGTTTGCGATGTAAGTCGAGTTAGATGCATATCTGGACTTAGGTATCCTCCAACGATCATTCTGGAGCGGCTGTGTGACATCAGACGATGGCATTATGAAGATCGACACAGGTCCTTACCTTCTCGCCTAACTCTTCAGCAGTTCTATCGTCGACAGCTCTGCTAATCTGGTTCCAACGAACGTCTGTATCGGCAAGGAAACCTTTATATACAGGGGTAGCAGCGGTCAATGCGAGGAATATGGGCCCCAAAGGACTGAGTTGATCATACATCTTCCGACCCTCATCGATACTTTTGGCTTGGAATGTGATCTGCAGGCAGCAGCTACCCATCCCGAAGGCCATAGCGTCCATGTGGATGTATTCGTCCTTGACAGCACCATTGCGTACGTCGTCATCCTCCGGCCATTTATGTAGATCGTAGTCCACTGTTGGGTCTTTGAAGGGACGGGGTGTCTGCGAATCGTGAAAGACAGGCACATTGACCTGCACTTTGCGGCCTCTTCGCCAACGTATATTCGCGGCCAGGGTCGGGAAGCGTATGTGAGGATTCGCGATCTCATCCGGTAAGAACTGTGATCGAAGTTTTGGCCCTGAGGTCTCATAGCTCGGAACCGTACAGTCTGGGCGGCCTAACCGGGGAAACGTGGTTAGAGTAATTGGGTATTCCGTACCTCCCATGTGCTCTTTGGCGATTTGGCGTCTTCTATCGTTAGTTCTGACACATATAAGCGTGTTGAAAGCAGCATTACCGCCATTTCATGTCCGGTTCCACATCAAGGAGCTCCTTAAACCCTATACCCCAAGGCTTACCGGGCGTGGCTTCGAGCATGAATCTACCAAACTCAGGGTGAAAAGTCGGAGCACATTTCTCGGGTCTATATCTCGAGTCAGATAAGACATCAGTGACAGGATAGTCTAACGACAGACTTTGGATTTCCTGTCTGCACGTCAGGCACACTACCACCCTGCTTCAGTAACTTCTCATCTTCGGCTAGCGCTTGAAGGATGTCAGCCTGTCGAAGGGAGAGTCGCACTCTTCGGTTCTCCTCATCAAAGCACACAACGAGGTACTCTACCTATGAGATAATGTGAGCGGAAGTCTCTGAGAAGTGTTGTGATACTGACTTCATCGCCCCACAGAAGAGCATCTCTTTCTTTGCCTTTTGCTCTTCGCCAAGTTGTCAATAATTGCTGTGGAAGGAATCAGCACATAAGTTTGCACTGGGATATAAAGAACTGTAGACCTCGATACCCCAACCTCTGACCTGATTTGCGATCTTCTTTGCCTCAGGCCACTCTAATGGTGTTCCAAGGGCGCTAGTGAGAAAAGAAACGTGAGCTAGGATCAGAGGGGCATGACGGGTTTGCGTACAGTAAACCCATTATTCCGATAGAATGCGCGCCTAAGTCACTCTACAGTCTTGACGTGAGAGTGTATGATTGTCCTGGCAATGAAAAAGTTGCGTTTAAAGAAGCCGGTGACCAGATGCTGCAAAGGTGACGTTGTTGACAAATCAACGAAGGGTTTGCGCTAGTTAGGCCCGCCAGACTTTGCTTGTATGCGTATGCGACCGCCGGGATGATAATCTCATTCACCCGTTGGCGTTAGTCCTCTGAAGCTATCCGCGAGATTGACAAGGTGGCTCCCGTGATGAACTTCTAAGGCTGCTTCGAGTCGTAATATCTCAACTGCCCGGTCCGTGTTTCAAGTGTTAGGCATGGACCGCCAGTAACTTGCGAAACTGGCCGAACAATGATACTGGAGTTTCAGTAGAAGAGGTTTGGTAGAACCAGTTGCGCATACAGTCGTTGTACTGGTGGGCTGTATGAAGCCTTGACGTTCTTCCGCCGGTCAAAGCCTCTTGGCTCGCTATCCGGAATGCGAAGCCAAGTTCCCCTAGAACCTCATGTCAATAGCGCGACTGTCATTCTGATACGAACTTTGAACAAAAATGAATGCTAGCGATATGGAAGGCATGGTACTTCGTAAGTTCAATCACAGGAAATTACCTGAGCAATGTCTTCGGCCGGTCAGCATACCCCATATTTAAAGCCGAAAAGCAGCGAATTTGCGCCGTGATCCGTGTTGCGCTGGAGATCGTACGCAACGGTACTTGGGTGAAATTGGATGGTAATCTATTTCACATATCACAATAGTGAGACATTCTACACTGTCTATTGGAGGCTACTCGGATGTAGACCTAGAAAAAATGGCGCAGAACAGGATAACATATTCGCGCCTAAGCAATTCAAAACCTCTATCGTACATGTATATAACCTTTACTGTAATTCATCATCATATTGATCGTGCGTTTTCGTAGTATTAACCCACTGATGAAGGGCATGCACTTGTCTGTTGGCGTGTGCCATTCGAAGACTTTTGAAAGACTCAGACTCGATCGACGTCATATCGTACAGTATAGTATGTACGTTGTGGCACTGTATGAAATATTCGAGGTATGGAATTATATAAGTATGATGAAGCGCATGTTAGCCGGGTCCGATGCGAGGCCTGGATTCAAGGTTAGATTTCGCAAGCTACTCCAATACATAATGCACTTACATGTCATGATGTTCGCTGAGGGTACTCAAGTATCTATTCAGGTCCTCAACTTTCTCCTTATGAGTCTTGACGCCTTCTCGCTTCAATCGCTCATTGAGTCTTCGTTTTCTCTGCTCCTCGAATCTGAGCTCCGCTTCAGTTTTACCACCACGAGCCTTGAAGTCAGCTAGCTGCTTGTCAATGTTGTCACCCATGGTATCATCATTGCTTGTAGTCGCATTTTCTGTTTGATCGTTGTTCAATGAGCTTGAGTGGTTCTCGTTGACTTGTGGCGGTACGTCTCGCTTGGAGGAGGTCTCTGCTGCTTCGCCTCCTGGTCTCGTCTTCTTTTTCTTCTTTTTCTTCTCCACGCCAGCGGCGCCTTTTAGTTTCAGCGATCCAGCTCCAACGGAAGTATATTCGGCTGGTGCCATCGCTGACTGCGGAATACGGACTGACGAGGGGTGGTGTCAAATGGAGCTAGAAGTCTTCACCCAACTCCAGAACTACCTAACATAAACCGGAGGTGGCGGCTTGGCAACGGGGATAACGCCCCTACTGGAAGGCGCCGAAGAAATCGGCCTCACAAACCACCACACGAACCACTATGGGAAACTCGCCCACTGCGGCGCCGTCGTCAAAGCCGAGGCACTGTCGAATCTGAGCGACTTATAAGACTGGAAGTCTCTGCGCACATTTTGCAGAATCCCGACAGAGTACAAAACTGTTCATTACTACCAGTCTCCATTTTGAGGGCTAGGACGCACAACCACAATCGGACTAATCTCTCAGCATGTCTACTTTCAACGCCGTACATTTAGCCAAGCGTCCTACCAGCGACATCATACCCGGCGAAACATTTGAAGTCAAAGTGCATCCTACACCTAAAGAAACAGATCTCAAAGATGGCCAAGTCATTTTTCAAAGCAACTACCTAAGTTTAGACCCGGCTATGCGAGGATGGCTCAAGGGTTGGTCTACCTGGAATGAGATATACGTAGCTCGCGCCCCAAGTCAATTTAGACATTGTTGAGATGCAAAGGCCAAGCTGACCCATACACATTACTTTAGATGCCCGTTCCTACGTCCCACCAGTAAAGATCGGTGAGATAATGCGTGGCGCTGCCGTCGGCAAGGTCGTAGGGTCCAAATCATCAAAGTTTCCTGTTGGCTCCTATGCCACAGCTACATGTGGATGGGCTGAGCTCGCAGTTGTTTCAGACAAATATGTCGAGAAGGTCGAGCTGCCGTCCAACGCAAGCATTGCGGATTCGCTCGGTATACTTGGTACGTAACTTGTCTGCCTTATCGATTGTTTGCTGTGGCGGTGTCAGCCACATGGATTGCAGAAGTCTCTGCGGGTACCTGGAAACCATTCTCCGTCCTCGGTTCCCCATAACCTCTTCGGGGGACCTTATCAAGACGGGTCTGTCCGCACCCAGGTCCAGACTGCAGCCAATCAACCGCACACCCCTCTTCAAGATATCAGATAATTCGCACGGTTTTGCGCTAACGACCCAAGGGTTGACGGGACTTACTGCCTATTTTGGCATACTGGACGTTGGTCAGGTCAAGGCTGGAGATTTTGTGGTTGTCTCGGGCGCTGCAGGAGCCACTGGCAGTGTAGTTGGCCAGATTTGCAAGATCAAAGGCGCAAGAGTCCTGGGTCTGGCCGGTACTGACGATAAATGTGCATGGCTCATCAACGAACTGGGTTTCGACGCAGCTCTCAATTACAAGGAGCAAAATTTCCCCAAGAACTTCCGTGACGCTACGAAAGGACTCATTGACATCTTTTTTGACAATGTAGGAGGTGATATCCTTGACATGGCCCTAGGAAGAGCGAAACCTCACTCACGCTTCGTTATGTGCGGTGGCATCAGTCAGTACAATGCCGCGGAGGCAAAGGGTCCAAAGAACTACATGATGATCGTTGCCATGAGGATTAGAATGCAAGGATTCATTGTGACTGATTATGAGAGCCAATTCGTCGAGGCTAGAAGAGAACTTGCACAATGGATGTCCGAAGGCAAAATCAAGGGCAAACTCCATATTGTTCGTGGTGGGCTTGAGAAAGCTGAACAAGCTTTGGTGGATTTGTACAAGGGGGTTAACACTGGTGAGTTCCTAATTACTGTGTAATGAGAATGATGCTGACTTTCACCCACTAGGTAAGCTGCTAGTCGAAATCAAGCCAGATGCAGATACCAAGTCGAAGCTATGAACCAACAGAAATTGTTGTACGAGGTGCCGATTTTACTGCATACGTATCACTTATTGCACAGGCTCAGCCCGGTGCACTTGGTTTTAATGACGAGGAATAAGCATTGGCATAGATAATATAAGAAACAAAGAACCAGGAATCCGGCCCACACCACACAAATATTCATGTTCCAGGTTAGGAGCGGGCTTACGTGTAGCGCTCCCGAATAAAAGGGCAAGTATTGTCATTTGATGTTCGTCACACCCATACATCCACGGGCGTCATAACTAGATGGTCAGTCTCAGTACCCAGCCGTAGCCGCATCTCTCCTATATTACACAAGGCATGGTAGAGGCGATACTGCGATCTAGCACGGCTGAGAGTGAGCAACACAGCAACATGGAGCGACAACATCAATATGGTATACAAACCCTAGCTTATAATAGCCCCTTGCATGCATATTTCAACAGCAGACAACCCCATCCAAAATGTGGAGACTCAAATGCCGAAACATTACCCTCGTAATATTCTCCGAAAGTCAGGCAGTATATTTATTTACAGCTGGGAGATGAACCATAGTCATAGTCCACATTCAACATTTTCAAATTACGCCATGGTACCTCTCTGTCTTAAATTTTCGACGGCTGCGCACATCCCTCTCATTTATTGAGGAGTATTATCGACAGTACGCTAAATGCGAGTCTTCAGTGCGAACGGCAACGTCTTAATTCTAGCGTCGGCGATCTCTGTAAGTCAGATAGGAGGAAGCCGAGGACAAGGCTACATTACTACTGTGATGGATTTTGTGCAGTAAAAAGAAATCCATACAGGCGTCATCATGCATGGGCAGACGTCTAACGATTCTGCTCCAATCTGGGTGACCTCGGGACGAGCACGCTTTTACAGGGGCCCTGGCCGCCAGGATGTACCTGCTCGCAGCGCTGCTTTTGTTGTTTGAAATAGCAGGACGCTTGCATACCGCGGTAGGTAGACGCGTATAAGCATGTCGTTGAGACAGGACATACCTGCTTCAAACCCCCAAGAAACGTGGCAAAGGAACACAAACACAGGCTACAGTTTATAAAATCTTCTAAGCGAGCATGGATACCAGGCATTCGACAAAGACTGCGGCCGTATAGATTGCCGTCGGCAACGGCCATGGCCGCCTCCATCTCGTTCGCACGTGCATGCACAACAGGAGTTCGCCCTTTCAACGTAGATGGACAGAAGGTCGATGACAATAAATAGTCGAATGTCCAGTGCTTGAAATTCGCAACGGGATTGGACGACTGGAGATCTCAACAACTGCACGGTCGCCCTTGATCTCGGCGATGAGCTCTGAGAGCAGTCTAGGAGCTAACAGTATTGCTTAGCGCCATCGATCTCGGAGCCCGCCTGCGAGCAACGGTAGCAGTCTAAGGTAACGAGAGGGAGTGATCGATAGTGTAATAGTGGGGTGTAGAAGATGTTCAGGATTGGACAGTAGTATCTAGTTATCAGATTTCTGCAGAATAATTTGGGCATGGGTAATATGGCCCAGGGGGACGGACAAGGACATGGACCACCAAAGACACCCACCACAACTACATTCATCGCTACGGGAGAGCCGTCGCCGCCGCGGTAGCAGCAGTGCGCCGTCAGAGATATTATACCCTCAATTACGATGATTCCATTTCCTGAAGACTCACTCCTTGGTCCCGCCATACGATTGCCGCCGAATGGAGCGTGGTCTAACTTCAACAGCGGGACCGTATAGAGAGCCCCAAGCCATCTCATGGTCTGGTAGCTATCACAGTCGTAATTCGTCATATCTACTAGCTGATGGTGTTTGACGGATGCTTAACAGGCGCCGACTAGTTCTAGCTGGTACCCTGCAGCTCGGTGGCTTCTTCGGCCTTGGCAGCTTAATTCGACCCCCTACCTTTTGATACTGAACCCTCACACTAAGCAAGCATCGCCTCAACACCGTCTAAAATCACGTTCCAACCTTGTCATCACCGAAACCTCGATTTTCTTCTTCGTCCTCCATCTTACTCCGTCAGTCTGGTGCCACTCTGTCCCTGATCAGTATTGTGGGCCCGCTACAACCCCCGGACTGTGTGTCTCATCCCGCCTGCTATCTACCTCCACCTACGCGTCTGTCCACTATGCGTATCCACCCAAATATGTTTTCGTCGACTGTTGCCGTACACTCCTCCTAGCACTGGTCTTCGCCACAGTTCTTGTAGACCAGTACGGTAGATGGCAATTATGCCGGCAGCTGTCAAGCTGCCTCAAGGTCCGAAGAAGCTAGGAACAGCAGAGCGTGCATGTTCAACCGAAATGGCTCGTTGGTGCTGTAGATGACTTTGCCTTGAATTTGTGATATCATGCTACTGCTTGATAGCCGGGATCGAAAAAGCACAGTTGCGAACAATTGAGATCAGATTGCTCAGGCCCGCGGGTTGACGCCAGTTCGAAAAAACTCTTCCGCTGACTTTACTCATCCGCCCCCCTCCCCATGATACGAACACGTACCTGACAGGCCTAGTCCCTGGCATCCCGCTTCCCGAAGGTCCATGTTATCAAATGCTCGTCTATGTGCAGGGCTGATAGTTGTTATCATTTGCTCCTTCAATTCCGTTCTTATGGAACCACTCAAGCATATACAACTCCGGCCTCTATTGGGCTCAACAGGCCTACCTTGTCGCTCTAAAGTGGATAGTGTTTTTTTCATAATCCGCAATGATTGTGCTACCAGTACTGTTTAGGGTACTGTCCTTTCTTCGACAGTCTCTGGCCGATCCGACTAGCAGGGCTTCGCGGTCCTCAACGGCATCCTAGCGAGGTTGATCTAGTGAGTTGTGGATTGAGTATGCTGTCACCCTTGTTCTGTTGGTTATTCATGATGGGGTCCATACGAGCCACATTGACGCAATCCACCACGCAAGCAATCCTTATATAGGAGCTGCCAATTCTGCCAGAGTATGCAGTTAGTGGTGTTCGCTGCCTGACCCCAAATTGTCACTCACTTTGCTCAGTGTAAATTTTTCAGTACTCTATTCTGGAGTGCGTTCCCAGTGACTCATCATGTTGCACCGCAACATAGGTGTGGTGCTCTTATTCTTCAGTGCTATAGCACTCGCGCTACGCTATGACTCTGCTCACGATGGTTGGAACCTGAACGAAAACAAAACAGCCTTGGATCCCGTACACTATGCGGGATCATGGAGCAATGAGACCTACAATCACACCTACAATCCGTCTCCGACCAACTGGAGAATGCCGTTTTATGTGCTCACCCTCGATCGGTACATCGATGGTGACCCAACCAATAACGAAGCAAATGGTACAAATTTTGAGCACGACTGGCAAACTAATCAATTCCGATTTGGTGGAGATGCAAAGGGTCTCATGAACAACCTGGACTATATCCAAGGGATGGGAATCAAGGTTAGTATCGACATCACACACAAATACTGGGTGTGACTAAAATTCCTATAGGCACTCTATATGTCAGGCACCCCTTTCATCAATATGCCGTGGGCAAGTGACGGCTTTGGGCCTCTAGACTTCACACTGCTTGATCATCATCACGGAACCATACAAGATTGGCGGAACTTGATTACGGAAATTCATCGACGTAATATGTACATTGTACTGGACAATACAATTGCGACAATGGGGGACCTTTTCTCCTTCAAAGGCTATGAGAATGTCTCGACCCCATTCTCATTCAATGAATACGACGTGGTCTACAAGTCGGACCGCCAGTATCTCGACTTTTCTTACAAGAACGAGTGGAATGCTTCTTGCCAATACCCGAGATTATGGCAGGCTGATGGCTATCCCATGGCCAATGCTAGCGTTCTTGACGGGATTTCTCATGGCTGTATGGACAGTGAATTCGATCAGGTGTGTCTCATGTTCTACATTCTCATTGGGAGTATACTGGTATGCGAACATACTGTTCCTATTTCTGCCACGCAGAATGCATAACACGATTGTCGTTGAACTTGGTTTCAATCATGTGGACTTCACTAACTTCTTTGTAGTATGGTGATATTGCTGGTGTAGGAGAAGTTCCCGTGTGGGAGAATCAGCTCGGGAAGTTCGCCTCTGTCCAAGATCGTCTGCGTTCATGGCGACAAGATGTACTCGACAAGATCAATGTCTTTTCTTGCATGCAGATTTCTATGCTTGACATTGATGGTTTTCGCATCGACAAGGCTGCACAGACACCGATTGATGTCTTTGGGAATTTCTCAGACTATCAACGCACATGCGCCAAACAGTACGGAAAAGAAAATTTCCTCATTGTCGGTGAGGTTGTGAGTAAGACCCCATACGCATCACTTATCATCGGCCGTGGAAAGGAACCTCAGAATGCATGGGACAACTTCGCAGATGCGGTCGCAGCCAAAGATGTTCGCAACTCGACTGATTACATTCGCGAGTTCGGCCACAGCGCCCTAGACGGTGACGCGTTCCACTATCCAACTTATGGTGGCATTACCAGATTTCTTGGACTTGACGGTCCTATTGGATTGGAGGGAGTCAATTTCGTTGAGATATGGCACGATCTGGTTCGTCATGAGGATATGGTCAACGCCAATACTGCTGAGTTTGATCCACGCCACATGTTCGGCATGACCAACCAGGACGTTTTCAGGTGGCCTGGGTTAAAGGACGGCATACAACGCCACCTTTTAGGTTTATTGATCAATTATTTACAGATGCCTGGTATTCCATTCCACCTATGGGGCGAGGAGCAGATGTTCTACGTACTAGAGAACCAAGCCGCCGATTATGTTTTTGGCCGGACACCTATGGGCTCTTCTCGCGCTTGGCAACTCCATGGGTGCTACAAAATCGGCCAGGAGGTTTATGTCAATCAACCGTTTGACTCTGCAAATCGGGGCTGCGAGGATGATTCTGTCAGTCTCGACCACCGCGACCCGTCCCATCCAATCCGCAACATAATCAAACGGATGTACGAGCTCAGAGAGCAGTACCCTGTACTGAATGATGGATTTACGGTCGAGACACTTATGAATCGCACTCAAAGTGTGTACCTGCCTGGAAGCTTAGGCATGCCTTCACCCACTGGTCTTTGGAGTATTTATCGCGGTCGCACAGCAGCCGTACAGGACCTACAAGGAGGCCAGGGCAACCAGAGCGTCTGGTTAGTCTATCACAATAATGATACTATTGCTAACTACACGTCCGACTGTAATAGTAGCAACTATACCGACGTCATTCTCTCCGCGTTTCCGGGTGGTACCACAGTGAAGAACCTTTTCTATCCATACGAGGAATACACCCTTGAAAATTCAACGATTCAATTAGGGATTGATGGCGAGACAGAAACTAATGGCTGTCTAACTTCCGTTGAGCTAGCGCCCTATGGATTCAAAGCATTTGTCCCAGTTGAAACCTTTGAGGATCCTCGTCCAACAATCACGAAAGTTGTGCCAGGTCATGATGAGCGATTAGTCTCGACAACATCGGATGGCACCGGACAGGTTGTGCCATTCGAAATCCATTTCTCCACCGAAATGAATTGCGACTCTCTTCGAAATAATATCAGTATATCCTCTACTACTAACGACGCATCAACTCCGACCTTCAACAAATCAAGCGTGACATGCCACACAATTGATGCAGAGACTGGTTCCTACGTCGGCTACGTGGCAGGCACATGGGTTTTCAAAGGAGAATTCGAGAATGTTTCAGACGGCATCCATGTGATCAGCATCAAGAACGTTACCAACGAAGCCGGTAATCAAAGTACGAATGCCTACGATGCGTATATGTTTCGCATCGGCCAAAGAACGAACCCAATGGTCTTTCCTGGATCCTCTAACTACTCTACAAGTCTTCTGAATCGCGATGACACGACAGGAGACCTATATGTTGCTCACAACGCTGCCGGAGCCAATCGTTGGCAGTATTCTCTTAATTGGGCCACCTCTTGGAGTGATTGGATTGACTACGAGCCGGGAAACACGACTATTGACTCACAAGCTTGGTCTGGCTCCAAGGCCCAAACTTGGGATGGCCATCATATCATGATTCGTTACTGGAGCGAACTGGCCGGAAGCATGGAACACGTACAACATGGCGATCTCGACTTCAGTGGTGGACCGCGACAATGGCCTCACATGCATGTCACAGGCCCATGGAATCTGTATGGATATGATGCAGGCCTGGAAGACTCAATGAGTCTTGCGTCCGACAGTGGGTGGGAATTTGATTTGATGGTTGAGTGGCCAAGCCAAGTCATTCTTAGTACATGGGGCATCAATCCTGACGGCCAGCCAGATCTTTCGAAGGTCTATGGAGATGTAGATGGTGATAACATTCTTGATTGGTTGCCCCCAACAAGTCTGTCCGACAATGTCGTCAACATCTCAGGACCTAGCATGCCGTATACTGGAGTCAGGATCATCGCGCGTGACTCTGACTTGAGATATATTCTCGAGCCTGTTGGCTCGGCCTGGAAACAACTGGCGATCTGGCTGCTTCTCGGTATCATTCCTGTATTAACTGCGGTCACCACAGCCTATCTCTTCGTAAGATGTTTCTACCACGTCAAATTCAACGAGCTTGGCATCATGAAGAAATCGTCGTCACCTACTTTGGGTCCACTTCCTACACTGGCTGAAAGCTTCTTTGCAGCCCCTGGAAGAAGTACAATGGAATTATTCGGCAGCGCAAAGCAGGCACACCCAATGAACCCACAACGTCGCGACGGCTTTGCAACGACTGAGGGAGATAGCAGAAAAACTGTTTTAATCGCTACTATGGAATACGAGATTGAGGACTGGGCCGTGAAAATCAAGATTGGAGGTCTCGGTGTCATGGCATCTCTCATGGGCAAAAACTTACAACACCAGAATCTGATCTGGGTTGTGCCATGTGTGGGAGGTATTGAATATCCAACAGACCAAACAGCAGAGCCAATGACGATCAAGATCATGGACCAGGATTACACGATCAATGTCCAGTACCACGCTCTGCGAAATATTACGTATGTTCTACTCGACTCCCCAATTTTTAGAGGGCAGACGAAGGCGGATCCGTATCCAGCCCGTATGGATGACATGGAGAGTGCAGTCTACTACTCTGCTTGGAACCAGTGCATAGCAGAGGCTGTCCGTCGCTTCCCAGAAATCGACCTTTATCATATCAACGATTATCACGGCTCTATTGCACCTCTCTACCTGCTTCCGGACACGATCCCCGTTGCGCTGTCGCTTCACAATGCCGAATTTCAAGGTCTGTGGTCCGTGAAGACACCACAAGCTTTGAAGGAGATTTGCCGAGTGTTCAACCTCAGCAAAGATGTTGTAAGCAGATATGTTCAATTTGGAGAGGTTTTCAATCTTCTACATGCTGGTGCTAGCTATCTCAGACTACACCAAAAGGGATATGGTGCCGTTGGTGTTTCTACCAAATACGGAAAGCGCTCTTTCGCCAGGTATCCGATCTTTTGGGGCCTTCCCAAGATTGGTGCACTTCCCAATCCAGATCCAACGGATACTGCTGCGTGGAACAAGACCCTACCTCATGCGGACTCTATTGCCATCGACCAAGAGACTGAGCAGCAAAGAGGAGCACTCCGTACGCAAGCTCAAGAATGGGCCGGTCTCAAAGTCGATCCCCATGCTGAGCTCTTCGTCTTTGTTGGACGATGGTCGCTACAGAAAGGGGTGGATCTCATCAGCGATGTTATGCCCTCTGTCCTTGAGAAGAATCCTAATGTGCAGCTCATTTGTATAGGACCTGTCATCGATCTCAATGGCAAGTTTGCTGCATTGAAACTTCAAAAGCTCATGGAAATGTATCCCGACCGAGTTTGCTCTAAGCCTGAGTTCACCATGCTCCCGCCTTATATTTTCAGTGGCGCTGAATTCGCTTTGATCCCTTCTCGCGATGAGCCTTTTGGTTTGGTCGCTGTCGAATTCGGGCGTAAGGGTGCTCTTGGAGTTGGTTCTCGTGTCGGTGGCTTAGGACAAATGCCTGGGTTCTGGTTTACAATCGAGTCTAATCAAAGCAAGCACTTGATTCGTCAATTCAAGGCCGCCATCAAAGCTGCGTTAGAATGTACAACTGAGAACAGAGCAATGATGAGAGCCCGATCTGCTGTGCAACGGTTTCCGGTTGCTCAATGGGTCGAGGGCCTGGAAGAATTACAAGGCGAAGCAATCAGAATGCACGGTAAAGTGCTATCTCGAGCTCCTTCGTTCATTAGCTTGAAAAGTCCAATCGCCTCTCCCTCGCAGTCCAAAAACAATTCTCCTCTGCACACTCCAACTATTAGTCGTCGACCTAGTCTTGCTAGCGTATTCGGCGGCCGTATGGGCAGTCGTGTTGGCAGCAGGGCAGCGAGTCCGATCAGAGAAGAATCGAACGAACCCAATACACAAGAGGAATTACAGAAGGCGCTTTCAAAGACAAAGGAAGGAAGACGAACGGGAAAGAAAGCCAGAATCGCACCAGCTTCAACATCAGCGGGATCCAATGGCAATTCTATCAATCAACAGGGATTCACAAGTCTGTTAGAGCCAATTGAAAGCAAGAATCTGTATGATCAACAGCAGGCCACCAACGATTCTTCCGGCTCGTCGTCCTCGTCTTCCAAAAGTACTCGAAGCCAGACCGACCGTCCTTCCCGTGAATCTGACCCCGTGTCACAAGAAGAAGACGCTACTCGGTCGAATTCTTGGGACTTTGCTACAGGCAGTCCAGGAAGAATGAACACGGCACCGACGACTGCCGCAAATACTCCCGGGCCAAGTAGAACCCCATCTTTTAGCTTTCCCCAGAATGGTGCACAAAATAGTTACGACTCACTGCCACCGTCGCGGGTGCCTTCTGTTCTGAGTTTGTCGACCGTGGTTGGTGATGAAAAGAATTACTCTCTTCAGAAAGTAGATCCTTTCTTCACTGACGCACAAGGATACTATTACAAGAGGTACACCAAGATGCTGGAGAACCTCAGTGGCAAGACGTCTGAAGGAGAACTGTGCGTGGAAGACTACCTGACAAAGGCTGAGAAAGATTGGTTCAATCGTATGCATAAGGCAAAGCTTGGTGTCAAGCAATCGGACACTTCTCCTAGGAGCTCTACAAACGAGACTATGATCGGCGAGGCTTCTATCATCGAAGGTCAGGTGGATGAATTTAACCTGGGCGCTGACTACGCGCCTCCAACTGGTGTCCGCAAGCTCATGAACTACAAGATCCGAGACTGGCCGCTGTATGCCTTCATAATAGCTTTGGTAAGTGTTTCAGGTCAGAAAGTAGAGCCGCACTGACAAGTGACAGGGACAAATTCTTGCTGCAAATTCCTACCAGATCACTCTCATCGCTGGTGAGATTGGTCAGACGGCAGAGAAACTTTACATCATCGCATCCATTTATCTTGCCAGCTCAATTCTTTGGTGGATCATTTTCCGCAGATGCAAGTCAATTTGGGTCATCTCCACCCCTTTCATGTTCTACGGTGCAGCCTTCTTTATTCTTGGCATGTCTCCTTACGGGAGCACATATAGCAGCCGAGCCTGGATCCAGAACGTAGCCACTGGACTATACGCAATCGCTTCTGGCAGCGGATCCTTGTTCTTTGCCCTCAACTTCGGAAGTGAGGGCGGTTCGGCAGTTCATACCTGGGCGTTTCGCGCCTGTGTTATTCAAGGCACTCAACAGATCTACGTCACTGTGCTTTGGTTCTGGGGTAATTACCTCTCGGAGAAGTCTGCTGCAGGGTTTACTGGAACTATGATCACTTCTACTCCTTACGTCACAGCAGTCACGACACCTGTCGCAGTAATTCTTTTCGCCTGTGGCATACTTCTATTCCTGGGCCTTCCTGACTACTACCGCAACACCCCGGGCAAAGTTCCTTCCTTCTATACCTCTCTCTGGCGTCGCAAGATCATCATGTGGTTCTTCGTCGTGGTTCTAATTCAGAACTTCTTCCTCTCCGCACCTTACGGTCGCAACTGGCGCTACCTCTGGAGCTCCAGCGTTGCGCCAGCCTGGGCCATTGTTATCCTTGTTTTCGTCTTTTTCATCCTCATTTGGGCTGGCGTTTTTACTCTGTTTGCAAAACTCTCACACGAGCACTCTTGGATCATCCCTTTGTTTGCAATTGGTCTGGGGGCTCCAAGGTGGGCACAGATGCTCTGGGGCACCTCCGGCATGGGCTCCTGGGTTCCATGGGCTGGCTCGCCGGTTGCTGGTGCGCTACTAGGTCGTGGCTTATGGTTATGGCTCGGTGTGCTGGATCAGCTTCAGGGTGTCGGATTTGGCATGATTCTCCTGCAAACAATGACGCGGTTCCACGTTGCATTTACTCTGATCGCCGCGCAGGTGCTTGGTAGCGTTGCGACTATCGTTGCACGCGCATGTGCGCCCGATAAGCTTGGTCCAGGACCTGTGTTCCCGAATCTGGTGCTAAACCTGAATGGCCTGGGCAATGCATGGTTCTGGATTACGATCATCTTCCAGATTTTCATTTGTATAGGCTTCGCTGTGTTTTTCAGGAAGGAGCAGCTATTCAAACCTTAGGTGGTATAGGTTTTGTAGAATAGTCATGTAAGATTGTGAAGGATACATATGTCATGATAGTAATGATCACAGTAAACACACGGAGCTTTAGGATATCAACGAGACATGGTTTTGTATAGATCAACTGTTTTCGAGAATTTGTTTTGTTTAGACTAGATACCACATCCGCACCATCGTTAGCGCTACATACCGAATGTTATTATGCAAAGCTGTCAAACTAGACTGTGCAATATGTAGGCAATACCACGAACGCTAACATAATCTCGTCTATCTTCTATACACCGATCGATACGCCATGATCTCAAACCAGTACGAACGAGATATGTACACAACCTTAGCTTATGAATACAGGGTCCGGGACGGCGATATTACCACTAGTACATTCCTCAAAGCAACTTATAAGAGTACTACTCTATCATCACACTTATACCTTCTTATATCCTTTAGAATTATAGGTCTTAAGATTCTTTTAACATATAACTTTAGTATATTAAGCTGCTAGTGACTTACTACTATAGACCAATCTATTATGATTTAAATTTAATGTAAGTATGCATTGCTATAACTGTAATTCATGAAATGGAGATAATTTGTACACAGCATTTAAGTTTCTATAAGAAATAAGCTAATATATAATTAGTGTCTTGGCGCTTTCTGTTATACTTATCGGGGGTAACTCCTTCCAGACACGGGACTCTTAGATCATGCGTCGGTCCTAGCTCCCGAGCTGAATGAACGCTGCTCTCTCTGAACCAGAACTTCACTAAACCACCATCCGCCCCCGCTGCTGGAATTCAATAACGCGCCATGCAAGAAGCCAGCTCAGGATGAAGAAAACCTTGCTGTTATGCTTCATACATGGCTTTAAGGTGAGTACATGCAGCTGAGTCACCGGGATATCATATCTTTAACAAAGCTTTAGGGGGGTGACGACACTTTCGCTGGCTTTCCCGAGCACCTGAAAGGCATCCTCAGCCACGCTCTTCCTAAAGTTACCGTTAAGACTATCACATATCCCAAGTTTGAGACTGTAGGAGATCTGAAGGAATGTGTCGGGAGGTTCAAAGAATGGTATATCACGCTTCATGACCAGTAATAAAGCGAAAGCTCACTCTGTGTAGGCTTCAGAACAAGGTCATAGACCTGGAGGTCGCAAATAGCACTCCTTCTCCCACTGTAGATCCCTCCGTCCACACTATCCTCATCGGACACTCCATGGGCGGCATCGTTGCCGCCGAAACCCTCTTATCGATCGCCTCAGAACAACCCATATCCGAGTCTGCCTCAACTTTAAGTAACACTTCGCTCATGTTCCCCTATATTCAAGCCGTCCTCGCATTCGATACGCCTTACCTAGGCATCGCACCAGGAGTCGTTGCTCATGGTGCAGAAGGCCATTGGAAAAAGGGTCAAGCAGCGTATAACGCTTACACCAACGTCGCAAGCGCATTCGGTTGGGGCGGGGCGAAGACTCCCACGACGAATAGCGCCATCGATGCTAGCAGGATGCTTCCCAGTAGCACGTCCATCAACGACGTTAATGGCGATGCTGCTGCCGCGCCGCTTTGGCAGCGATGGGGCAAAGTCGCCATGTTCGCTGGAGCTGCAGGCGCAGTTGCTGCAGGCGGTGCCGCGGCCTACATGAACCGCGATCAGATCTCAGCAGGCTGGACGTGGGTAGGCTCACACCTTGAATTTGTAGGATGCCTCGCGCGCGGCGAAGAGCTGAAGAAACGGCTCGCGAGTTTATGCAGGGTGTCTCAAGCACATGAGCTTGGGTTTGCAAATTTGTACACGACACTGGGTAAAGCGGTGGAGGACAAGTCATCATCCTCGTGGGCCGCTGGAGTCGTTGGATCAGATCGAACTTTCTGCGTGATACCTGGCGACAAGTCAGAGAACAGGGGTTTCTTCATCCCAGCCAAGAACGACAAAGCGACCGCTGAGACTTGGGCACATATGGGGATGTTCGATGTCAAGGAGAATCCGGATTACTACGACATGGGCGCCCGGGCTAGGGATCTGATCGTTGGCTGGTGTCTGAACTCATGGTACGAAGAAGCAACACCACCCGACCAGAAGTTGCTCGAGGATACCAGTGAGGACGATGTCGAGATGGTCGACAAAGGCGACACCGAGCTCGGTGAAGATTTCGAAAATGTTCAACCCACCGAGGCCTGATGCGTGTTCATGGCTTTATGCACGTTACGAAACCGATGACTTTGGGTAGATGATTTTGTAAACTTGTAAGCGGAGCTTCATCTGCAATCGATATGCTACTTTTTCTGACTGTAAGACATCACGATCGTTCATTGATGTCAGTTCGATACTATCTGGGTTTCATCTTTCTCCGACACGCTCATAATGTGACTATTCATCTTCCTCCGGCAATCCCGCTGATAGAGCCATGTGGTCAGCAGCTCTATATCCAAAGGTAAGAGCCGGTCCTAGCGTACCACCAGCCCCTGGATATGTGCTACCCATAATAGAAGCAGACGTGTTGCCAGCCGCATACAAACCTTCGATTATAGACCCGTCCTTCTTGATCACCTGCGCATGCTCGTTCGTCACAAGTCCCCCTTTTGTACCCAGATCCCCGGGATAGATCCTCACTGCGTAAAACGGACCCTGCTCGATGGTGCCCAGATTGGGATTCAAGCCTACTCCTGGATCACCAAACATACGGTCATATGCATTCCCACCGCGCCCAAAGTCCTCGTCTACGCCTGTATGGGCAAAAGAGTTGAACCGTGACACGGTGCTCTGCAGTCCTATTGCATCGATACCCATCTTTCCCGCTAGTTCTGCGAGGTTGTCCGCCTCAACCAAGTATCCCGAGTCGGTGTAATTCTTTGGCACCTTCGTCCGCGCCATCAGTAAACCCAGCGCATACTTTCGCCGATACTGTGCATCGACAACCATCCACGCCGGCGCTGCAGGCACACTTTTGTGTCGCGCGTACATGGCATGGACAGCATCGACATAGCTCTGCGATTCATTCATGAAGCGTGAACCGGAGGCGTCGACGATGATGCTATGTGGCCGTGAGCGGTCGTAGATGAGTACGAGGGGCTTGTGGTTCAGAGTAGGCTCGAGGACGGCAGGCGTCCACCATGCCGAGCTCATGAGAGCGGTGGATGCGCCGAGGGACATGCCGGCTAGGATCGCATCGCCTGTGTCGGAAGCCGGCGTGGATGTCCAGGTGGTTTTTGTTGGGGAGGGATGATGTTGCGAACGCAAGGCTGCGTTATGGGCGAAGCCACCTGCGGCGAGAAGAGTGCCGCGAGGGGCGTGGATGTCAATTTCAGAGTTGTGATGCTTGATAGTGGCGCCAGTCACAGCACCTGAGGTACTCGTCCGCAGATTGACTAAGGGTGATTCCCTCCAGATTGGGATGTCATGTTGTATGTTAAGATGGAGGAGTTGGGCTATAAGCGACCGACCCATGTTTGAGGGCTCACGGCCAAGAAGTTTCCATTTCAAAGTCTTCAATATAACTCGGAGAAGGACCTTTCGGTTCTCACTGGATGTCATGAAGGCCAGAAGCGGTCCAGTCTCTTGGGCATACATCGCCATGGCAGGAGGGTACTCGTCACGAAGAAGATGTTGTAACCAACTCCCAAGCTTCTTCAGGTCGAACGTGTCACCCTCAATGGTGCGCCCACCTGATAAGGAGCCAGGGACATCTGGATAGTATTCTTCATAACCTAGAGAAGCGTGCCATTTGAATCCTAAATCCTCAAGAAATTTGATGGCTTTAGGCGCAGTTTCGACATACGCCTTCCGACGTGTGGGCGATGTAAAAGGGCCGCGGTCTTGGATGATGTTGTCTAAGTATCTGAGAGCTTCGTCCGTGTTGTCTTGTATACCAGCTGCTCTATGGAGGTGATTGTTAGGGATCCACAGACAGCCACCGGAATAGGCAGATGCGCCTCCAATTTTGGAGGCCTTTTCTATCACCAAAGGCTTGAGACCGAGATATTTAGCTCGCAGCGCAGCAGTCAACCCTGTAACCCCACTACCAACTATCAACACATCCGCTTGAGTATGAGTTGTCTCCAGGGCTTTTGTGCTACTGTAGCATCTGATTTGCGTGCCGCTCAACCGAGCCAGGGGTCGTAAACCACACCTGTCAAACACAGCCCAATGGTAGGATTGATCTAGGTGTCGAAATAGACCACCGACGTTTCTAGGTCGAGCCATGAAGCAATGTTTGAGGTCTACTTCGGACAGTGTGGGAGCATGAAGGTGGTATTCAAGGAAGGCCCCTTGCTCCTACATATGAAAGTGGACTTCCCCCATAGCCTTGTCGGCCTATTCAATCTGATCATGCGGGGTAGAATTCAAAAGCGGCGTAGAACAGTCTAGGAAGTGAAAGAAGTAAGGGAGTATGATATGAGTCATTATAACTCTGTCCGAACACTTTAGGCGACCGCCCAGGGATTGGAAATAACGAGAAGGAACTTATGACTTGAGGAACATTCCATATTCTTATGGAGATAATAGAGAATTATAGTGGACAATGATGGCTTCTGGAGGGCTTTAGTATTTGTGTTTAGCAGACCGTCTGTTATCCATTTCGGGTTGGCGTCAATCCAAAGTAGCTAACAGCGACTTTGCTTATTCGCTGTATCTGTTATATTAGTCTTTGGTGCGAGAGCGTTGGAGAGTAGACGATGGTGAGTGAAGGTTGTTATAATTATTATGGCGGTTTCACTTTGCAGTGGTTCACCTTGCGCTGGCTGGCCCTCTATCTATGCATCCATGCCCAGCGCTACGCCGGACATAGTAATCAATCGCGAGAGATGGATATCCGCGCCTGACGACTCTGATTTACCTCACGCAACAATGTCTTTTCCGCCAGTCCGTGCTGTGATCTTCGACGTTGATGGTCTCCTCATAAATTCTGAGGACATATATACTGAAGTATATCTAAGTGTGCTACGTAATTACGGCGTCACATCGTTTCCATGGAAGATCAAAAGCCTGCAGATGAGTCGCGGGCGACCCGTAAGACCACACATTCCACTCAACTCTCCGCTAACCCTCTCGAACCTACGAATAGGGCACTGAGCGGATCTTGAAATATGCGAACCTGGATATGACCGTAGAGGAATGGAATGCTCTCGTCAAGCCTCACACTTCTCTCTTCACCAAGTGCCAGCCCCTACCCGGCGTGCCCGAGCTTCTGCACAACCTCACAACGCGCGTACAGCCACCGTTACAAGTCGCAATCGCGAGTTCGTCGAACTCAGAGCTGTTCAAGTTGAAGACGGGACATCTGCCGGAGGTCTCGGAGCCCATACCGCCTGAGCGTCGAGTATTTGGGAGTGATCCGGAAATGGAGGGTAAGAGCAAGAAACCTGCGCCAGACTTGTTTCTAATTGCGTTGGGGCGTCTAAATAAATTGAGCAATGCGGCACCTATTGCTCCAGAAGAGTGTCTTGTATTTGAAGACTCCATTGCAGGTGTGGAAGCTGCGCGGAAGGCGGGAATGAGAGTGGTGTTTGTACCACATCCGGGCTTGCAAGATGTTGCGCGCGGGCATGAGGAGGATATCATGAATGGCACACTACATACAGGTCTCACACTAGAGCCTGTTGAGGATGCACCAGCTATCGAGACTGGGATGTCAAGAGATGGATGGGCGGAGATGATACCAAGCATGAAAGCATTCTCGTTTGAACGCTATGGCATCCGTCTCATGTAATGACCAAAGTAAATGAACATAGAAGAATCAACTTCGGATGGATATTTCCATTTGCTGAGCTTTCAAGATTAGATCTTACTGAGCATCTGGCTTCCCTCTGAACTCCTCTCTTAAGGTCTCCCCGCCAACCTCCAGCTCCTCCGCAGGCGTCAACACAAACAACATACGACACCACTCTGTCGAACTAGGGTTGCGCCACGCATGCATGGTCCCGCGCTGAATGACTGTGTCGCCCCGCTTACACCTCCTCGTCTCCCCACTGTCCAATATCAATTCGATCTCGCCCTCGAGCACGACCATATAATCCAGTGTCGTTGTGCGATGCAGCGGGCTCAGACCTAGCGGCGGGGTCTCACTGTGCTGCATGACTGTACCACCAGGCGTGCGGTATGCTGGGGGCAGCTTGGCTTTGTTATCGGCATCGGATTTGTAGGAAATTAGGTCTGTGTTGGCGGCGAAGGAGTGTGGCACGCGCGTAGTGGAGTAGTCGAGGTGGAAAGTTGAGCCTCCCGGGAAGGTAGACTTTGGAGTGTGAATGTCGAATGTGGTATCGACGATGGCTTTGCCATTGGAGTCATGGGTAGTGATGTAGCGGGTATATGGAGGGAGGTTTGAAATGGGATCAGTAGACATGTTGCGCTGGGGCGATGGGTTCATAATTGATTACAATTTCGGATTGGGTTTCTGCCTAGTATTAGGATTTGCAGTATGAAGGATCGAATGTTGCGCTTGTTAAGTAGTCAGTTAGTTAGTATGGTCAGCTTCTTGAATTTGCAAGGCTGATCTGGCCTGAACAGCTGTAGCTAAGTATAAAAGGCGGAGTAATCTACCGTACGCCGGTTCATAGGTTTAAGTCGCATTCTCACTGCAGGACCTAGTATTTAGCTATGTTGGTATTTATGAACGGTTCCTTTGGACTATCCTTGTCCATCGGAACGCGAGCCGCCGCCGACATGCCGACATGCCGACATCTGTATCAGGAAATGGCGACGGCATCAGCATTCATTCTTCATACTTAAGCCTGGACCTCAGCGCGAGCGTTAGAGGAGTGTTTGCCTCAGATGAGAGGCCATGTTCAGAAGATCGAAACGGATCTAACATTATTACTACAACAGCTAAGAACCACATATCCGGTAGAACAACAGCCAACATTCTCATCTCCCAAATATTGTGTCTCGCACATGTTAAGATAATATGTATTTGCTTTATGCGAGAGATATTAGAGATGAGAGCATCATCGGCGTACTCATGCCCCAATGCTTCCGATCCTCTGCTCCTGCAAGCTCGCGATCGATGTTAATGCTGCGAGGCTGCGACGAAGCTCTAACAGGCTTCGGTACATCAGCTGTACTAGAAGCAGGTTCAAAAGGATTAGTATCAGCGATAATACCAGCTCTTCCAGCCATTTGATCAGGCACTCATCTTCTGAGGCCTGTCTGCTGAAGCCGAACTCTGCCAATGGACAATACAGACATTCCCCTGCCTAGCTGCTACACCAGAACAGATATGATACGCTATAATTGCGACTTCGAGTGGCTATACGCTGTGGCCTTTGGTCCCCTTTTCGTCGAGTAGTCTGTGTTGGGATATTGTTGGAGCGTGAGGTTTCGCCTCTAATTGCGGAATCTGGACCATCTGGACCACCAAATGCTCTTGAGATGGGACCATGAACAGCTACAAGCTGCTAAGTAACCCAAAAGAAAGAATACAGCAACTGCAGAACAGTACACTTAAGATCTGAATCAACAGGCAGATATCGCATGAGGTAGAAAATTAGGCACCCAGAACCGGAGGAGAAAGAAGACTGTTACAGAAAATGATCTTCGATGAGTGTGTTGCAGATGTCTGAAGAGCGAGTCAGATTGTCACTCTATGTTCTAGTTCTGCTAGACCATATAGACGTGAAAGGGCACAGAAACTCGTATTGTCATCAGGAACACATATTCTTGCATGTCTATATTACAAAGATAATTGGCTAATTTACAAGTGACAGAGCCAAGTCATTGACTGGCACCTGCTTCTGGACATGAAGAATCATGATTTAGTACGAAGCAACTACATAAAGTTCGAGATGCTCAAACAAACGTAAAGCACTTATACTATGATCCATACCAGCCCAGAACAGCAAAAAGACAATCTTCCAAAATGGGTCGTTAAAATCCAAAACAAAAGCTCATGCTCCGGGATCGAACCGGAGATCATGCGCCTCTGCGCCCCGACAGATACTTAGGTCCTTCATCTGGTCCTTTGCTTCAGTGGTAAGTCGTGAAACTAATCGACTATTTCTTCCACTGGGGTCTGAAATTTTATGAGTTTACGTTGTTAATAAAGGGTGGTTTATCGAATTTTCACTTTCCTGATTGCCAAGCGAAATGGTTCGCCGCGCGCAACACGACCGACTGTTCACACGACGTAGTGAACCAAATTTTAATTAATTGCCTATACAATTCCTACTACGAAAAAGTAGCTCAAGCTAATAAGACTTATGTGATGGGTCTATCGACATTCGTATCTTGCAGTGATATCGCTGAAGGGACGGATGCGGTTCACGTGCAGCTGTTGTTACCATCGTTACCAAGATACTTGGTTTACATAGAGTACGGGCATGCAATACAGTCATCCTAACTATACAAAGGCTCGGTATAGGGTTGATCGTGAAGCTTGCTTGGTAGACCTTAGCCAGCGAATGTGCATGAAAGACTGGTGCCGTGACCACTCTAGACTGTCGGCAACCGAGATACATTTCAGAGGTAAAAGATGTAAGATTCTTCTCAAGCACATTAAAAGAAAGCAAGCAGGTCGCTTACCCTCATCAGGATCAAGTCCGTAGTTGTCGTTGCATGATACCATTCCAATCCATACACTTGTCTGAGGAGCTCAGATCGCATTGTGCATGGAGAAGACCTACGATGAAGAGTTATGATGATAATCAGACGACATTTCTACAACAAATATGGATTATTTTTGGGTCATGAATGTCAACCGCTTCCAATTGTCGACAGGTCGTTTGCGGTCAAACGGTGAAGTCAAGTTAGTGAAGCTAGTTTGTGTTTTGAGCTAAATGCCTGAGGCATCAACAGTGTCCCCCAGCTCGGCTAGCAACTATTCTCCCGACTGCCTCTCGCGTCAATAACTCGTCTAATTCATTGTTATCCCGAAGCCGCGCTCGGCTCCTAGTACTTCGTTAACCCAAGGCCAACAGGCGCAATGCTTCCATTAACTTCCACTGCTCCAGCGCCCACCGGGACATCAGCCAATCACGGCATTCGCCAGCTCGCCCTAGTGACCCGCTATGACTCGCCAAAGAGACTGTCTGCTGTTACCGGTCTAGAATGACGTTTAGAGGTGGTAAGCGAAAAGTTGTTTTAGGGCTTAGAGATTAGTGACTTACTGCTTTGAAATGCGAATTGCGAGTATATGAAGCTCCTCGTTCCTCGTAGCTTGGTCAGTCGAACATCCCAAAATCAATTCAGTCTCCTCAGCAGGTCAATAGTTTGTACTTGATCTCATCAATCACTTTGTATAAAGCTCAACATCATGTCACCCAAACGCTATGAATCCGAGAAGGTTGACCCTGCTCCTTTGGGCAAAACCCTCAATTTTGAGTTCTCCAAACGCACGGCACGTAATCGCTTCATGAAAGCCGCCATGACAGAGCGTCTCTCGTCCTGGGATCCACAAGACAAGGCATCCAGGGGTATCCCGTCTAAGAATCTCATAAATGTCTACAAACGATGGGGAGAGGGTGAATTTGGGGTCATACTGTCTGGGAACATCATGATCGACTACGACCAGTTGGAGGCTATGGGCAATCCGATCATTCCACCCGACGCACCCTTCTCGGGCGAGCGATTTGAGGCTCAACAAGAAATGGCCAAAGCTGCAAAAGCACACGGTAGCTTGTTTGTCGGGCAAGTCAGCCATCCGGGCCGTCAAGTCGAGAATAGGATCAACCCAAACCCGATCTCCGCTAGTGACGTCCAGCTCGAGGGCAATATCATGGGTATGAGCTTCAACAAACCACGTGAAGCTACCCAGCAAGATATCGACCATGTTGTGGAAAGTTTCGCTCACGCTGCTGAATATTTAGAGAAAGCTGGTTATGACGGTATTCAGTTACATGGCGCACATGGCTATCTGCTCTCGCAATTCCTCTCACCTACCACGAATCAGCGCACTGATAAGTATGGCGGCAGCATCGAGAACCGTGCACGCATAATCGTCGAAATCGCACAAGCCGTGCAGAAGCGCACCAAGCCAGACTTCAGTCTCAGCATCAAGCTCAATTCTGTCGAGTTCCAGGATAAGGGCTTCAGCCCCGAGGAAGCCCAGAAGGTAGTCGCCATCCTCGAGCAGAATAAGTTCGACTTCGTCGAGCTGTCAGGCGGCACATACGAATCTCTCGCATTCGTACATAAACGCGAATCGACAAAGAAACGTGAAGCATTCTTCCTCGATTTTGCCGAGATGATTACTCCGGTATTGAGCAAGACCAAAGTGTATATCACAGGCGGTCTCAAGACAGCTGGCGCGATGGTCAAGGCCCTCGAGTCGGTCGATGGCGTTGGTCTTGCTCGTCCTGTCACGCAGGAGCCTACTTTGCCTAAAGATATCATCGAGGGCCGCGTCCTTGGTGCTATTGAGCAGCTGCCTGACCAGAATGACTTCGGGCTCACTAATGTGGTTGCCGGATCACAAATTCGCCAGATTGGAAAGGATCAAACTCCGATTGATATGTCGCAGCAGTCGAACTTAGAAGGCTTCAAGAAAGATATGGCAACATGGGGCCAAGGATTGGCTTCAGATGAGGATCTGAAGAAGTTTGGCTACGTTGATATTGATACGGTGACGTCCACGCCGTATGGCACTGCAGCTCCATCATCATAGACTAGAAATATAGATGTGTAGTTATAATTGTATGTTATATGAATAAAAACTTAATCAAGTGTGTGCCCGTATGGTGAAATGAAAGCAGATGAAATGCTTTCACCCTGGCTGAATCCAGATAAGATAAGGGATTGGACAGTTTTGACACCAAAAAGACAAAAGGAAATCTCCCAACCCTGAATCGAACAGGGGACATTCTGATAACAATTTCCATTACAGTCAGACGCCATAAACCAACTAGACCATTGGGAGATGAATGTTTGTATCGAAAAAGAAAATATATTCAGTTGTTTACCAGATCAAGAAGCGATAATCAGTTGCCGATATTCGTGCCCGTCGCACACTTATCGGGCCTTCGCATTTCAACGGTATACTAATCACGATTATATAGTTTACTCCAATACATAGTTACATCATCCGCCTCCATCTGTCAACTTATGGAATACTATGTGTGTGTGTGTACGAACGGCCGTCACAGTAACCAGATTTCCCGTGCCCGTTAGTCCGCGCGGACTGCAGGTGAAGGCTTTGGCACATGGGTGTTGCGTGGCAGCTCGTTGCATCGTTAGCATATAATTACAGCCTATGTCGAAGTTGATAGGCTATGACGAATGATATACAGAAGCGATTCCAGATGGCGTTCGCGTTCGCATGTATCGAACCGCTTGGCTATTCCTTTGCTTGAGGCCAGCTTATCATCAGTAAGTCCTAATTGGTTACGGAGTTCGGAATAGACCCTAGATCACGACACGTCCGTGCCACAACATGAGCTCTACTTGTAGAATGCATGCCCCTGCTTACGTATTATCCATGCCGTCCTCCAGGTCCGCGCCGGAATAACATACCTCGAATGTACATTTGTATTTAAGGCGGTGCGCCATCCGCCTCAATAATGCCAGTCCGCGCGAGAAACTTGCTAAATGCGTACTTAGCAATGTCAGCATCAATTTTCATATAAAGACTGACCCCCGCGACAATAGCAGGCTCTGGACCGCAGACAAACACTCGAAGTCCACAAGCACTATGGCAGGGCAGCAGAACGACCATGTGCCACCGTACGAAGAAGACGAGACCATCGGCGACACCAGTACGTCTGGGCCTCCTGCGTATCCCAACGAAGAGTCCACACCTTTGCTACCACACGATGGTAAAGCGCTCTCATCACACCGCAAACAGTCTAAACCAAAATGGCGACTCGTAGTCTTTACCATAATCCTCATTGTCACACTCACAGATATAGGAAACCTGATGTCCGATGCCCCGCTCGTACGGTTATATGAAGAGATAGCATGCGCAGGGTACTGGGGCTTCAAGGATCCGTCACATATACTACCAGATGGATCCATTCCAGAAGAAGACTGTAAAGTCAACCGCGTGCAAGAGGTAGTTGCTCTTGTCGTAGGCTGGAGCGGTGCCTGGGATTCCATGATAGGGATCCTGCTGGCGGTGCCGTTTGGTATGCTGGCTGATAAATGGGGAAGAAAACCGGTGCTATTCTTGAGCCTCTTTGGGGTCTTACTGTCTTGCATCTGGAAGGCCATTGTTTGTGGGTACCTCGCTTTGTCTCTCTCGAAACCACGCATTGAATGATGATACAGGCTATATGCGATGGAGACTTGAGGCTGTCTGGGCCTCATCCCTTTTCTTACTCATTGGCGGTGGCCCAGTAGTGGCATCTGCTATGCTACTGACAATGATGGCAGACGTTATGCCTGCCGAGAAGAGGACAGTCATCTTTCTGTTTGTACATGCAGCAGTTGTTGCGGGTGAAATTCTTGGCCCGACAGTGGCATCTTTGCTCATGAGATCTGATCCATATCTCCCGGTCCTTATTGGTGTTGCGATTCAGGCTTCTGCGTTCTTTTGTGCGATTTTTCTCTCGGAAACCCTCCAGTACCGACCGACAGTACCTTCCATGCTACGTCCGGAGCCGACTGATGAAGAGTCACCTTGCACATCTACAGCCAAAGCCTCTAGCAGGCTACTAATGCCATTCGTGCATGTAAAGGACAGCCTGGCCTTCGTTTTCAAGGATAAAAATTTAGCACTTGCGCTGTTGACATTCTTATGCGAAGGCTTAAGTGGAAATGCGATGAATCTATTGTTGCAATATTTCCCAAAACGCTATGGTTGGCACATCGCAGATGTAAGTCTTCTATCGGAAGTAACATGTCGAACACCAATCTAACATCTTTATCCAAGGCGGCACTACTTGGCACCCTCAGATCAGTCGTCAACCTCATTGTTTACATGGTCCTTCTACCAACCCTTCCGTTCTTACTGATGAAGCGTTTTGGCATTTCCAGTAGCAAGGCTGATCTTCTGCTGAGCCAGATCAGCGGTATTCTACTGACGATAGGCATGTTTACAATGGGCATATCCCCAAATGTCATACTCGCAATCATCGGCCTTGTGATATATGTCTTTGGTACAGGCTACGTAGCATTCATTCGGAGCATCGCGACTTCGTTGCTGGGCGGTTCTGAATCTCATAACCTTGCCAGATTGTATACTATGATGCAATCTATGCAAGGGCTCGGGGCTGTCATCACTGGTCCCTTAATTCCCATGGCGTTCAAATGGGGGATGGATTTGGGCGGCTTCTGGATTGGCATGCCTTTTCTATTCACGACAGTTGGATATTCAGCTATGGTGGTCATGATTTTCTTCATTGAAGTGCCAGATACTGGAAGCGAAGTTGCTGAGCAGCAAGCATAGACGGGGACTGGGCACCATCTTGAGGTCTGTAGATCTCCCAAGGAGTTGGAAGACGCGATTTATGCTTGTTTTGCATTGCTTACTGAGAGATTCCTGTAACTGATGTACTGATATAGACGAATGTACCTAATAGTAGAACTATAAAAACACAACACTCTTCATCGCGCATGAGCCTATCTCTTTTCACTCACAACCACACAGACCTATACAAGGTTCCAAACTATTCACAGGGCCATAGCACTAGCGCTTTGTCTCGAAATGTGAGCGTCGCGCCCATTGTATGGCCCGAAATATCTTGGATCACTTTCACAGCGCGTTCATGAAACAGAATGGAAGATGGTGGTTCTGATGTCGATGTCGCAGAGCCAATCAGGCCCTTGTCGCTAGCGAATTTGGCGGCCACTGGCGCCGAGATGTCCCCTGGCAGGCGCGAAACGGCGCTGTGTGGACGCCCAGTGGACCCTTGAACTCTGACGTATCTGGCGCCAACTGTCCATCTTTCTTCCAACGCTTCAGGCTCTTTACATGAGAAGCCATGCAAGGTCACCGATACGCTGGCCGAGCAAATCCTTGTCTCTGTGATTAATGGTGAAAGCGTGCTCGCTGATCAAGTTCTTCCTTCAGGTATGTTGCCCGGCGCTATCGTAGGACCTGCCGGGCGTGTGCCAGGTATATATCTTGCTTCTGCCCTCGCTGCTCGAGAGATCAGCAATCAGACTCGTTCGAAGATCACAGCACCTGACCACGATCCTGGCGACGTGGGATTCCTTTTACATCGTTTCTTGTCTTCTTAACTTTACCTAATCAACCGTCGTCTATTCCGCATTTTCGATCACCTCTGTTGTGCTTTGGCCCATTGTTCAGCGCTTGGAGCCTTGTTATCACGTTTCATATTCCACGTCAATCGCATACGCAAAAAATCTAGAGGGTCCTTCATTCATAGCTCGGAGTGAAGAGCCAACGATTCCACGGCACTGAGAGACGTTGTGCGACCGAGCATTGTGCATAATATCTGGAGAGGCATTGTAAAGGAGCAGCTTCCGTATTTAGACCACGCACAGGATCTTTTCAGAGAGGATAAACGTTGACTGGTTTCCTTATCCTTTCAACCTTCTCCCGGTGGACATACTTTTATCGACTGGTTCGATCAATAGTTTCGCACAGCATAATCACTACATCACGCAAACCTCAGCCACGTGTATTCCACCATGGGATTGTTCGGGCAACTCAAAACCCCCCTCTCGTCTGCTGGCCGAGCCAGGGACAAAGCCAGAAACTACGCTGGAGAAAAAGGTATCCCTCCAGAGGCGTTCAATAGAGTCGAGAACGTTGGCAAGAAGGCGATGAAGAACGCCGGACAGAAAGCTGTCTATGGAATCCCTGGAGTCGGACCAATAATCTTTGCCTGCCACATGGCCTCAAAGCCGCCCAGGAGGATAGCCAGATACTACTATCATGGTGTCGACAACACTACAGCGGAGTCAAAGAACTGTGGCTACACGCTCGCCGTCCAGGGCAGATGGCCAGCCGTGTTCCGCATGGTCCTCCGCTTCCTCCAATTTTGGGCTGCTATTCTGGTCTACTGTTTCTACGCCATCGATCTTTACAGAAGTGGAAAACAGAACCCCAAGTTCTATGATTCTAGGTGGATGTATGTTGTCGTTCTGGCGACAATGAGTTGTTTCAGCTCCATTGCCCTAGGTCTCCCTTACTTGAAGCCGTGGCTTTATGCGCCATTAGATCTGTTTCTTTGGTAAGTTGAGTTTCTTCTGATAATCTATATCACTACTAACTATGTACGTAGCATCTGTTGGCTGGTTGGTTTTGGCATCTTTGGAAAGATGTACATCCCAGAAGACGCCGAGGGCAACGGCGGCATCAATCGCATGAAGAAAGGCGTATGGGTTCTTCTCACTAACATGCTACTCTGGAACATTTCAGCAGCATTTGGTATGTACGGTATGTGGCTTTGGAAGAAAGCGAGGCGTCCTGGACTACCCAAGTAGGACTGCCTTGATCAACTACAAGGTTTCGACGTCCGCCCCTCAAATCTCCAATAGTATGCTACAGGATGGGTCATAACTGTCCGTAATCAGCTACATCATTATGTCTTCATGTTTCTTTATTTCTTATAGCATGGTTCGGCGCTGGGGCTTCTTTGTATCTTGTCAGCTGTCATTGGCGTCACGATACCCTCTGAAAGCGTGACATGTGCGTACCATCTTTATCATAGAGACCGGACTTGTCATTCAGATTGTGTATAATATAAAGTCTTTAAGGTTAGAAAGTCAGCTCATCTTGTGCTCGTTGTATCAGGACTTGTGAACATCTCTCGCAAACGATTATGGTGGCAACAGGACTGACAGCCATCAAGTACGTAGTTAGCATGGGCTGAAAGTTGTTTTCCTACTACTCTACTCTACTTTTTCTTCGAAGATGTCGCTACCATCCTCTTCTTCACATGCTTTGGAATCTTCGTCTTTCGCTTCTCCCTTTTCTCCTCCTTGACCGCAGCTTTATGCTCCTTCTTCGTGTCCTTGTCCACGAACCTCTTCCCCCTAGGCTGGCCCTTCTCCTTCTCAACCCACTCTTCGTCATCCTCACTCGTACTCCCGTCCTCTTCACTGCCATCCTCGCTCTCCTCACTGCCAACCTTCACACCGCCATCAGCAGCGACTTTGTCCGCAAGCAGAGGTCGGTAGACCAGGTCCTCACCACCCCCTTGTCCGATCGCCTCCGCATCGCGCTCGATGTCGTATACTTGATCGAGCGTTTGCGGAATATATTGCTGACGAAAGACTTCGTTGTCAACCTCCTCCTTCGCTCGGAGCTCGTCCGTGTTTCCGGCCTCCAGTCTCGCACCATACAGCGCATCCAGAGTCTCTTGGATCCCGGCTGGTTCCACACTAGTATCCGTGCTTGTGACGAACTCGAAGATAGTGCGCTCGGGCAGTGTATCCACACCCTGAGAGCGGAAGTAGCTCGACACGTTCTTGACGTCCATGCGGAGAAATTCGAGGCTGCGCGGATGATCATGCTCCACGGACTGACTGACATCGATCATGTACAGCTTATCAGCGTTGTACAGTAAATTATACTCGCTCAGATCGGCGTGCACGAGGCGGCATGTCTGATACATGATGCGCATGTAGCTCAGCAGTTGTCTGTATATTCCCATCCACTTTGCCTCAAGCTCGTCCTCGCTGAGGTCTGCAAACGACACATCCTTGAGCCGTGGCGCCGGGTATCCTTTCTTGTCACCGATGAATCCCATGACGAGCACATGTAGCCGCAGATACAACGGCTCTGGGCAGGGAATTCCCGCAGCGTACAAGCGGCGCAGATTGCGCATCTCTTTCTCTGCCCACACCTTGACCATTTGCCTATTGTTGCTCTTATTATAGCCGGAGCGGAAGCGGTACTCACCCGTGACGTACTTGTCCCGGTCTTTGAAAACGAGTATACTTGTTTTGTAAACCTTGATTGCACGGTGCTGCGGCAGTGTGTCTGTCGTTGCGCTGCTTTCTATATCACCTGTGCTGGGCTCGGGGTATTGGAGGGCATGGTAGACGTTCGCTTCTTTGCCGGTGGACACGCAACCGTGGATCTCGGAGACGACATTTCGATTGATCATCTTCAAGAGTAGCATGCGAGTTCGTGGGTCGAGGACTTGCTCGCTTGTTGCGCGATCACTTTTGTCTTTCTCCGATTTGTCTCGTCCGCTTGCGCCGCCGCCTCCACCACCTCTTGCGTCGAGCTTAATCTTTGTGGCATGTTTGGATAGGGAAGATATCTGATCGTCGACGCTGGCAGTCAGGTTTGCAGAAGGTTTCTGGGGGTTGCTCTTTGGTTTCTGGTCGGCTGGAATGGAAGGGTCATTCAGTTTGACTTGGCGGTTGTAGGATTTCGTGTAGTCGTTAGGGTTTGCGGTCGCTAGTAGAGGTGCATCGAGCTCATCATCATCTTCTGACTCGCCCAGAATATCACTGTAGTCTTCATCTTGCTCAAATTCCTCTGTGTGTGTATTGCTCTGATTAGAGACTTGGTTTTGGATGTCTACATCCTGCTGGAGAGACATGTTTGAGACGTCTTTCGAAAGCTGTTCTCCAGATGCCATGGTGAGGGTATGAGTGCTAAAGGAGAGAAGAGAGAAGAAAAGAAGCCAGCAGAGTGAGAGGAGGGGCAAGTGGGGTGGTGTGTGTGTTGTATGCCAGCGACAATCTTTCACAAATTCCCCACTGCGGGCCCTTATCGATTACGAGCACATTGGTGGCTTACCAGTGGGTTTCTGCCTGAGGCATCAATGACTCATAAGAATTGACTCAATTGAGGAGGTGCTCTTTGACGTGGAAGTTTGAATGACCCGCAGAGTCAAAGTGAAGAGCGCATCTGCGATGCTTACATTCATGAGAAACTCAATCTACCTAACTCACCCGTCAATGTAAGTTTGAGCAAGCATCAGCGAGCTTCAGGTAGGAAATCGCAAATGCCACCATATTAAAGAGACGCATCTGTTTGCTGTAAGGTTTACCTCCCTGACAATCCAGCTTGTAATCTATGGTGCGGGCTGCGGCCCATACGGGATGTTGCATCCAGAGATCCAATTTGATATGAGAAAACCACAAATGAGGCCTACAAACTTGACCACCACAACAGGAATTTTAAACAGCAGTTAGTGTCACGCTGTTGTAGCAATTAAAACGCCCCTGAGTCAATCTTACAACCTAGCTATATAAATACGTGTGTCCTTGGTCTTTGCCATTCCAGAAACCCATATAAATCAGATCCTCCGCTTACTCTGTTGTATACCACCACCACGCAAAGGGACCAGAAGAATGAACCACCTATATCCCCCCTATCCACCGCAGGATCCATTCAATTCGCAGTCTACGTACCCATCGTCCGGTCAATCTCTGCCGGTGCAGCTTTTTGCCTTTTCAGGAGCACCCCATGCTCAGACACCAATTTCATCCAATGCGCCTACGTATATACAGGCATTGAAAAGTCTCATCGAAGGTATGTTGCTCACAGCATGACCCTACGGGTGCTAATTCACGACCACAGCAATGGTCTATAGGAGCCACCAAAGCCGTGCGCCGATAGTCCAGACACGCGCGGGATTGGGCTTTTACGTCGCCCGTATCATGTGCCAGGACGAAGGTCGAATGATCGGACACGGAGTCTACGGTACTACAGAAGAAAAGGCTGTCTGGAACCTGATGATGGAACTGAGAAATCAGGAAGAGTGGGCGACGGGACCGTCACGGTCACCACAGGGCGCCTTGAATGAAGCCTAGACAAACGTGGAGACAGGCCAGTATGAACGAATGCATTTTTCTGCTATGAACAAGCGATTGCGCATGTCCCATACGAACCATGGTGGCACATTTGGGGCCCTCGTATACTGAGACTCATTCACTAGAATTCCATATGTTCCAGAAGGCAAATGAATGCAAGGCTTTGCCGATATCATGAACAACTTAACCATCTCATATCATAAAGATATGTGCCGTTTTCGTCCGTCCAAGCTCTTGTTTGCATTTCGTGTGCGTGTCCTCCGTTCATGACCATGTGAGATAAACATTCGTAATGACAGCACCGTATAACGGCACTATATCTCAATTTTGACTCTAACCGACTGACCTGAACACGTCCTGATTCGGCTGAAAGATAAAAGTCGACGATGATGGCTAGAAGAAGACATTGGACCCTGAGCCGTCGGCGTCGGCGTCGGGCGCGGGCCTCGGCTCGGCAACTGACTCCCCACCACAGAAGGATGGATCTTAACATCCTCCTACAACGCAGCAATCTCAACATGTAGACCTCAATACTGGACACTTCTGACCTTACACTCAGCACAATGGGTGCCCAAAAGCCCCCAAAAGTAATCCTTTTTGACATCGGTGGCGTCGTGGTACGTCTCTTCTCCCCAACCCTCACACCATTTCTCTCACTCACCTCTCATCTTCAACATCCTAACATACTAATCCCAGGTTGTATCGCCCTTCCGCGCCATCCTCCGGTACGAAACTACCCACTCCATCCCACGCGGCTGGATCAACACCGCCATATCCTTATCCGCGCCCAACGGCCAATGGCAACGTCTCGAGCGCGGCGAAATACCACTCGACGACGCCTACTTCACAAACTGGGCCAAAGACCTCGCACAACCACGCCCGGGCGCATGGCAGGCATACTGGGCCAAGGCGAACCCGGGCAAGACAGCCACCGACGCGCCGCCGCCGCCCGTCATCGATACGAAGACGATGTTCTGGGAAATGATGCGTGAGGCGCGGAGCCCGGATCCAAACATCTATCCGATGTTGTGTCGATTACGGGAGCTGACGCGGGAGCGGGAGAGGAAGGGAGAGGGGAAGCTTGTGATTGCGGCGCTGAGTAATGCGGTTATCTGGCCGCCGGGTATACGGGATCATAATGGTCAGGCGTTTGATCCCCGGTTACAATTCACGGACGCCGTGCCAATGCGGGCAGATGCGACGGTGGAGCAAGGAGCAGATGCGCAGGCGATGCCGAATTACTTTGATCTGTTTCTGCATTCAGCACTTATAGGGTTACGGAAACCGGATGCTGAGGTATATGCTTATGCGGTGCGGGCGCTGGACGAATATGCGCGTGGGAAAGGGGTGCAGGGAGGTGTGGAGGCGGGAGATATATTGTTCTTGGATGATATTGGGGCGAACCTGAAGGGGGCGAGGGAGGCAGGCATCAGGACAGTGAGGGTGAAACTGAACCATACCGACGAGGCAGTGCGCGAGGTCGAGGATATTCTGGGGGTGTCCTTGACTGGTGATAGAGCAAAATTATAGCAGAGGCCTGCTTTGAGGCTTAGAACACAATAGATTTAACTTGATATACAACCCTGAGAACTCCTTAGATGCAACAGATTCCAGAACTAATGCGCCAGTCTTTTGCAGACGATCAATCAGATCGCTTTTTCTCGTTGAACGGCATCCCGTACCCATATGAAGGAGTGTGTTGTGGTGGCTGTGGCTGTGGCTGTCCGTATGGGCTCGGGCCAGGACTGGAGTAGTCTACGTAACCGTTGCTCTTATACCCATTACTAGAGTACTCTCCGCTTTTGCGGCCCGTAAGCACACCTTGGCTTTGTGCTCGACCACGCCCTCTCTTCAGCCATGTCTCATAAGCCCAGTCACCAATCTGATAGAACCATTGTCCTGCAACAAGTACACCACTTATGACGTTCACTAGGCGTACGAGAAGAGCAAGAAGCCCGCCCCATTCCTCCGCAATAGTGAGTGTAATAGGCTCGATATCGTACTTCACGAAAATTCCGGGGACTGTGGATTCGCCTACAACATGCGATTGCTCCGTGACAGCATATTGATTTGTCCAGACTGTGTTAGATGAGCGGCCCCAAGAGTTGGAACTGCTAGGTGGCGTAGACGAGCCGAGGGCCTTTGATTCGGTAGTATAAATGGTCGGTACGATGGAAAGATAGTATTGAAACTTGTAGAAGTGTAGTTCGGTCGTTGCGTAGGTCTTGTCCAAGGGATTGATGAGAGACGGGTAGAATGGGCCGAAGGAGAGTTCGTTAATGTGATGCGAGAAGTTGAATGCTTCATGAGAGTGTCAGCAAATCTCAGCCGATAGTTAGTATACTGCGTGAGACTCACCATTATGATCTAAGTGTTCCCCAAACTCCATATACCCGTGCCCTCGCGCCGTGATATGAAAGTCACCCTGCACTTTGTTTCCCTCCAAACTACCATAAATTCTACACGCATCAGGCGGGCCCCTGAATCTCGGGGTCCTAGAGAACTTTTTCTTTCTGTTCGCCGCATGTAAATAATCATGTACGTCCTCCTCCATCTCCAGCTTCGGCTTGTCCTGCGCCCCATATCCCAGCTTGTGGGTATCGCGGCTCTGGCCCCACTGAGACCATAGGGTAGAGTCTTTCTTTAATGTCTCTCCAGCTAGTATTCGGTCACCTGCGGCATCCTGTACGTTGACGTGGAGATCGCTGCACTTCATTGCTACTACAACATCCATGTTCATCTGCAGCGTATGTGAAACGCCTTTCTCGACACTGAAAGAATGCGTGGTGTCGCCCGCCCACCAGTGTGTAGTCTCAGTCATCATTAGGTAGGCGCATGTTGTGAGGAGAAGAACGGTGAGAGCGCTGCCATTGCGGGCTTTGGTCAGGTAGGTCGCCTTCGTTTTAGCTGGGAGACATTAGCTCTGCTTCCATTAGAGAGGACGCGATTCGCGAGCGCAAGCTGTCTACGGAGGAGAAGAAAAGCCAAGCTATACAAGCCTCATCACAAACACGGCTTGTTGTGGAAGACAGTGATAAATGGGCACTTACGGAACGCATCAAAAGAAGCGACGATTCCCTTTGCAGGTGCAAAGTCGTCTGAATTGAGACGACTCTCGCTATAACTATCCATGATAGAGGTGTCCGATCCTATCTACACGAGTGCTGCAGACTATGTGTTGGACAAGTGTGGCATAGCAGGACAATGAGATGGGCGCACTATCATTGTTCGCAGGCGTGTAGTTTCACGAAAGGACAGCTTGCGTAAAGCCACATCTGTGGCGCGGCTAGCGCCAAACTTGCGCTTTGACAGAACGCAACAGCCGGGAACCAACCACTTACTCGTACACACATAACAGTAGATGCTCTTTGTTCATAGTCCTTTCATGACTAGTAGCATCCCTTAGATATTCCTGTGTATGTCTCTATCTATGCTCTCTCGTCATCCAACTGTCCATACTGCCCCTTCCCGTGAGTAGACGAGTAATCTCTCTCGTAGCCAGCATCTGCACCTCTATCCGCATCTCTCTTCAATGCATCCTGCATCCCCCTTCGTCCAGGGTCGTTCTTCCCCCCAATGTCAGTAGTGTTGAAGCTCGCATTCGGCGCATCAGAGTCGAAGCCTCCCTCACTGATGTTTCGTCCCTTTGGCCGCCCCGTCTCCTTTGGATCGAATTGATCTTTGCGCTGGGCATCAATGTACGCCGGCGCAGCATCCACGTTACTCGATCCATACCCCGAGCTACTATTCTTCCCGTACCCTGAATCAGTGGCCTCGCGGTCGCCGTATGACGATGTGCCAGTCGTGTGCTCAGATCCACTGGAGCCTTCTCCGCGTCCTCCACTCCCATAGCTCGAGTCATCCCCACCAGACGTATTCGTATTCCATGTCGGACCCCTTCCACCGTCCTTGCCCTGACCAATCGTGGAATTCAGTTGGCGCGCCTCGTTCCATTCGCCCTGCGCGTTGCGAGCTTCGGCGTCAACGGCGGGGTCAAGGCGACGCGCATTAGACGTATCGGTGGTATTCGTGGTTGTCCCATAGGACTTCTGGTCTGAGACATTGGCACGCTCATTGTTTGACCCGAAGTCGCCACCGGAACGGACAGATTCGCCGGCCAAGGAGTCCGAAAGGACGGTGCCGGCAGCTTCGCCGACGCGGCGCTGGGCCTCGGGATCGTTCGTCACCTAAATGCATCAGTACTGTATTTGCAAGGGTAACGTGTATAACTTTAGGGAGAGGGCAAGATACTTTTTGGCCGTAGGAAGACATAGCAACTGATGGCGTAGGTTGACAGCTGTATAAAGTCCTTTTTATCTTAGTGTAGAATAGTTGACAACGAGATGTCTCTATATCAACAGGTTACTGATGCAGAGGTTGTAGCACAAGCAAGGGCTGGTAAATATACCCGTTCCAAGCGCCCACCAAGGCTATATCCAAGAAGCTGACTGTCGCCAGCATGATGTCATTTGCCCCAGCATGCCCGGCTGAGGGCGGGGCATCTTTAAGCCTCCCACCAGAAGGTTGGTTGGTTGGTTTGGCAACTGGATCCCCACGGAAGCACATCCACTAGCTCATGGACAAAGGCCTGCTTTATTCGCATTCCATGCCGATCCATGCAATTTTGATCATGCTCAGGCACCGACTAATGCCATAATCACTGATCTCCTTCTCGCATCTCGATAACACTGTTCACGGCGTGGTAGAAACGTGCAGGATCATCAAGTGGCGTTATAGTGTCACATAATTGGGGCTCTTGACCCGTGTCGAGTGATAGCATCTCACGGCTTCGAAATCAAGCTGTAGACGGGTCATGCTATAGATATAGATCGTTATGCCCAGTTCTGAAGTTAACATTGATCGATCCGATTAGATAGCACTGTATGATACATGCAGGTAGTCAAGTGTTCACAGCCTCAGCATCCTTCAGTATTGAATCCACATTTCACTTGTGTGCAGGATCACTCTTGCTTGGATATCCATAGTCCTCACCCCTCGTCTCCGTCGCCTTGCTCGAGTCTTTCGCTTTGCCAGCGAGGGCATCTGAAGGGAGACCTCCAGGCACGCGTCCGGCATGGAGACCAGCTGTGTTCGTCTTGGTGTCGCCACCATCAGTCCTCACTGAACTGTCTGCGGTAGCTGGGTTGCGCAGACCAGATTCAGAGGAGTCAGCAGAGATGCCACCAGAACCCACATTGACAGTGCGAGCATCTGAGGAGTTGAAGTCGGAGGCAACCGGTGGTTGTTCGGGAAGAGGAAGGTTGGCCTTGCGCTCTTCGATAATGTCGGCTTTTGATTGTTGTCCAGTCATGGTGATCGAGCCTCAAGACCTGTTAGATGTAGCGTGTCGACTAGAGGTGATTCTACTAACTTGTGAAAGCTTTGTCTGGTATCCTGCAGAGTGAATGTTCAAGATGTTCTCTTGGGGATGGAATGTGATTGCGGAGTGGGTTGTTGGAATGGAGAGGCGTGTGAGGATTTTAACTGAAAGTTTTGTATGGGTGTCAACAAAGGAATGTGGGACCGTAAGCAATTCGATACGTGCGACCGGACGTCATTATGGAGACTCATCGAAGATTTCAAAAACCCATGCCCGCTTGCTACTTCCCCATGGCGCAAAACACCGAGAATTCTCCAAGATGACCATGACCACGTAACGACCTGCTGTATGTCCTGCGACTTAGCAACTTTAGACGATGATAGGGTCTAACCATTCCAGGCCCAGCTGGTTTTGAAGACTTCCATATACAGTTAGTCACCTTGCCTATCTGCTAACCTAGGAAGGAAATCCAAGCCGCAATAGATGTGCAGCTGATGCTAAGAGGATTCAAACTAGACTGATTGAAATGTAATATACTTTCGTGATAAACTTGAGTGAAATGACTCAAAGCAAATGTCCTATACCGTCGGGCTTGCTTCCATAAAGAAAATAGAAACGCTTAGATGATCAGCATGATCGTAAAAAACCATGCCCAGCCTTGGAATAATGTTGGTGACATTAAGTACGAGAGTAGTTGTGACAAGAAGATGAAAAACAACAGTTCACAATAGCTAGAAAATTTTTTGAAAGAGCGATGGGTATGAAAAACGCCTACTGAACAGCAACCACGACTGAGTCCTCCAATGCGTGTTGGCGACGTTACTCCATCACTAGAGCGAACGACGACATTTTGCCTCCTGCAATCTCCTTATAGCACCAAATGTACTGAGTTAAGGCGGTGTAGTGGGGAGAATGGCCTCAAATAAACTCCCAAATTCCCGAGGGGTACCTCTTCAACGTATGTCGATAAGTTCTCATTGCAGGATATCATGTCCGCCAGTCGTAACGCTTTTGAAAAAAATCATGGAGCAAGATGATCTTCAAGGTATAGCAGCCCATTGCCGAACGAACCAATCGCGAAAGGGCTCAGGTACGATGTCTGGAGCTTGATGGTTTAGCCACTGCGATTCATAGTCAAAACGACCCTCGGCTGTGGCCAGTAGATTGTTGAAACGCCATAATTTGGCCGAGTCGCCATTTATCTGAGCCAAGTTGATCTCATATATGAGTGTCTGAGGGTTGTGCCAGTTGACCCTGAGTTGCCGTCCTATGACGCTGTAAGTCTCGTGTTGACTATCAAGCCTACAGTGTCCTTACCTCGAAGTAGCTGCACAAGTTGCGTGAGCTCTGCCACACTCATTCGATCCCCGCGCATTGTCAACTCCGTGGGCCATTGCTCCATATCCAATGCTCGAACAACGAACCGAGCCAAATCCTTTGCTGATATCATACAGACGAACGCCATGTTTCCAGCGGCATCATATGCTGGCGAATCAGCACAATTATTTCTGATATTTATCATGTAGTCTCCTTCGTTTGCAATGCCAGACCGCAAGCCCAAGTTGTATTGTATGAGCCCACCAGGGGCGAACCGCTCGTAGAGAATACCGCAGGTAAAGGTCGTTGTCTCAAGCCACGCACTGTAGGAGTTCAAAAGATATTGGGCAGCACTACTACCTCGATCTAATGGGTCATTTCTTACTCTACTGTTCAGTGTGCCTTCATATTCAGCAGGCACGAATCGCCTGACGCGAGTTTGCACTGCCGCCTCGATAAGTTGGAGCTGCTCTGGGCCTGTCACGGTGGAGATGACCGTATCAACGCCCATTAATGCGTGCTTAACAGAACTGATATCAGAATAGTCGATGACTTGTATCTGATACCCTTGATAAGTGAGGTGGGGTTTCGCCTGGGTTAACATTAGGTGCAACGAACCTTCTATTGGTGTATCACTCACAGAACGTGACAGAAGCACAAATTGATGGCTCGTATCCTCCTGCATTATGCTCGCCATGAGGAGAGCTAGACCTCCTGTACCTGCTATGGCGATACGCATCATCTTCGAATTTTTTATGGCACCGACCGGATAATTCAGTAGCGTCAGTAGATGTAGTGTGTTTCTTTCTGACCGAGTCTCTGGCTTATGTCCCATTTATATGACACTTTCGTTCGTATGGTGATATGATACCCTGTAGGTACCAAGGGTGACACTTTGTGAGTTTGATCCTCGATGCCTTGTTGGCAGCGGCTCAGAATAGGAATGCGGTCAAAATATGACGCTACTGACGTAAACGTATGAGGTCCTAGGCTGTTTAGAGGGTGAGGGAGCAGTTTAAAAATGGAATGACATGAATATCAGAGCAAACTTCGGTGATGGGCATGGACAGGGCCGAAAGAATGCGAATTGGAGGCCACTTGAAAAGTGGAACGACGGAATGAGAATCCCTCACGGCTTCATTGAACCATGAGCTTGACTTGAAGAACGAAGATTGGCTAAACAAGTGGCTAGGAAAGAAAGCGGCTCAGCTCGAATGAGCATTATACCTAGCAATGATACCTTATCGCCTTGAGTAGTAACACGAGCCTGCAGATGCCGTAGTCGAGGAACAACACCAATATCCCTGTGCTATATGCGGACAGGATGTAGGTGCTTTAGAATGCTTCTTCTTTCCCCACCGGTGAAGATACCTCCACAGCGCCAATGAATACACCAATCATCAATGTATATCGTGGGAGCACATCCATAGCCAGACGGCATCGAGAGACTGGTTCCGTGGTGTTGGGCACATTACTAGCCACATCTTCTTTTGGAAAGAACGAGGCTGATGTCTAGGGAGGTAGAGTCGGTCTCGGGGGCTTCAGCGATTCGGGCGATCCACAGCCACCTTCGAATGTTTACATCATTGGGTACCATAATTGACTTAGCGACGGGATGAGTAGCAGCAGGGGTCTCAAGCATGTGGCTCGTACTGCCCATGAGTGAATCCTACTACCTGTCCAGCTGGCCAACCTAAGATGCCGGCAACGCATATGGCTTGAGACACCACATGCCCGTGCGGGGGCCAGCAGCCTTAACGCTCGGTGGTATACAAGAGAAATCCTTTCGGACGCACGTCTTTTACGGTATAGGATATAAAGGACGCCAAGCCATATCTGCCGCAACCAGAAATAGCACAGTGCGATCGCCAGTCTTACGGTCCGTCTAGACTCGAAGTATCTGGACGATACATGACATGTCTAGATCTCGTGATTGGGTCTTGAAAAATGACAATGAGCAACAATGACTTGATGAACCATGACGAATGAAATGATGTGATATCTGCTGCCTGAAGACTTGAAATGATTTGAAGGTTGACGCCGCAGCAACACACAATGCCTGAGCGTCTCAACGGCCGTTAGAGTTTTAGCAATTTGAATTCCAACTGGCGTGCATGTAGACTTGCTCGGCCGAGGTAGAAAGCCAAGAACGGAACGAAGACAGAAAGACCCTGTCAGAGGGATATGAATCGGCGACGGTGAGAGGGCAGTAAGTAGCAAAAAGAAAGGTAGTCCGAGCTGAATAGGCCTGCAAGTCTTTCGAAGTAGTACACATGGCGAAGACAAGGCTCTCAACCGGTATCGTGAGCCAGAGTGTCTGCCAATGACTCCCTTAGGATGTGCAGACCCCAACAGATTTGTCGGGAGGTGCCGAGTTGTTTGGAGAGCAGCAAGGGGCCGGAATATCACAAGACTAAATGATCGACCCCAAACCATAGGTCAAGGAAAGGAAACATGACCGTTCAAAAGAATCAGACGGGAAAGCTGCCGCGATGTCATGGCGCATGGGGTATGTAGATGTAGCTTTTAGGCTAGGTATGATTGAGAAGTGGAAGCCCGAAGTGAAGTCCGATGCTGACGGGCAGTGCAGTTCAGCCGCAATGGAGTGTATTGTTATCCCCTAGTAGCGTGGGTCGCACGTAGGTTGCTTATGCCTGAGGCAGCATATCGCGCCCGCAAACAAACGCGTAGAAGCAAGTCACAAAGTGACAAGGCTGGACAGGCCAATACATTCACTGATACTCCGTATATGCACGGTAGTTGTGAAGGCTCGAGCTACGACCGACAAGTTCTCGTTTGACGCCATCACCTTTTGTGCAGGGCATTATTGTATCGATACACGGGCTTGTCCTATCCGGTGTCTATTTACATGTTTTGTTGATTGTTAGCTCCAAGTCGCGACTACGTAACTAGATACGCGATGGTCAATGCACTACCACCACCACCGCCAACACCACTCTCTCAACCGGCTCGAGCCGCCGACACGTACAGCGCACTCTCTGCCACTCGTTCAGACTCCTTTTGAATACACAAACGGTCTTTGTATCAGTCTTCATTACTATCGTACTGTGCATCGTGTTTTGTATTGACATGTCACACGCTTCAGACCCCTCATCGTCCCAACCAGACGCTAGACTGCCCGCATCCTCGATATCACCAACACAAAGCCTTGCATTCGTGGTACACTCCCCGGATACAGTGCAGAACAACCTTCCACCCGATGTGGACAATAAACCACTGGCTCGTCAGAAACGCCGACGGACAAGGTAAGACTTGAGTCTCGTCGCAGATTGCAACCTGTACTCTCGAACGCGTTCGATGAATCTTACTAACGCGTGCGTCGGCAACATAGCAAGGAAGACGAGGAAATCCTTAGAGCAGAGTATGAGAAAAACTCCAAGCCAGACAAAGCGACGCGTCTGGATATCGTGAGTAGAGTGGCGCTCGGGGAGAAAGAGGTTCAAGTAAGCCAGCAGGCCATGCATTAGCTTGTATAAGCGTCATGCTAACTGCACGTCTTCAGATATGGTTCCAAAATAGACGACAGAATGATCGACGAAAGTCGCGTCCGCAAAATTCTGATGTTCCGTCATCTGACCGGCTCGACTGCTCCTCGGATTATCAAGACAACATCGAGGACCACAATGAGATTCTCGAAGGCTGTGAGGTCGAGCCCAGTCTCAATGTGGATGCCCCTAGAACAGAGGAGATTAGAGAGGATGCAGATGCTGAAGATATAACGACAGGCACATCTTCGCAAAGGACTGGTAACGCAAGCTCGTTCACTCAATTGACGGACTCACAACCTACGTTCTCCTCCCAAGGTAACCAATTTCCTCTAAACAGACCCTCCGGATACATTGCGAACCGAAGGAGTGCATCGTTTGTGAAGATATTCGAGGATTCATCTTCATCTCAGCCAACAACGGAAACGCATAAAACCGAAACGTCACAAGACTCGCGTCCCTTGCCACGCTCCCGTTCCTTTGTACGTCTATCCATGACTGCTGATGGCCAGGCGAAAGTTGTAACGGACGCCGATCAATCGCCGTCGCCTCCAAGACCGCAAGCTTCTTCCACCACACCTACAGAGCGAAGCGGATCTCTGAGACGGAGCTACAGTGCTGCCGGCCTCCACGAGCGGTTTCAAGACGAAGAAGATCTCAGTCCTGCACCTAAATTACTGAGGACGACTGGCTCCCACGGCAGATCTCGTGATTCGCGTACATGGGAGTTCTGGTGCGACAGCGATGCCCGCAAAGCTCTTGCCAACCAGGCCGATCAAGAAGGTAAAGGATCAGCTGCAAATGCCATCAGTCTGATTCGGGCAAATAGTAGTGGCGCGTTACGCTCAACGCCTTCGAAAAGGAATATGATGTTGGCAAAGCAGTCATCGAGTAGGGGAGTCAAACCAGATGGGAAGAAGATTGGTGGTCCAGGCTTAACCCGGTTTTCAACGGCACAGGGCCGCTTGCACATGCAGTCCAGGCAACCAGACTTGACCAAAATGAAATCTAAGAAGAAGAAGGACGATGAATCAGAGGAAATCGAAATACTGAACACCGAATCCGACAAGGAAAATTGGGAGCCTAATGATGTCCAAACAGCCCTTGGCTCGACCGAAACACGTCGTCACAATCAGGTATCTTCCGGCAGACGACCGCTTGGCGAAAACACGACCATCATGAGTCAAAGCAGCAGTCTAGGCTCCATGATGAGACGTGAGCGAAAACCGAAGAGTCAACTAGGAAACAAAAGCATAGATGCCGAGAATATGGATCCCGAGGATGACGAAGAAATTGCTCAATTCATGGGCAGCGCGAGACCAAGCAGCCCAAGAGCAAGTAGCCTCTCGAGTGGCGAAGATATGTCATGTGTTCAAGGCTTGCTGAAGTTAAGTCAAGGGAATTGGCGGTGACCAGATTTGAGAAATGGTGTATCTGGAGATGAGGATCGGTCCGAAATGGCATAACGTGGCGTATACATGGTGTTGAGGTCTGCGTAGTTTTGGCCCCATTAGTTGGATTGATGGCGAGGTGCATTCCTAAAATCGACATGGCGTAAGTAGTTGTATATCACTATACATTACTTGATTCTTCCTCTTCTTATCTTTCTCTCCCGGCATGTATCGACCGGGCGTGCATTACACCGTGGGAACGTCGCAACGTATACTCGACCTTCAACTCCACATACCGTTAAACACAAAATTATAAATTCATTCGAGGCTATGGCCAAGACCAAGCCTAGTTTGGAGGTTAGCTCTGCAGTGAAAGAAAGGCCTGCACAGCCACCGCCTTGCCGACCCCACGCCCAGCCTATCAGCCTTAGCGCCTAGCCCCACGGACAATGATCCCATTTCAGACCCTAACAAACGGAAGGCAGCAATAACCGAAACGGCCGATATACATCACATCAGCCTCACTGACTTTGATCAGTGCCCCTGTCAGAAGGATGCTTGGCGTCACTAGCCACTGGTTCGTAGGATGCCTGACCCCTGATGCCTGATTTCTGATGCATGCTGCCTGGTCTCTCTGGCTGTAAGGTAATTATGATGAGCTCATTGCTCACCTCTCACCCACATCCACGGCACGAGCAATCCTTCCCGCTGGCTGGTGAAATATACATCACCCATCCTCGATACGGCCGCACTATACACCAGCCACATCTCCAGCTGAGCACCATGGGTGGCAGAGGCAGGATCGCATTCCTGGCCGTGCACGGCCGGAGTGTGTATTTCACTCGCACATCCTTTCGGAGCCCAACGTCTACTTTTTCTCGTTTGATAATTTGGGGGGATCAAAGCATAGCAGGCGCATGGTGTAGGAGTCATATCCTGGTCTCACGTTACTTACTACATAGTCACTTGTTTCATGGCGGTAGTTGCGCTTGGTGTGTGGCGTCCTATATGCATGCATGCATCCAGGATGGTTCGGATCGCAAAGCTGGATATGCATCAGTTCTAGCCACAGCTTCACGACGCGAGGACATACCAATCTAATCCATCGCTCGAGTCGGACTGTGGTGCAATCCGCGACATCTGCTGCCTGCGTCTCGGATCAATGTCAGACTCAGTTAGGCATCGTCGTGGTTGGGCAGCAGGCACACTCACCTCACTGGGCATTTTTTTCAGGACGAGATAGAGGCCCGAATACCTCGCTTTGCACTTGGGGGCGTATACCTTAGACATCATACCATCACCACTGAAAGCCTGTGCCTGTGCGAAGGAGTTGTGTTGCGTCGTTCTTTGCGTTGCGTCATAGCCATCGGATGGTTCAGGGGTTAGGGTTGGTTCTTGCGAAACCACACACGGCACGGGACAATAGATGGCCCGACGACAACGTCCGACATACGACAAATCCGCTTTCAATGAAAGTTGTTGCCGTGGCTCTCTTTCTATCGCTGCACATACATGGCGCTGAGATCATAGCCTCTTGCCCCACACTCACGTCCACGCCAGTCCCACGTTTCGTCTTGACAAATATATTTCTTTACATGGTGCATCTCATTCATGCCCTCCCGTATTTCATGCGTCGTGGTTCATCTGGCAGTCAAATTTCTGCCCCCGCTCTCTCTCTCTCTTATCTCCTTCTTCCACGCCTGAACAGGAGGGTTGTAGATCTGGTCTTAATAGTTGTCAAAACACCCTTACGGAATCTACAGATGTATCATATAGGCTTACTATACGGGGGACAAGGGTCATCTAGTCTCGCCTGATTGTAAGCCCGTCAGATGGAATAGACTGAGTGTACATACGTACCTTGTCAGTATTAGCCATCACATGACGAGTAAGACCGTCTGCTGTCTTGGGAGTTTTGTAAGGCGCGTAATGAAGGTTTCTGAGGAGATGGATGGGAATGATGTGCGTGATGATACAGGGTTGAGTGAGTGAGTGAGTGAGTGAGTGAGTGAGCGACTGCACGCTCGTCGAATTGTAAATCTTGGATATTATGATGGAATGGAAATGAGTATGAATGGTGAAGAGGTTTTGATGTACATGCCACCACCGTCGATTGTTAGACATACATCTAGGTAAGTAGGTAGGTAGGTAGGCACTGACTGAGTAGTCAACGTTCAGAAGGCCTGACGGTTACGCTACTTCTATGATACGACAATAGTCTTTGAGATCAGGTTTTTCGTGGCTGGTGATAGTGCCAGTGGGGAGATCAATGAATGATAACAATAATTGTAATACTATGCAGCAGCAAAAGGAGGGGTCTTTGGTGGGTTGAGTCTCATGAATTGATTTGTCTTGCTACCAGCGCTCAAAGCAGCTCTCTCACTAAGCTATGCTCTACAAAGAGTACATTTCGAATATAAACATGAAAATATTCGCCCTCGACCGGGGAGCTAATGTTAGAACTATACATATAAACGTAGGCCAGTTTTGTATACTGCAGCCCAACCAAGTCATGCCTGAACGCTTTGCAAGATTATGCTTTACTTGCCCAGTATTGCTTGCTCCGTGATGCCATTCTCCCCACTAATGTCCGAATCCCAATGCAGATACTTGTTTATGCTATGTTCATAATGCCTGTCCATACTCCAGAGCTCTCCCTACACCGTGAAGCCCACCCCGCTAGTCTCATCATCCCCACTGACATATCCGTCGTCACTTTCTGTCTTCTCCCCCATCCCCGTGAAGACTTTACTCAGACGCACGCATTTCTCGATGATTTCTCCTCTGATCTCCCTACTAAACCCACTCTTGCGGCCCGTTTCTCGTCCAACCCACAGGCGTAGCAGGCTGGCCAATCGCTCTAGGCCTTCACTACTGTCTGCCAATAGCTCAAAGTCATTGCTGAATGAAAGGAGAATTTTGTATGCAGCCACGAAGCTGAGTAAGGAAAGCGTGTACTCGTTGAGCAGGTTGGTGCGAATCGGGAAGGTTGCGCGAATGCGCGCTTCGACTGATCCTGTTGCTTTGCTTGCTTCGGCGAGAGATAGGCAGCGGGCCATGGTGAGGGCTTTGATAACATCGGACGAAACAGGTGCCGTTCCGACGACATTCATGAGTGGTCCTGCTGCTGAACTGGACTCCGAGAGCTTGAGTGGGACGGCATTGAAGGCAGTAGCGACCTCTTCGTCTCTGTTACTGTCCAGCAGAATGGACTTGGCGACCAACGCACGCACTTGTGCACCTGAATTAGGAGGTGCCGTATCGACCGCGAGTTTCAGGTCCTCAGTCCAGGTGCTGTCCTTATCAAACGAGTCGACGAGTGCGCGGTTCAAGATCAGGCCTGACCACCACGCAGCCAAAGCATCGAGTGGTCCTGAAATAGCAAAGTCTTCGAGAACGCTGTCAAGACTCAGGTCGACATCAGTATTCTCGCCGCTTGGTTTGTTCCAGGCAAGGTTGTATGCGCGTTGAATGAGTGGATGGACAAGAACATCGTCACATTCGATGTCGAGCAAGGCCGCAAGATGAGTAGGCAGCCGCTCGCTATCGACAATCTCTGCCCGGCTGGTCATCATCCTGTGCTCGGCTCGAGCCTGGTTCCAGTAGTGACGCGCAAGCTTCGCACTGATCTCTTCGAATTTATACCAGGCGCCGATCTTCGTGTTAGCTACTTCCCAGAGAAGGACGCGGATGTGCAATGCTTTGAGCATTAGTCGGCCAGGGGTATCTGGCAGAGTGCCTGAGGCCATGAGAGTCAATATCAAGCGTCTCACGTTGATTTCTGCATCGCCTCCAGTCAATTGTGCGTCCAAGGCGATGGACCAGGCCTTTACTCGTCCTTCCTCCTGCTCCCTTGTGGCTCCAGTCAAGAAGGCATAGCCCTGCCAACCAATAAGGTGACGCGTGCTCAGCTTGCATATCTTGAGACCAAGAGCCGTAATCTCCGCCAAAAAGCTGTGCTGTGGTACCCATATTGACTGGACGGCTGTGAGCCATGCTTGGCAGCGTAGCTCAACAGGTGAGGCAAGCGACAGAGTCGGCGTGACTCTCGTGATAGTAGAAGGAGCTTTCTTGGACTTTGGCTTGGACGTGAGGATGGGCCAAGCAAGATACATCAGCGCGAAGATAACCAAAACGAATTTAAACAGAGGCAGAACGTTGCCAGGTCCATTGGAACCAGTGACAGGTGGTATAGATATGGTTGCCCATTCTCCAAAAAGCTCGACCGGTAAGCCAAACAAAGATTCTGTCTTGGTGTCTTCATTTGACTCCTTACGCTCTGCTAGACCTTCTAGAATCATCAACCCTGCGAATGAACCAATCATTATCTTGTTCATGAAACCGCCACCGCCACGACCCTGAACCATGGGTGGTTGGCCAGCCATATTCTGCCCCGGAGGCGGATTCAGATAGCTACCGTAGGGCGTAGACGCATAGTGAGATTGTGCTTTATTGCGACGATGGAGATTGGCCATACTCTCCGGTACTGGTATCATACCCTGGGGTGTGGCCTGAGCGGACGCGTGAAGTGATGATGAAGATCCAGTAAAGGTGTCTTCTGAATACCTAATTCCACTATCTGCCATAGCCATCGTAGCCATGCCCATAGACCTTGTCATTGCGAGCTTATTGAAATTGTCAAGCCGAGTCTTGTAATCCGCAAGCTCATCATTGAGGCGCTTGTTTCTTTTCTCAAGATGCCGAATGTACTCGGTGGCCTTTGCAAGAACTGTTGCTTTGTTCAATTTGTGAGCAGGAGTGAGGCCCTCAAGATCCTCTGGATCATCGTCCTCCAATGTTCCGTTCGGACGGGACATAACACGCAAACTGGGGACACTATCTCTCAATGCCGCGATCTTATCATTCAGATTTGTTCTATATCGCTTCTCGATCATGTTGTGAGCTGTTTTTTTCACTGGCTCTTGCCTGTCTGATGAATCTTTTTCCTCATCAGAAGTAGAAGCCTTGCGTTTCTTCCTATTGAACTCCGGGCGGGCAGGTTCAGGGGAAGACTCAGATCCTGCAGATCCTGAAGTGACCGGAGTGGGGTTGAACTTGACTGCAGATGGCGATGTCTCTGATGAGGGTGTCGTACCTAGCTTAAACTGACCGGCGGCTTTGCTCATGGTTTCGGCATTTAAAGGACCAGTATTGCTAAGGCTAAATTGGGAACCATTTTCCCATGCCAACGGTTCCAGGTACGTGTCATTTGGAAAGCCGTGGAGATCTCTTGATGATGCAGGAAGAGAAGAGTAGTTGAATTGGTAGCCGGACGAAACATCTAGGTTTGATCCAAAGTCGAAGGAATGCTCGTTCCGAACACTACTGCGGTCGAGGTGATGTGTGTCTGGAGAGTGACTGCTTCTTTGCAATGTATGTGAGTCTGATTGACTGTTTTGGTCGGGAGAAGTTCCTGGATCAGTCTGGAGAAGACTTGGTGTGTCTACGGAATTCGAAGAAAGGCTCTCCGGTCCTGGCTCCCAACGCATCCATTCTTCCCAATTGCTTTGGGCGAAATGAGACCCAGATCGTGCCAACATGGCAGAATCTTCTGCGGCAGTGGAATTCATCCATGGTGCTGCGTTGAAGGACGGAAACTCGCTAGACATGTTGGGGTCCTCCATACTATCAGACTTGTTGGCCGTGGTCAAACCTTCACAATCCTCCTCTACAGGCGAGTCGAGATCCTCGAAGTCACCAAATAGGCTGATCTGTTCAAACATATTTCGTTAGCCACCAGAGCTATCAAACCTCTTTACGTCTACATACGGACGTCTGCTCGAGGTCGGCATCCTCGTCAGCGGGATCGAAAAGCATCATGTGTACAGAGCTGTATTTGGGCCAATATCGAGGGGTCAAATGAGCGACACAAGAGTTCTCGACGGAGGGAAGAAAGTGTAGTAGCATGCATCAATGAGAGGGCTTACCAAGAAGAATATGGATCATGCAAGGGGATGCATAATAGTATGGAACGAACAGCTGAAGCAAAGTCGCGTGTTTTCCCAAGAGTACTAGGATGTCAAGGGCTTAATCCAGAACGGACCATGCAGAAGCGATGACAAAGGCAGGGAGTTGATTGAAGAAATGGGGTTAGAAGACACAAAAGGGAGCAGCGTCCGCGTCCAGTCTGATAGTTTGTGACCGGGGTTGGCAGGGCAGATACTGTAGAACAGCAGACACCTTCAGTCAGACGGAAAAGAGACAGAAGAAGACGGCTGGTGGCGTAAGCGTGTGCGCCAGGGTATATGAGGTCGTTGTGCGAGATGATGTGAATGGAAATGTGTACGTGGACGTTGGTGAGAGAGTCAGAGAAGCAGAGAGTCAGAGATCGTGATGTTCGAGGGTTCATGGGCGCCATCCGGTCCGGCAGCCCTTGCCAGAACCTTACCCGATCCGTCAAGATGGCCTGATGTCGAACCACTTTTGCGCCGAATTCCAGGGTCTGTCAATGCTAGCGTAGCTTCTACTACAGTAGCTGGGCACCGACGACCGATCATAGCACGTGAGCGGTCAGCCCTATACACATCATTCATGGATATATAAAGGTTGTCGACGTTATAGTATTGAGAGGTGTCGTTTTTGGCAATGTGATCCTAAATTATTGCTGCGTATTCATGTGTTGCGAATCGAGCACGGACCGGAAGTTCAAGCTCTCAGCCCAGCATGTACTTATAGGTATCTCTAGAATCGTAGTATCGTCTTTACGAACACATAGTCACTGTCGAGGTACGTTATGAGATGTGAGGTCATGTGTGCCTCTTACCTTGCGTTACAGAAGAGTGTTGCCGTCAGATGAAGCTGCTGCTGCTCTGGTTCACAGAGCTGTGCAGTAATGAAATTGTAGCTAAGCCACGACGGCATAATGCTGCTCTGCATGCCAGGGAATGTACTGTTAATGATGCGTATCTTTGCATCGGTTCGCCTCGTCAGACTAAATACCTTGTGGTCACCCCGTATATGCACATGCAAGCATGGTCCATGAGGTGGATGAGCCTCGAGATCACCGAACCGAACCCCTCAAGCGTCTAGTTAAGTGTCTGCCTTTGTCTTGCCACATTTGACGTTTGTTAGCTTTGTTCTGTATCGATATGATAAGAGAATAGCGCCGGCAAGGTCTTACGCGGTCGGACAAGCTATATATGCTGCTATGCAGGTTTACGCAAGTGCCAAGCGACTCGCATACATATATTAGAACAACCTGACCTATTCGCCATATCACTAGGAGTGTTGTAGAACCATCAAAGATCTACAAATGGCGGTCTTTTACGAAGACATCTTCATTTGCTGTTTACCAAGCACCGTAGTTAAGATTGCGAAGCGTATCAAAAGCCTAGCCGTCGACGCCGTCTGTAAGACAGTAAGACTGGTAGCTTGTCATATACCGTACATCCCTCTCCTCTGCACCGTTGCCCACGCCGCAACAAAATCAGTACCAGATTCCACAGTCGGCGTAGTTGCATCACTCGCCGGATCGCCCATGCTTTATTGAGAGCTGCAAAGCACATATACGTTGCAGCAGTGTGCTGTACCTTCGCTAATGTCACTTTGTGCAACCTTAAGCACTGCATTCCTGTAGATTAGAAGGGGCGGTCTCGCTTCGAGCGATATTATATGTCGCTTAGATCGATATTTGAATGAACTCCCGCGTGTTGATCGACTTCCTCTGTGGTATTACCTTGTGCGACAGACCGCGAAGCTTTCGACGAACGATAAGACCGCATAGGCGAGATGGTCGGCAGCTGGGTCAAGCCTTCGCCTCGAATATCCCACTGCGTAGTACAATGTGCACCTCGTGTGTATCGATCTCGATCATTAGCGGGTGGCGACTCTTATCGATTGTCAGACACTACCTCGTCGACGTGTGACAGAATCTTGTAGAACTAAAGGTATCGCCATCCCTACTAGTTGTAAGTGACATTATGTATCTCCCGAAAGTCTCCGAGATAAGCAAAAGTAAATCAAACCAGGTAGATATCTGTCGATCCGTTCGGGATTTTGAGCTCCATGTGACAAGACACAAGGCGCAATTCCTGTCTGCTTCAAGACCTGATAGGTACGGAGAAGATCATCAGTAGCGAACAAGAGATGCGATTCATATATCACAGGTGGTAGTGACATCATTCACCAAGAGAGATTAGGGTACAGAATGTGTCAATTCGACAAGATTCGAAAGAGAGCGTAGCAGGAAACTTCAAGCGCCTTTTCGGCACTCGACGACGCTAACAAGCCTTAATGTGTATGGGTAAGGTGCCGCATCGATAATGATCCAGGGGGAAGAAGATTTCTTCTTCAGTAACGATGTCCGAAAGGGAGCATGGATGTTGTGTTTAAGATTACTCAGTTCCAATTAGTATACAATGAGAGAAAATGTGCTTGCGCCGCACGAGATCCAGAGGTAACGAATTTAGCGCCGAAATAAACTGGTTCAAAGGTTGATTCTTGAAAGCTGTTCACCGGGTACAGCGAAGTTTAGTGCGTACCTAAGTTGATTAATAGACGGAGGAAAAGAGGACACTAAAAGAGCCACTCCACGTGGCTTCACCGTCATCGTCAGTCAGGCTGGAGTTGGAACGTTTACGGCCCGGACGGGTATCGTCAGGCTTGGATTGCTCCAGCTTCGCTGAGTTTCTTGCCATTCATTGGCTGATGCTCTCTTCGTAGACAATAGTCCGCGGCTGATATGGTTCACGGCACAGCACATTTGGACCGCGCTTCATTTTTGACAGCAACCACCTGCGCAACACAACAGCTTTGTGCGTGCCTGTCCAATATTCCGTAACACATCCAGGATTCGGGGAGGCGAGTACTTACTGGTCACCCATGTACACCGCTGAACGAGACACGGACAATTGATTGATGCTGATCCATGGTCAACCTTCGAGGCTGAGCACAGTGCAGGCAAGTTGTGGGTAGGGTGAAGTTCTGACACTCATGTCCTGATCAATCCTTTTGTGAGAGCGTGTCGACGAGTTTCTGTGCCCATCACACCCACGTGCTGAGTCTACTCTTGATACTCACCTCATTCAAGGACGAAGAATCCACGCCAATATGGCGCTAAGGCATTGATGGCTCTATAGAACATTGGAAGAAATCAATAAGACTGAGCCAGGAAGAGCATTTACCTTATGAATACTGGTGATCGTGCTTGGCAGTGGTGTGAGAGATGAATATTATGTACGAAAACGAGATGTGGTACGTACGGGTCCGCGCTTCAGCTGCATATCATAAGAAGCGGGCTGAGGGTTCCACAAATGTCATCTACGGAGCACGTCTTTGTTAAGGAGTTGGTAGAATATGAAGCAGGAATCGATGGCGAGACTTTTTCAAGCATGGCCAAATCGACGCTAGGGAGTGACATATGACAGAACTTGCTCCATAGAGATCGAAAGAAGAGTATCCCGTAACAGTCAGACCAGGAGCCAGGAACGCCTCAAGATGGCGTAGTGTAGTGAGTGGGTGACTAAGATTGTCATTACCGCCGTCTTCTCATGCTTATCAGTCACAAAAAGCATTATTGCTTTTCGTCATGTGCACGAGAATTGGAGAAGTCGTGTATGAATGACAATCAGACATGCCTGTCCTGTGTCATACACAAAGCAGATATGACGAGGAATGGCAAAGCCAGTGATGGAACTTGCCATTTGGTAGTCGGCCTTTTAAAGTATTGTTGCCACGCATCTCAATATCGAGGGCCTTTAGGTAGCACAATTAGCATTGGCATCGTCATCGTCTAAAGCCTCCCGAGGGAACGCTCCACGCGAATCGAGTGCGGCCGACGAGTCATGGGCGAGCGGTGACCTCCCCCCGTCTTTAGCTGCTATCCAGGCTTTTCACGCCGTACATCGTACACGCCAGCGTTTCGCGCTTGATCCTAGGTTGCAGCCAAAGTATGTCCTGATCACACGACACGGCACTGAGAGTTGGCCGTTCTGGGAGTGTACGATTCTCAAAGCGTACGCTGTCTGGCAAGGGGCCCTGGACGAGAATCAGATGCAGATGCATCTCAATCCCGTCGCATCAACAATTCACCATCCCCCACCCCGGCTCGATGCGCCACATCTCGTCTTCGCTCTGGGGTGCAGGGCCGGACAGGGAATGTGGGTTTGTGGTGGAGAAAGGTATAGGTATGGAGGGAGGGTTAGCTGTGATTCGGAGCAGGGTTGGATTGGGGGAGGGCTGACCAGACCAGATCGTACCTTTTGCGGCTATCTGCACGAACATCTCGTAGAAGGCCGGAAAGAAAAGAAACATTGCCGAGGGCGTCGATGTCCCGTCTTGCATCTGCAAAGCGTTAGAAGCGATCCAGCCACGATTCGTTATGTGTACTTGGCTGGTAGTGGTGAGCCGGCGGAAGAGCGAAACAGATGTTGGGCTTTTTGGGGGCGCAAACGAACGATGGATTCATCTCGGATGAATCGTAACGCATCTTGCATCTCATACCATCTCACACCAGCAGTATGAGGGCGCTCCGAGTCACAGTAGGTAATAGGTATCAATGCTGAGCGTGCGGGACCCGTTGCGAGATGTGGAAGTGGAAAGGGAAAGGGGGCAGCAGGTGCCGAATGCGAGGGGGGGCTTTTGGGGGGGCATCTGGGCATCTGGGCCGCTGCAGGTGGGCCGTTGCGGTGTTGCGGCGTTGCCAATGCAGCCAAAAAAAAGGTGCCAATCATTACGACGAGAAGCTTGGGAATGGGCCCAAAATCCCTTGCGGCATCGCCCACTAAGCTGCCCACTAAGCTGCCCACTAAGTTGCCCACTAATTACTCGCCCACTCGCCCACTCACCCGCCCATCGACCCCACCCATCGCAACTCAATCTGATTCTGCCCAGCTGTGTGTGTGCCATGCCCGCTGGTGCCCGCTCCCTATCCTAATTATCATCTCTACCTCTCTGTCTCTCTCCTCCATCCCGGTTCCCAGTCCAAGTTCAAGGCGTCACTGGAACTGGCTCCTCTTCTATACCCACGTAAATCTCACACAACCCGTTTCCACTGCGATTCCATGCACACCACATCCTATCTCTACCTCCTAGAACCCTACACTTCGTTACTAGGTACTATCTATTCTTGCACATCCACTCTCGTGCTCGACTTCAAATTCCCGGCTAACTCCCCATCTCCCTCCTCGTCGGAACGGGATCCTGTCAATCTCTTACACCTGCCGTCTTCCGAAACCAGATCCACGACGCTCATTCCTCGCAATATCTATCCTACCGTATTAGGCTCGACAGGTATCATCGACCTCGTACGATCGCTCGGCTGGTAATTGCGCATCAACTATCTCAAGTCATACTTCCCAGTTGCAGTCTATCGAGCGTCCAAGCTTCGTTCTTCTCTACCTGCACCTTTGAGAGTTGTCGCGACAGACCTCTTAAATATCGACGAATCCTGGTCTCCACCTCTTGACCGTTCATCTGCTACACTGGAATTTGATACTGGCCACCCCATCTTGCACATCGCCACATCTACGGATATAGCTACATTGAGCAACAGTACGACGCTACCAGAACGCCTGGCTAACACTAACAAATGCTGCTCTCGAGGTAACCGAACCTACAAGTGTTGCAAGAGAAGACTATTCTAGCAGAGAATTCAGCTTCAAGGAGCATAGGCCATCTTTGCAAGAATCACTGCCATTCTATGCACCATGGCAGCTGTGGAAGTGAGTCCAAGACATAGGTTCGTCACCCTATTTCTCTTCTCTGACTGTGTTGCTGATCTTGTTCACAGCGCCGCACTACCTCCAATGAATCTCATAGATATGGCTCCGGTCAAGCGAGAAGATAGGGATGCTCATAAAAAGCAAGACAGCCTAGTCTCAGCATCGGGAACATGTACCCCGTACTCGCCAGCAGCATCAAGGCCATCACTGACTGGTCTTCAACATCATGCCTCAGCCCATGGCCCTGCCGCTCTCGCTAGTCACTTATCTCCACCAGATGCACGTCGTACGTCAGCAGACGACAAGGACCAGAGCCAACCTGCGAAACTTTCTTTACCATCAATACACGAAGCTCTAAATTCTGAGCAGCGATATCCACCTCCGCAGAACTTACATGCACCGACTTCTGCTCCCTCTTCTGCACCACTACATTATCATCATTCACATGCCGCCTCACCATCTGAGGTATCGCATCGGCCATTCGCTCCCGAGCTCTCACAGCCTGGACCTGTCTATCCGGCTGCAGTCTCGCAAAGTTATGCCAATCCTACGTCAGCTACCTCTGGTACTCCACGACCTGGTCCATCGGATTCCTTTTCAAGACCATCTTTCACTCCTACCGGCCATGCATCTAGACTGCCATCATTACACCTTAGAACCATGGACTCGCCAATTGAAGCGAGTAGACCACCGCCGTGCTATGGCTCACACCATCCGTCTGCTCCTGAATCTGGATCTCACTCAGCTGGAAATCTGCCATACGGATACGTAGGCGCACATTCTCATCCTAACCACCCCTACTCTGCTCCTTCTCAGGCTACTCCTGGACCCCACTTTGCGCCAACTTCTACCTATCCCGCACCACCCCGGTATCGGGACGCTTGGAGACCAGAGGATGCAAACAACGTGGAGGAGATGAAGAAGAACGGCCGGCAACCTGGCGCAGTATACGGCGAGTCCGTAAAGCGCCACCTTGACAACTTCGACCTAGAGGCATCATTGAATGAAATTGCCGAAGGCAGCGGTCGGATCTTAGATTTCTCGAGGTCGTACGGCGCGCGCGCAACCCAGACAGCTCAGCGAATGGGTCCAACGCATGTTTCAATTCCTTCAATGACAGAGGTTGATGGTCTTTTGATACAAAGCACACGGATACAAGACTGTCTGAAAAGGATACAGCATCTTATTCACACGCAGCAAACTGTCATGGCCGAGAAAGCTCAAGACCAAAGATACCACGCCATGAACAACGGATATGAAGAGCCAAATCAAGGTCCATATACCGATGACCAGAAACGTGTCGGTGACTTCGCCGGACCAGATCCAAAGAAACGGCGAGGCGTAAGCATAAATTATCCTATCTAGGATGACTTCAACTAACAAGTCTGTATAGCGAGCTGCACCACCAGGTCGCTGTCATAGTTGCAATCGAGCCGAGACTCCTGAATGGCGTCGTGGACCAGATGGCGCTCGAACATTATGTAATGCCTGTGGACTTCGTATGTATCATCGAGCTCCGTCAGTTCCCTTGCATACTAACACTTCATAGACTACGCCAAATTGACACGCAAGATGGGCACCAACAAAACCGCCATCGGCAATTCGAATCTCCGGCCAAAATCAGTAGGTCCGAGTTCTCCAGGATCGTGATGAGTGGATCTCAAGACTCTGAACATACCCAATCGCACTTCACAGCTATGTCAGAGACGAGCATGACATTCAGGGAGTGTTGTAACACAAGAGGCCCTATCGGCCCGTCCACGGTGGAATGTCATCTCAACCAAGGCTCCGCATGATCATGCACAGTACTCTGCGCTAGATCCACTATTAGCGTGATTATCGGCTACCGTTCATCTACAAATGGATCGTGCCAGGATCTGCCGAGCATCATTCGAGTCTCATCTGCCGAGTCGATCATAACACCCTTGGGCACGCAACATCTCTCTGCTATACGGTCATACTGCCTTTCCGATCATTCGAGCCGACTTCTATTTTCTTCAACAACGATAAAGCGCCGGCGCATCGAGAGTCTAAGGCCAGGACTTGTTGCGGCCCAAGGGTAGGGCCGTTTCTGGGCATCCATCATCAATCGTGAAACAACAGAGGCCTCGAGTATATATGCTTGTAGTTTGGGGGTTGGTAGGTGTCCAACATATTATTGTACAAACAATCGAAGGAGTACGGCGCATAAATGAGGCTGTACATTAAGCCACTCATGGTGTAGGAGGGCACGGCATAGGGAAGTTGCCAGCCCCAGGAAATCCGTTTTTGTCACGACAGCTTGATTTTTATGTTTATTTCGAGATACCACGGCGAAGCGCATTGACGCCGCCATCGCATGTCTTATTAGGGATCATGATGAGCAACTAGATGGTAGAGATAGCCGCAAATTGAGCGGCCACTGCATATGGGGAATATACATAGACTTCTGATGATCTTCCGCGAACAGATACGTGATCGCTCGGGTGCGTGAGTGAGCAGTTGGAGTGTTTTCTTGATTTGGTAAGAGGCAAGGTCTAGGCGGCTCATGCTTGAATCAGTCCACGCCTTGTCCTGAGGATCTGATACGCCCCACGGTTACAGCCGGTTGAGGCATCTGTATTGTCTGTTCCTGGATGTGTGAGCAGTAGGCACATGCGCGTTGTGTTTGTGTTGTATTGGACTTTGAAGCTCGAGGAATCTGTGTGCCCCTATTTTTGGTATAGCTTCATGATGACCACCTTCTATTTTGAGGGCGAGGGAAACAACGAACGTGTGCAGCTCAACTACCGTACGAATCGTTGTTGAGCATTCTGTGCCAAGGAGTACTCGGACCCTCCTCCCTCTTCGTGGATGGCTGAGCACTCGATAATTCTCAGCAGAGAGAGAGAGAGCACAGCTGGACGTCAGTCAGGGACCAGGGAGCCGGAGAGCGCTCCTTTGAACGGTGGCATCGCGGTCGAAATGTGATTTCAATGCCTGGGGCTGGGTTTGAAGCTAAACCAGACTTTGCGCTTCCGATGATGCTTGGGAGGGGTGGCAGCGAGGAACATCCCTGGGACTGGAGGAAACGAAGATGCCTGTTCAACACACACACACACGCACACACACACAACGCATGTCCACTGATGACAGGCGGCGCTTATCGAGATGGGCGGTTGCGATTTAGATCTCATCTGATCTAATAATTGCTTGCCATAGAAGAAGTTCGGCGCTGCGGTCCCCCCCCTCCCTCTCCACTCTTCAGCCCCCCCGAGCCCCCAGACCGGGGGCTCACCCGCAACGCAACGCAGCTCAATAGTGGAGTCTCGTATCGCATCGTATACATCGTGACGATGTTGGTATGTGGTGTGGAGTGTTGTGGTCCAACAATTGTCCGTTTATAGGACCTATGTGTGTGTGTGTGCGTGTGTTTTTGTGCATACACTCCGTACGCACCGCTGCCAGTCTTGCTCGAGTCTGCATCGACGATGTGTGAAACACGCACACACACACACAGACACACACACACACAGACACACACACACACAGACACACACACACACACACACAGACACGCACACAGACACACACACAGACAGACACGCACCAGACACGCACATACACATACACTGGACCGTACGCGATGCGATGATACCCGCAGCACTGACAGCTGGGCGACAGCTGGGCATGGGCTTGGACCTTGGACCTTGTCGCCCAAACACAAGAAGAGGAATAAATATATCGTCACCCATAAAAAAAGCACATACTGACTGCACGGATCCAATGCCGTGCCCTTCCAGAATACGGGGGCCGTGCTCAACTAAACTCCTTCTCGATTGCAATCGTGTGTGTGTGTGCAAACATGTCAACGGCTGATGGGCGTCGTGGCGTTGCATGGTCAATCCATTCTCCATGGTGCGCCGCCGCCGCCGCCAACGCCGCCGCTTCGTCTTCCAGGTTTCCATTCCTGCGTCGCACCATTCTTTGCTGCCTTTCCCCCCCCTTTTCGGAGCGGTCTCCGGATGCTTTACTTTCGGAGCAGTGACTTCTGGTGAGAAACACAGCTACCGCTCCCCAAAAATAGTGGAGACGGAAACGGAAACGGGAAGGGTTCGTTCGGCAGGGATTCCCCTGGCATTGCTGCCCAACGGCTCCACACTGTCACTTCCCCCGATCACGATGCGTCTGCGTCTTGCGTCTGCGGTTCTGTAGAGAAGAGGAGCCAAAGAAGAAAGAAGTTCATCCCCGTTTCTCGCGGCTATGGCGTGGTGTGGTGTGAGTATGGTGTGAGTATGATGCAGTTGATGGCACATTTCACAATTTGATGCTGGCCCTGCTTAACTGGTTGTCTGCATGCGGCCATCGTTATCATCATCATTCTCCGAATGTTCAGCGAAATGGGAAATTGATTCCTTCTCGGAAACCCTCCCCCCTCCCCCCCTAACTCTCTCTCCCGTACCCGCTTATAACGCCACGTCATGTAACTCGTGGCCTTCCAGATCGCATCGTGTGTCACCGTGTCAGGACTGGTCTAGCGCGTCTGTCTCTGTCTGTCAGTCCCTCTACCTTTCTATTTGCTTGCCTGTCTGTCTGCCTCTCCATTTGCCTCAGGTTGACTTCGAATAGTCTTTGCCCATCTACCCTACCTACCTATCCAAGTCAACACTGCCTACCTCGCTCACACAAAAACACTAAGCGCAAACACACTATATCGGGGAGGTCTTGGGCCGCCCGCCGCCCCCTCGGCCGATGCGTGCGGGCTAAAGCCAGCATCTCGACGCGATCAGCATGTATTTTCTCTCTCGCGCCCGCCGCCTCCCCCGGTTACGTTGTGATTAGGCGAAAGTGTATACATGTACATGACCAACCAACCGATCCCAGGGAAGCCTACCCCTGTAAAGTGCGAGTCGGCCCGAATCTGTTGGACCAAGATCCCATCATCCATCCATCCAGCACTGCGCTGCGCTGCGCTGCGCTACGCCGCTCCGTAGATGGGCTTTGCCCGCTCCCAAAGTGCCGTGGAATCTCCCGTTTCGGCTTTGACAACAGCCTTTTTGGCTTGGCGTGTGCGATTTGCGATCTGTCCCGATGCTTGCTCTCGCTTGGCGATGTGGGTGTGTGGGCGGGTGGTGTGGTCTGGGGAGCGGGCTTCGTATTAGTCGGTTCAGTCGGTCCCGTTGAATACACTGTCCATCAAGAAGCTATATCTTTTTTTGATTTCTCCTTGTGTATTTTTGCATTATTGCTCTCCATCGTCTGCATGCCTGATGCTGCCACACTTGGGAACAGTCAGGAAAGGAGAGGCAATTAGGTGTAGGTACGTGTAGGTATGGCACAAACTCTATAGTTTTTGCGCAATTTGCTAAACGAGCACATTTTGATTGAAAGCTCGGCCGAAATCGCTTATCTCGCCTCAAGGTCTAGAAATGGCTATTCCGTCTGATGGAAGGATGATACGTTTTAGTACGATTTATTGTATGCTGCTGTTGTTTGTTGTTGTTGTCGTTGTACCTGCCATCCATGTTCATCCATAACAAGTGCTCATTCGCCGCTTCTGGCGCGCGGATGATGCACAGCGCATGAGACATGTCTTACTTGCTTTTTTGCGATTTGATTGATTAAACGAACGACCCGATCTGCACGAATAGATGGATCTGCAGAACTGACTGACTGACACATGCACATGCACATGCAGAGACAGAAAAAGAGAGAGTCCATCCAAGTCCAGACTCTCGTCCCCTTTTTCTGTTTCCTCACTCACACACCCAGAACTGCACTAAGCCTAATATACGAGCCTGCTTCCGACTCCGATTGTGACGTTCGTATCTACCGGCATTCGATGTGCAGCCTACTAATTACCAAGCTAAACCCAACTCTCAGAACCAAAGTCCCTCACACTCCGCCCTATTAGCTTGCTGCGGAGTTGATAGGCTCTGTGTGTGTGCTGTGGCTGCATGCTTAGACATCCTCCCCCCTCTCCTACTTCATTCCTTCCTTCCTTCCACTGCTCCTCATCCTCTTCAGCTGTACGAAAGATAGCGAACGTTTCGAAACATCGATTGCTGCCCCCCAGCCGCGCCGGATGGATGCATCCTGAAACACTCTTGCGAGATCCATCAGATCTCGCAGCCGGGATCTAGATCCTCCTCCATCACTAGCAACCAATCAACCAATAGAATCGAGATTCAACATGTTAGATCGATCGGTGAAACCTCTTTCAAACAGCGCAGCACAGTACATAATTAGCATTCATTCATTCATTCCACTCCAAGCGAAAACCTTCGCTCATCCACCGGACATGCAATTGCCGATCCTTAATATCCATACATATGATAGCATCCCGAAAAAGCGCCCAAGAATGGGATACATATAATATCTTGGGGCTTTTTTTCATTCATTTCCTTTTTTTTTTCCTTTTTGGGGGGGCCAGTAGACCGGGATGCAAAAGTGATCGACGCTGGAACCTCAGTGTTCCGAGACGCAGGTTACAGTAGTAACTACTGTGTAGATAAGATGCCACACCCACCACCCACTCACCCCGCGCGGCCCCGGAATAGGGCATGGATGAGCAGCGGTTATCTCGGAGACCGCCTCCCCCGCGTGCGTGTGCATATGCATACAGGATATCCATTCTCTCTACCCATCTATCCCGTCGACTCTGACGGTATTACCCCCTCTCACTCACCACAACCAAGCCCGCTGTAGCAAAAGCAAACAAATCCCAATGCTGAAGGACACACAAAGTATTTCCCCGGCCCCGACGTTAGCTGTACATTTTCCTTTTTTTTTTTTTGGTTCCCCTTCTCAGCAGCGCTAGTGGAGACCTCGTAGATCTTAATATTCCAATATATATGGACACGATAGTCGCCTATCCGATTGTGCATCCTACTTTAATGCAACTCCCTGGCATGACCGTTGCCAAGGCCTGGCCGGCGGGGCGGGGATGGGTGGCAGCAGCAGTAGCCGTTCAATGGTTCCCCGTTCCGCTTTGTATTACCGTCGTCGAATGTGGGTCTTGTGATGATGCGTAGGCTCTGGTTGCATTTGGGATGCGCTGTGAACGGGAGTCCGGATGCGAGGTAGGATTGTGCGTGTTGAATGAGGCGGGCGGTGTGTAATGCACTTGTAGTCTTGGCATGAAGGAGTATCTTGGGTTATGGTGCTGGTGTTTTGTTCAAGAGGAGAGAGTAGGTACTCTAGAAAAGGGGGGTGTATTTTTGTTTTGATGGTTTGGAGATAGAAATAGATATGTTACGGTGAGTAGGGTAGGTAAGTGGTTTAGAGTAGATACAGGTAGACGAGGCTCATGTTGTTGTTAGGTATGAGGTATAGGAATGTATGTGACACAAGGTGCTTTTGTATGGGATTCGGAGATGGCTTTACTTTCAGAGTATATCTATAGTATAGCATGTTTCGTAGCCCATCGTAGGCTTCCTCTTTGACTTAAGGGACTTCGAGCTTACTGTCGGAAGGCTCGACGATGGCTGAAACGTCTGATATGGATACTAGATCTGGTCTATCCATGATGGTTTGCAATCTTGGAGCACGCATTGCGCAACTTGTATGGCTTGTTGTCAGTGTGTTATCACAGCACCAGTTAGACAATGTATAATTTGTTGCTTCAAGTGACTTGCCTCTGCGATATCGACTAGATCATCTGGGTTTTACTGGATGATTTTGGCATTGAAAAGGCCATGCTGAGCTTTCGTCTTTGTATCGGGTTAGACGAGCTTGAAGCTGGAACTGTCTTTTCTTTCGTCAAGCGTTCAAATATATCCACATCCTTCAATACTGCTTTCTCGATATTTTCATAGTTTGTCTTCGACAGCCGTCTCCACACGTGGCAGTCCTATCTACATCAATTTTTGGTTCATTATGTCGCGCTCAAGATGACTTTCGACATCTGGTATACAGCACCACCCAAGGATAAATGAGCAACAGCCTTTGAGCCAAGGGTATCATTATGAAGATTATCATTATGAAGGGTATCACTATGTATATGCAATGCTCTCCATCACGACGAATACGCCACCGCCGAGAACCCATCAAACCGCACACTTCCACCCCCCTGCCCCTGACACTGCAACACCACCATAAACGGCACGTACAAGTCCATCCCACTCACCCTCACACCCGCCGTCTTATCCGTAAAGCTCCCCGTCCCCAACGGCCCAACCGAGCGAAACACATTACTTGTTGGCCGTGTCGTATCCCGCCAGATCTGCCGATTACCCGCGACTTGCACCCAGATATTACACCCGCCAAACGAGTCATTCTCCGTTCGCACCTGGAACGAGACTTCGTAGCTGAGCCCTGCGCAGACACGTAGCTCTGTGGAGGCGGTCTGGTACACAGCTGTGGGATTGAAGGATAGGGAGTATCCGTCGGAGGCAGCGCTGTCGGCGGCGCGGCCGATGGGTACGACACCGGCGGGAGCCGGGACGGCACGCGAGGTCGTCCAGCCGGAGAAGTCAGTGGTGAACTGGCCATTAGCAAAGGCCTCGCCTGGAACACAGGCTGTGGGCGAAGTAGGGGGTGTGGCGCACATGCCGTTGAGGCAGTATCCGGAGGCGCAGACGGTGCCACAGGAGCCGCAGTTTGAGGGGTGTGTTTGGAAGTCGACGCACTGGGTGCCGCATTGATCGTGGGCGCAGACGCAGGATCCGGCGGAGCTGTGTGGCATTAGATGAGAAAAGTGGGAGATGGACATGATGGGCTCACCATCGGGTCTTCGCAGGGCATGTTCGGCCACACGCGCCGCAGTTGTTGCTATCTGTGGCGAAGAGATCGGTGCATTGATAGGAGTTGTCTGTTTGGCGACAGAGACCCTGTGTGTTAGAGCAGAAACAAGCACACTGGCGGTTGCTTTCCTCGTAGAATTCCTGGCGACCAGTATCTGAAGAGACTACGGAGTATGTATAGTCGGCTAGCTGGGTGCAAGCCAGGTAAGACTGGATATGTTAGCGATGTAAGATGTAGACAAGGGACAGATCCTACGTCATATTTATCCCATGAATTCAGGCTAGCGCAGGCCTGGTCTTTCATACAGGATTGGAAGCTGGTGTTACACTGTTCAAAGGTAGTCTGCTCGCAATTTTCGTAGCAGGAATCATGGCTGTTGCAGCAGCTTTGGAAGTTGTACTCAGATGGTGGTGCTGTATCAAATCCATTAGAGGCTCCGCATCCGTTGATATTCGCACCGGCTCCCGGCTTAGCCTTGGAAAACAAGTTTGCCGGAGTGCTGGGACAGCGAGGTGCTACACCAGAGCTCGCTTGACTCTGCCGACGGTGGCGTCGGTTGCTTGGTTTCGTGGCCACAGGCAAAGCAAGCATATGTTGGCTGGAGCCATCAGCGCCATCGAGTGTCATGGTCGTTGCTCCACCTGTGATTTTCCAAGTGAAAGTGTTTCCGTTCAGGTTGGAAACAATGATACGACCTTTACAGTCTACGCTGAATGTTGAGGTAATGACTTGTTGATCACCAAATTCAGCCCCGTTCAACCCAGTGGATGAATCCAACAGCACAACACTCCCATCACTGACTTTACCAACATATTTAGGAGGCGAGCCTGATAGAACCAAGTCGTAGACGTAACCGGGACCATTCTCTGGTGTGCTGAAATAGAATGTTGATAGGACTAGATCCTCTGCGGGACCGAGTGCATTGGCTTCAGCTTGTGAAGAAGGACTAGGAAATGGGCCGATAGAAGTGTCCCTACTAACTATTGGTAAGCCGGCTGGACTTAACAGTTTGAACTTGGACGCTGCCCCCTTGCTGGCATCCAGAACACATGGAAGATCAGGAAGGTTAGTCGGGCCTGCCAGCCCTTCACTCAGTGGAGATGATCCCATCACGCTGACGCTGGATAATGCATAGTCTTCGAAAGAGTATGTATATGCTGGCCCAGACATGGTGACTGTGCTACTGCTCAACGACGTTGTCGAACTTGATATGGCTGGAGACGATACGCTTGTTCTGGTAGAGAAGGTGGCAACTTCTACAGACGTAGATTGGCTGGAACCACTTGTGCTAGGAGTCGAGCTTTCTGAAACGATTGCACTGTTGCTTATTGGAGATACGATGGGTGAGGAGGTGGAAGCGGGCACTGAAACATCTGCAGGCCTTGAAGATGAAGCTAAATCTGAATATGTGATGATGGTCGACGATACGATGGGCGTAGAGGATGTGGTTGTTATTAAAAGCGTGACAGAATCAGAGGACAGTGGAGTCGAAAATACAGTCGGACTTGAAGATGTACTAGAACCCAAGGACATGCTCGGAGGCCTAGATGAAGTACCACTTGAAGCCGGCAGCCCACTCATAGAAATACTGATGAAGCTACTGCTGCTAATACTGCTAATGCTTGACATTGTTGGTGGAAGCGCAGTTGTCGACAGTGTTGCACTTGTTCCAGCATCTCCCACTCTGCTGGCGCTGACGCTGTCGCTGGTGCTGCTGCTGCTGCTCGACCTCGTCGATGCAAGGGCAGTCGTAGACGGCGTTGCACTTCTCCCAGTATCTGTCATTCTGCTGGACAAAGTGCTACTATAGGATAACGAATTCCTAGTAACCGTTGAGACCACTACACTCGAAGCGGCCATACTCGTCGTGCTCTGCCGCACCACGGAGTAAGACGTTGTTAAGGATATCAAAGAAGAACTAGAACTCTTCGCGGTAGTGGAAGTCAACGATACAGTTCTGCTCGTCCCGGCAACACCGCCTGATGTAGCTATTATCGATGTCGCAGACGTCGTACAGGTCGATTTCGGTAAACACGACGCATCCCAGAATGTAAATGGGCTTCTCGGAGCAGCGACAAAGTTGCTTGCCACATCGCTTCGGTAAAGCAAACATGCCTCATCACTAGTAGCAAGGCTCTTACATCCACTGGTCTTCTGACATAGAGCAGCGCACGCTTTGAAGCCTCTCGTCCTGGTATTCCTCACAAATGCATTGGGGTTTCCTTTGCTAAATCCTCGGACTTGACACCGTTGCGAGGACGTTGGAGGCTGTGCTGTGTTTGTCGACGTCGACGTTGGGCTCACGCTCCCTGCGCATGCTCTATCATAGAACATGTACGGGCTTTGAAGGTCGTTCTTGCAATTCTTTGCGCTACCGGGAGTCAGCTGGATTCAACACAGGGTTTTGGGCATACGCACACAGTTGCGGCAAAATGCATGCATACTTTGTTTCCCACCGCATACGAGACGCATCTGGTGTCTCCAAGACAATGAGAGCCGCATTGGGCGGGTGTAGAGAGGCGCTCATTGCGTTCGTAGAAATATGCTCTTGTGGCAAGGTTCCATCCTGGCTGCGCACATGTCTGCGCCCTGGCTTCTATGTCGACAGCTGTGGATAGGACTATTAGGGGCAGAGCCAGTAATGAGATGCTCTTGATCTGCATTGCATTCCCTATGTACGCACGCAAATTAAAGAGTGTGAACTGGCGAGGACGCGGATAGAAAAAACATCTCGCAAGACCCAGGCAAGCACCTGGTACATAAAGCCATCATGATATTAGAAATGTCTAAGCCGCCTAGTCTTTACCTCGACTGTTGATGAGGCTCGAATTCAACGTGTGCTACGATTGGTCAATGCAGTCTTGTGTGGTCTAGATTCTGTAGCGGTGGCTTTGGCTGGACCACCCAGTCTGTAGACCACGGCCTAAAGTAGAATGGGAACATGTCTCCTGAGCGCCACCACGTGAAGTCATTAGAAGCGAAATACCGGAGCGTCCGCAGGGTCATGCAGAAGTCAAGTGGATGTGGAAGTGCTGGGCATACAGTCTTTGTCAGGTTATATCAATAAGCCGAGCAGAACTTCAAGGTTTGGTGCCCTTTTCTGCTGACTAATACAGCTAAAAGAACCAGATTCAAGTTAGACCCACTTGCGGTGTAAACCCTTTCAGAACTATTTCAGCACAGTGCGTTTGAATTCAAAGTCTACAGATCAATCTTCAGAGCTCTACGCATCTTGAGTAGACTTGCCATAGGACTGCTCCTTTAGTAGCATATAAATAGACTACAAAGCTAAGTGATATCCTCTGAAAGACTGAAATATCACCTTTTTGGATCCTTTGCGCCCCTAATTCTTCTCCAGTGTTCTATTACCAAACCCAAGAGTCGACTGTTAATTTCAGGAGTGCACGCTCATACACCATCTCTTCACGGTACTTTGATCCACCAAGCTGCGAAACAAACTTGAACCACCAAAAGTCTTCGGGCATATATCTCATGGCAGTGGTATAATCCCAGTAATCTGGGTACCAGCCAGCGGACTCCCAGTCGATGAACCCCGAAACACGGCCCTCATGAACCATGATATTATGGTGCTTGAGGTCTCCATGAGTGAAAACGATGCGATGAAGCTTGGTTTGCATCTTCCGTGCGCAAGCAAGCGCCTCTTCGAATGCTTCTGCAGATGCATACCCATGCTGAGAGGCAGGCTGGATGAGAAGATCATTGAATTCCGTTTCACTTTCACAAGGTCCTATGATATGGTCAGGAACTCGCACGCTCCTGATGGGACCGCCAGTGATAGAACAAATTCGGTCTTTCCCCCAGGGACTGCGCCAATTCCTGATTGTATCTAACATAGTTGCTGTCTCCTTCTGGATTGTCTCTTGCTGGGCAGGAGTTAATGATTCATACACGAGTCCAAGGTCACAGCCAGGAAGGCGTGTCATCAAGATAGACACAAGTGCGTGTGGGGTGTCCGGGTGATCTCCGTACGCGATAACTCTAGGGACGGGTAGACCAGCGGACCGGGCGACCATCATAGCTTGGACTTCTTCTAAACGTGTTCCGTCGGACCATTTGAGAATCAATCCGAATGGCAACTGGCAAATCTGATTATCGAATGGTATGCCAAACCACTTGCAATAATGTCGTGAGAACGGAACGAGCCGTTTGTGTATAATGCCCCATACTCGGCGCGATGTGGAGCCTGAAAGCTTTGGGGTAGGCGGAATGTCCTGCACAAGTGGCTCGTCTCCCAAGGCGCGATGTGGCCAGGTGAAGTTTGGGCAAAGAGCCCTCGGAAGTAAAGAGTTGAGCCAACTCATTGTGGGCACTAAGTGACGTGAGCCCAAGGTGTTAGGAAAAGTTGAGGGATCGAGCAGAGTACATCTCGGCGCTGCAGCCTTGTTGCCTTCCGGGCTGTTGCCTAGGTGACAGGTCGTGTATGCCAAGCCTTTACAGGTCTCGCTTTCGTACTTCAAACTACTTAGCCTATTACATGAAGGTTCAGGATCGCTTACAGAACTACATTTCAAGTTCTAAATATGACTCAATGGGATACCGTATGCATGTTTAAAACCATACACGTTCATTTAATGGATGCTCTCCATGATAAGTACGGGAAGCCGCGTCGATTAGTTGATTAGTTTGGAAGACAAGGGTGAGTGATTCCGTTAAGCTGGCTCTCAATTTGTACTGTCGTGGATTTCTTATTCTCCAGATGAATAGATATCTGCATCAATACCAAGGTAATGAGCATTGATCACTAACAACCCTTACGAGTTCACGTTGGGGATGGCGATGTTTGAGTGAAGGTGAAACGCGCCACTCGCCAGTCAGAGCAAAGAATGTCGAAGATTGCGAGGGCCACGCCACGACTGATAGCGTCCATTGCCACATTCTTGCGGCAAGTGAGATTCCTACTTGGTTTGCCTCCAAAGCGTTTTGATTCGTGAAGGCTGCAACACCTGAACGGGAATGCAGCGTCTCGCGAAGCAATGTCTTAGTCGCCTACCTATAGGCCCGATGCAACGTCGTTATGGTGGAGATATCCCCAGCAGCATAACAGTGCTGCCTAGTGCTGCCTAGCATCACAGTGCTGCCTAGCATCAAAGTGCTGCAACACACTTTCCGAATGGAATTAGTATGGCACGCTGGTATGGAACAAGCGCTGTGCATATGCGCTGCCTCTAAGCCTACTGTCTCACGGTGGCATACTGAACACTGTGCCGCTCTAGTCAATTATATAAATTGGACATGATAGTCGGAACTTGCTGGACCCCCCAACGTGCTTGATTTAACTACTAAACGAACTAAATTCTTTATACCAATTCACTACATTACATTTCCGCGATGGCCCTCTCTGATCTACAAAGCAATGGAATATACGTCATCCTTTTTCTGAGGGATGACCAGCCTGATCCAGATAACTTTCATTGGGGCTTGTATCATCACCATAACGCCGATTCAGGAGGGTGGAAATATCACATCAAGGGCAGGACTGGCTACTGGCATGCTGACCACGGGCATACTAAAGGAGTTTTTAAATCGTTCTTACTCATCGGCCTATTTCATATTTGCACTATTCCTCCGGGTTGGGAAGCACACGTCGACGCTGTAATGCGACAGTACGACGGGGTCCTTAACAATAACCCTGCGACCTCTTGTAGTGCTTGGTTGTTCTGGGTATTGGCTCAGCTTCAGAAGCCTGTAAACGGGTACAGAATCCTCAGTGCTGATTTGGGCTATCTGGAAAGGGAAATCAAAGATTTTGGAAATATGCACTCTCGGAGTGCTGTAGCCAACAATCAGCCACGGCCCATCGGCCGCTCCGGTAAGTCGCAAAAACCATATCTATATTCTGCGAAGAGTTGAACTGATACAGCTCGTAGTCTATGCCGGGTAGCGATCTACACATAACTGATACCCATAGTATCAGCTCAAATATTTGGATACAGAGCATCAAGGACTCGCCAGGAGATGATATAGGGCTTTCGATTTACCATTTAATTCCGTGACCCCTGTCGGCCTCCAAAGTGTACGAATTGAGCCTAAGATCATTCTTTCTGTCAGCTGCATGGAACTTTCAGTGGCTTTCCAATCCATCTACATTGAGCCTATGAGATATTAGTACTAGAGTATACACAGTAGATACAATACAGTCACATTGTTGCATTCGATGTGACGAAATCACTCCGAATAACAAGATCATCGTCACCATAAACATCAGTGGTTTTACTTCTCAAACAGACTATCCCTCACAAACAGACACGTAACTCTAATAAAACAGCCCGAACTACTAGCAAAAATTTCTATGTATATAGAACAAGTCAACAAGGCCTCTTACTAGTAACCAGGCCCGTTCTCTGATCTGCTAACGGAGAGCGGAATATTTTTCTTATATGAGATGAACAGAATTAGAGGTTTATATAAATATAGAGAGCTAACATAGACACACGTTCTGCAATACTTTAGGCGTAGAGAGTGTATTATGCGTTGTCTGCAGATATCTTGATTGGTGGTAGGGATTATTGTGCTCACTGCTGCCTAGTCACTGTGCCGCAGCCCACTTACCAAAATGGAATAGTACATAGCACAACAGGAAACCCAGCGCTGTATAAATTGCTGCTTCACCATCCATAGCAGCCTGAACTACCTAAAATTTTGCAAAACAATCCCGGTCCTCACATCAACACCCAGACCCATTCCACTCCAACAATGTCGGAACTCCAACCCAACGGAATCTACATCATGCTCTTCCTCCGCAGCGACGTCCCAGAGCGAGACAACTTCCACTGGGCCCTCTACCACCACCACGACCCCGAAACCGCAACAGGAGGCGGCGGCGGCGGCCATAAATACCACATCAAAGGCTCAAAAGACTCCTGGCTCGCCGACCACGGACACACCCAAGGCGTCCTCAAAGCCTTCCTCCTCGTCGGCCTCTTCCACATCTGCACCGTGCCGGCCGGCCTGGAAACCCACGTCGACACCACGCTGCGCCAGTACGACGGCGTGCTCAACGACGACCCGGCCATCACCTGCCGTGTCTGGCTGCTGCGGGTGTTGGCGAAGCTGCAGGAGCCGGTCAGTGTCAAGGGCAATGCTGGGTGTCGGATCCTGAGTGCCGATATGGCGCGGCTGGAGCGGGAGGCGCTGGATTTTGGGAATCTGCATGCGCAGAGTGCGATTGAGAATCTTCAGCCGCGGCCGATTGGGCGCTCGGAGGTGCTAGGAGAGGATGGTTCCGGGGGAGTGGCGGTGGAGTTGGGTTGAGATGTCTTGTGGGCTATGCTGGGTAGAGCTGTATGTATATCAGCGTACAGCACTGCTTCGTATCTTTGGATACAAGGCAGTAAAGGAGGAGACGGCAGAGCCCCTGATTTGACCAACAAAAGTCTCAGCCCCCCTGGCCGTACTTAGGCTATACGGCCTGAGTTGAAGAACACGACGTAGACTTTCAAAGACCCTTTCAAGTCCATAAACCCTAAGCCCTTTCAGAGCACCAACCTGCTCAAACCGAAATATGAGTATGCGAGGCCACACAATTCTCAACTTTCAAGCGCAGGGCTATGAACATAAAACAGTAGACTTCAAGGGATATATACATATACATAAACTCACATTATCGCTCCCTGTCCCACAATACACATGTCATCAAAAAGGAATCTACAACAACCGCTGCACCGCAGACACACAGCCCCTTACAACCCGATCTGCAAACGAGTACCGCTCAGGCACCCTCTCATCCCTCCGTAACGGCTCGAACCTACCCACATTCTCCCGGCCCCTGACAATCATCTCAGCCGCATGTGCCCCACTTGCGAACCCATCCTCATGAAACCCCAGTCCAATCCACGCGCCCGCAAAGCTCACCGACGACCGGCCATTAATCTCACACAGCCTGTCCACCGCTGAGAGACTCTCCGCCGTGAGTAAAGGGTGGTAATATACCTGGCTGCTCTGCGTGAAGGCCGGGATGCGGGGCGGGTTCATGCTGACGAGCACGCGGCCAGGACTGCCGAGCTGGCCGGGCATGGGAATGCGTTGGACCTTGTTCATGTCGAAGGTGAGGGCGATAGAGGAGTCGAAGGGTTTGGGCTCGTCGAGGAGGAGAGGCTTGGACTCGGCGAGTTGGGAAGGGTGGGACATGGGGGGAGGGGACGGGTCGGAGAGGAGGCATGTCCAAGCTGTGCGGGCGGAGGGACGCTTGGCAAGGAACTGTGTTTTTGTTAGATGGGGACATGGTTGGTGTGTGATAGATAGACTTACGGTTTCATCGGAATGGACGTAGCAGACGTTTCGGCTCGTCTTGAAGCAGCCGAGGACTTCTCGTTCTTCGGCGGTGGCGTCGGTGCCCATAAGTGTCAGAGCTTGGTTGGCGTGGGTTGCGAGGACGACATGCTCATATTGTCGTTGAACTCCGTTTGCAAGAGTGACGATAGCGCCATCATTGGTCCGAGAGACACGATGAATGGGCTGGCCGGCGTGGATGTGATGATTTGGGGGAAGGCGGTCCATAAACGAACGGACATATGTCTGGGAGCCGTTTGGGAATGCACGCCACTGTAACGATGTGGTCACCGTGTCTAAAAGACGATTTTGAAACCTAGCGGGTCGTCAGCAAGAACAAGTACCTGACCACGGAGTCTGGACGAACATGAAGCGTATCAAGGTCTTTGCCGGAAAGCTTCTCTTGAATTCTTCCAGATCAGTCGACCACACTGCCGCGACCATGGGTATGAGAAACAGTTCCAAGAACTGCTCCGAGTAGCCGTGTCTGTGCAGATAATCTGCAATTGCTTCATCATGTTGACCTTTTCCCTCCACCGTCGAATCCACAAGCGTGTCCTTGGCAAAGTAGCAGAAGCGAATAATGTCAAACAAGAGCCTCCAGAACCAGGGCTTTAGTAGATAAGAAAGATGTCCGACAAAGCTCCAGAAAGAGTAGCTTCCCCATTCGAACTCGCCACTGTACGCTGATACTCCAAAGGACATGTCCGCTGGCACGGTTTCCAAGTTCAGCTCCTTTAGGAAGCGATGGAAACGAGCTATAGGACAGTGAGTTTGGGTCTCATGCTCCAGATTCGGACCGCTTACGATATGTCTCTGTGCTCATAACCATGTATCCTGTGTCTACCCCGACGGTGATCCCGTTTCCTACAAAGGGAACAGAATTGGCATGACCTCCAAGTCGCTCCTCAGCTTCGTAGATATCCACATCGAAGTCCTCATTCCGCAGTCTCCAAGCACATGCAATGCCAGAGATCCCTCCACCAATAATGGCAACGCGTTTCCTGGAACCTACGGTGCTCATCTTTGCGTGGTATTGATCTTGCAGACGGACTGGTGCGACGGATCAAGACACCTTGGATTTTGCTGCTATTAAAATGTCATACAACTCACAAGACTTGAGAAGTTACGTGGCACAGGAATAAGAAGTCAGGCACCTAGTAACGGATAGAGAGGTGCGGCGTGTCTATAGTCTATGACGAACAAGTAAAGAAAAGAAAAGATGATCCCCTGACATGACTCCCTGCAGAATGCATATCTATGAAAGTCCCTCATCCAAATATAAATTTAGTGATAGTCCATGATTAGTCGATTGTCACTTCACTCCGTGTATGCATCCCGCGGAACGTGCATGTGGCGGAGATGACCTATTGAAAGTCCGCTGGTAGGGGGACAAATCTCGAAGGAACAGCAGTTTGCTGACTCGGCTTACTCCGGACAAACTGAAAAGAAAACTGTGACTTTGTCATCTGCCAACAAGTTTATCTATCTAGTGCAAAGTCTCTAGTAGTCCATGGTCCTCGCTAAGTCGGTTCAAGCCACCACTCTAGGAAATACGAAGCGTTTATATCGACACGAATCATAATTTCCGTCTAAATCTATTGGGGCTTCGGTTTGGAAGAACGACCCATGAGCTCAGACTTGGCAGGGCTATGAAAATTGCTCTCATCTACAAAAGAAATGCGATGTCCAACTTGCGGCGAGGCGAGGTGAGGCGAAGCCAGCTCCTGGATCCGATCGACCAGTATCCGGTAGGGCTGACAGCAGTATGTTGGTTTGGTCGTTACACACTATATATATCCATGGTGCGAGTGTTTAATGTTTACGTGAGCTCGTCGATCACCTACCGAGGGATTTAGTGTGTTATACAATGTGTTGGATTATGAGTTGATTTTAGATTGAGGTTGCGTGGGTAAAGGCCATTGGGTAGGCACATGGGCGGTCCTCCAGCCTGGAGAGACGCCAGTGCATCCGATGACTAATCACGGCAATATCACGGGCACAGGCATTCCTTGTCATAGGAGCCAAAATTGGAAGAATAAACAAAACATAGTGGGCTTACAATGCGATGGAAATTGTTCGTGTTCATGCTACTCTGTACATTTGGAGTATTCAATGACATGACCCATGTAAAACAACACTTATCGTTCCAGTATATCGACATTTCCCTCTCTGACTCTACCATGCATAAACCACTTTCGCGTACTTTATTTATGCCCTCCACTTTCCGCCACCGGCTTTTATCTTTCCCGGCCGTCACTCCGATCTGTGTCGTAATCATCCGTGTCATCAGTCTCATTACCGTATTCGCGTCTCCGGCTGCGGCGATGCTTGCGGTCACGGTGTCTGTCTGACCTGTCGTCGCGGTCTGAGTCGCGCTCGCGCTCTCGTTCGGCATATCTTTCATCATCTTTGCCGCTTTGTGTTAGCAGATTGGTCAGAACATTGGTGGCAAGGGAGGAGAAGCTGGTGGTATCACCACTGCGTTTGCTGTGTCCATGGTGCCTGGAAGAGGGGAGGTCCGGATTGGAGGTGGTGGGATCCGTGTAGTTGTCGCGAGAGTTGCGTTCCTTGAGACGACGTTGGTCTCTGTCACGGTCGCGATCGCTGTACGAATCGCGCTTGCGATCTCGACTTTGGGATCGGTCGCGCAGGGTAGCAGGTTCTCGCTCTCTATCGCGGTGGCGGTGCGAAGACGACGGACGTTCTGGATCGAAGTTTGGCGCAAAGTCGGGCAACTTCTCTTTGGAACGCTCTTTTGTGCGACCGACGTCGCGCCCTAGCTGCATCACTTGGGTATCCTTTATCTTTCGCTTCTCGCGATCTTGGCGTGAAGGGTCGTTGGGAGCGTCGACACGGTGAACAGTGGCATTGCCAAGATCTACGTCGTTGATTGTATTGTCGGTTAGGCTACCGCGGCGGTCTTTCTTGGCGAATGGATTAAGAGCCTGTTTAAGGTCTCTCAATTTGCCGGCTCCAGATGTAGATGTTTCTAGGCGGACGTCAGGATGTGAGCGACCAAGACTACTCGAGCGCCGAAGATCCGACGAGGAGCGGGATTTCTTTGTCGATGGAGGTGCTTGAGACGCAAGCGTAGACACCTCGGAGGCGGCATAGTTGCCAGAAGGACCACTGGGAGTCAGAAGTTGAAGACCCCTGACTGCGTTCGCGGCGTGTTCTTTGGCGATCTTCGCCGCAGGATCCTTGGCCGATGGTCCAGAGTACTCGTTGAGCTTGGTGTTGTATTCGACCAAAAAGTCGTCCCGGGCTTCCCCGCTCTTCCAGGCAGATGGGTCAAGGTCGATAAGACCAAGTGATGGATCAGAATGTAAGGGAGATTTGTATTTACCTCTATCATCGCCCTCCTCGCGCGCCTCCCTAATTTCCATCGTACGATCTGCCAACTTTTGGATATCGTCTTTCGATAATACACGGAGGACAATCACGCAATCGAGTCGTTCCTCGAACCGTTCTTTGGCCTCCTTGAGGGCTTCCGGGTTGACTAGACGGCGATCGATCCTGGTCCATCGTGCGTTTGGTGGAATATCTTTGCCCACCTTTGCGTCCTTTAGAGGGGCAACCCCCTCACGGATAGGATTGGGATCTTCTGGAAACTTCTCAGTTGGGCGGCGCAGTATGCCTCGGACTGGTGGTGAATTTTCTTTTGGAGGAGCAACGATGTTAATCCTTCTATCACGCTCCGGTTCACCATACTCTTCGGGATCCTGTACAAGATGACGATCAAATACACCGCTAGAGCGATCGCCGGGTCGGTCAGATCTCGGGGGAACCCGACTGGGAGCATCTCTATCGCGGTGGTCACGTGGGGAATCATCTACAGGGTAAGCGCCTGGTGGTCCTGTGATCGGTGTGGGTGCTGTAGGTGCTCTCTCTACGTTGTAACGATCGTGTTCGATGCTATATCCTCGTTCACGACGTCTCCTTTCTCGGTCGGAGCCACTAGAGTCTCTGTCACTTGGAGGTGGCGGTTGTCTGACGACACCACGTTGCAGGTCAGCTTGTGCAGCCTGAACTCTGCGACGATAGTCTTCATCGGGATCAACGGGTTCTGACTTTTTCGAGTCTTGGCGCGAAGCCTCTCTCGCAACGTCTCGCTCGGCTTCGCGATCGACATAGTGCCTTTCGCGGGTCATCATATCCATGCTGTCAGAAGACTGTTGCTGGGGCCTGGGGCGCTCAGGAATGGGCACTCTGTTGCGATCATCTGGCGCTTTTCTGTAGTCTTCTTGTGGTGGAGGTGGAGGTGGAGGAAGCTGCACTTTGCGTTCATCCAACCCTTTATCAGGTTGCGGCCCCCGTCGCTCATCTAAAAGACCTCTATCAGACACCAGCGGAGCTCGTCTCTCGTCAGGCACAGCTCGTCCAGCTGGCAGTGGCACCCTTCGCTCATCGGGTAAGCCTCGATCGGACGGTGGTAGTTGCATTCGGCGTTCATCAGGGTAACCTCTGTCTATTGCCAGCGGTGGTCTGCGGTCGTCAGTATGTGATCTTTCCGGTGGTGGAATCGGCGGTGCTCGCCCAGCCATTGGCGGTATGCCCTGGTTGTCGACTGGCGGCGGCGGTGGAGGGGGAGGAAAGTCGCCAGGAGGAGCTGATTGAGGTGGACGAGGTACCCCCCCTCGATCATCCTCATACCGTCTATCATCTCTTCGATCGTCTCTGTCTTTTTCTTTCTTGTGCAAACCGTAACCGGCGGCAGCGGCAGCAGCAGTACCAGCTACGGCAGCGACAGGCAACAGACTGCCCCTGCCATCTTTGTCCCTATCATCACGGTCTCGGTCTCTGCGTGATTTGTCATCTCGTTCGTGATAGCGGTCGTAATCACGACCACGATCCCTACCATGGTCCCTATCTCTGTCATCTCGGTCTCGATCACGTGGTCGATCCCTTTCTCGGTCCCGATCCCTGTCTTTGTGGTCACGCGGCTTATCGCGATAGTCCCGCTCTCGGTAACTTTCTCGGTCCAACTCCGGCGGCCAATCACGATCATCTCGCCGAACCTCTCGACCGTCTCGTGAGGGCGGAGGAGGTATCGGCGGTGGAATAGAATCGATAGGCTGATAATTTCTCGGATCTGGAATCGAGAGGGGCTCTGCAACAGGTGGCTGTGGTGGATAGGTCGCTTGGCGGTCGACGCTTGGGTCCCGAGGATGTTTGTCTGTACTGCCGGTGCGAATACCGAATCCGCGCGTTGTTACATCAGGATCTTCGTAGGTAGAGCGACGGCGATGGTGGCGACCAGATGCTGGCTCATCATAAACCGTATCTCGATAGCGCTCTCGATCATCCCGAACCTGGTGAGCGCGGGGGCCGGGGGCAGGTAGCGCAGAATTCGATCTTGGCGGGACGTCCTGAGGTAGTATGTAGGGCTCTGGAAGATTGTCACGATAGACAGAAGTGTGCTCGACATCGCGCGGCCTTTCAGGAGCACGCTCTCGAGACGAAGTTCTGTGATGAATGTCCCTGTCAGTGTGCCGAAGACTGCCCGAACGACCTAATGCACTGCTGCCATTAATTTTGTCGAAGCCTCTCGTAGACACCGGCGGCCCGTATTCTCGCGCAGGCTTCATCGCGGGACCCGCAGTTTCAATAATCATACTAGATGGACGAGAGCTTCGCTCCACACTATTCCGCCGAGGACGCCAGCTTGGTTCTGTTTCCGAGTACATTTTTGCGGGATCTGTGTAAGAATAGTAATCCTCTGTATCTCGAGGAGCAACTATGGGCGCAATGGGATAGTATTGCTGACGGCTACCGCCAATTTGCGCAGAGTGTCTGTTGCCAGTTCTTTCGACGCTGGGCCTGCGCTCTCTTCTGGGTTTTATGTCTTTCTCTTCTATTAGTCGAGATTGACCGTCATCGACGCTATAGACCTTCTTGTGTTCTCGCTTTGGAGCCGAAATGCTCGCAGAGTAGTCATGATCTCGACCTCTGTCGTCGTAATGTCTGGTGAGTGGACTGGATGGTCTGTCATTCTGGGTGTGTATGACAGCAACTGGACGGTGACGTGTGGAGAGATTGAGGCTCGGAGGTCTTCCAGCGTTGCCCTCCAAGGTTGAACGGCGCGGACGTCCAGAGTATGCGTCATAGCCTGCACTAGATCTGCTCAAAGAGCTGCCTCCCGTAGTCGAAGACGAGGACGGAGCATGTGTGAAATACTGAGATGCATGCGGCACGATCCTTTCTCCGCTAGCTCTTGGGTCTACATATTCTCGACTAGCTCTTGGGCCGCCATAATAATGGTCATAACCTCCCAACTGAGTTGCGGAAGCACGCCCAGAGTGGGCAATCCTACGACCACCAGGGGAGGCAGGTCGAGTATAATAGCGATCAGCCATCGTGGAAGACGATGATGGAGGAGTCAGCGTGGTGGTGATGGTCAACCGAGGAGTCGAAACGGAGTGACGATGCGATTGCCGTGGAACTGACAGAGTGGTCGGAGCTGAGTGCGGCGGAGGAGCCCGCGACTCGAGGAAAGCACTACCCATATCGATCATGTTAGAGGGACACGAACAAGCAGAAAAGGACATGAAGACGGATCACATCTCTGTGAGGAATAAAGAAGTGATTGTCAAGATTGACGTGCGGTGACAGAGGAAAGCAAGAAGATGGAGATGCCTTACCCGGCAGTAAAAGGGTTGCAGGTCACTAGAGCTTGCGGAAATGCAACGGTGGTGCGCTGTCGAGTGGACCCAGGCAGTGCGAAGTTTGCGTGAAGTTATCCAGGAGCTTCCTTGCGAAGTGACCGGGAAGAAGTGGTCGAGGTTGTAGTAATCGGTCAGCTAAGCGTGATCAGCTGTGTAGCTCCGGCGAGATATGAGAGCCCAAACAAGAGCTTGGTTGGACATACAGAGAGCTCAGGCTCAGCCGAGTAGTAGTAAGCGAAGACGACAGGCGGTCAGAAGCACGACAGACACTACGGTGGTGTTCTCGTGTTGTGGTGAGGCCGTGGTGGACCGGCAGGGCGGTGGAGTCACGTCCCGCCAAAGCACCAGACGAAACAACGAGCTTGAGCCAAAACAGGGCTCGATGGTTAATGCAGGGACTGGTGAAGCAGAGAACAGTAACCAGTGGGAGGTGCAGCAGATGTAAGAGCAGGCAATGCAAAAGTCAAAAGCAGGCGTCCGTGAGTAAAAGCATGCAGCCTTGGCCAGAGGCCGGTCAAGGATGGAGGTGGGTGGTGACCGGTATCATCGATGTATGACGGAGGTTGATTTTCTCAGGTTTTGGGTGTGGCTCCAGCGACTTCCAGCGTGCCGATACCTGGTTGACAGAGGATAAGGCTGGGTTTTTGTGTTGTGTTGTATTGTGTAGTAGTAGTGTAGAATGACAGACACAGGTGGTTGAGGGTTGAAGTAGCGAGACAGCAAGTGTATGTGTGTGTGTGTGTGTGTGTGTGTGTTGTTGTTGGCGGGATGGAGTCATCGTATAGCAGCACTACGAGTATTAACGAGAGCGTTGGGCGATGACATCTGACTTGCTCTCGCTAAGGAATTGGCTCCCTCCCCGCCCGGGCTTAGCGGGGGCTCGAGGGGCTTCGGGGGGTCTTTGGGGGGGCTTTAGGGGCCTGTTCGGCTGAGCCACAGCCATCATAGCGACAATTTAGCGACCATACGCAGCGATAGTGACCCCACCACACCCCCCAAAAAACCCCCATCTGGCCTCCCAGTGCCACACACCACATTACCCTGCCCACTGTTGTTTTTCCACTAATGCTGATTTATTCACTCGTTCACTTCTCACCACTAATACTACATGTACTTGCTTACTGCCTACGTAGCGGACTCGTACCTACATCCACGTACATAGCTCACATTCACATTCGCTCGCTTGTTGCCAATATGGGGAATATGCGAACATGACGCGCAGCTCGCTCTCCCACCTAGCTATTCTCCGCGCGCCCAACAATATAGGCCATTTTCTCATAGCCAAGCAACTAAGACGATGGCCTCTAGACTTAACATAAGTAGTACTTATGCAAACTCGGTCACAGACAAACAATAGATAGAAAAATGAAGCCATTGGGCCGCAAATCAGCTTTTTAGCCGCCTGCCAATACCCAACAACACCAAGGAAACACAGGACGCAGAGCACTCCGAGCATCCAGCCAGGCCCACCCTTGCCCTTGCATCTCCATGTGTCTCTGGTAACAGTGACGGTGGTGACGATGGTGACGATGGTGACGATGGTGACGGTGCCCTCACTCGTCTCATGCTTGTTACATCTTCTTATCCCTGCCAGCGCTTTGGCAAACTGCCGATCCACAAGCCCTCGGCACTCTGTACACCCACCCACTGTCCTCACATCACATCCCTAGGGTATAAGGTATATGATGAGGCTTCAGGCTACAACTCCGACTTGGCGTGCGCATTCGAATCAACTCGACTCGACTCTTCTGCAGCTCGCCGACTGCTGCAAACCCAAGCCGAGGATTTCGCAGAGGTGGCCATCCAATATCAATGTGATGATGCAGAGTCCAGACAAGCAGAAGAAGCCGTGGAATTCTAGACTCGACGACCGACGATGACAACTCACCGTGGCGAATCTGCCCGTCTGTCGATCCCTCAGCTTAGACTTCTAGATGTTACGTTACGCACTCATCGACTTACTCGATGCTTATGCTTCCTGCATGTCGTGTCTTCCTTCGCCTTGCTGAAAATTGAAGACTGGAGATTAAAGACATGGGCTCCAGGAGTTGACTCCGCTCTCACTTTTCTAGTTGCAGTTCAGACGCGTTACAGTTGTCTCGTTCTGTGGCATGACTTTTCCACTTGCCGTCCATGCTTGCCAACAACGTTTAAAGTTCGCGCGGATCACTGCTCATCGACCGTTTGGCCTGGTGATTGACGCTGACAATCGTTCTGCCGAGTATGCCTTGCAGTGCGCATCGTTCTGACGCTGTCGAATCGCCGTCGAAGTTGTTCACACCGTTAAGCCTCACTTTCAGATCATCCACAATAGGGTCTTCTAGACTTCTGAAGAGCATGGATCGGGCTTACAACCTTTCGTACACATGTGTTGCATCGAGCCTCGCGTAGCACCCGCCAACTGTACATTGAATTGTCTCCTCACGTGCATTTCGACAAGGCCATGGCCATCAAGGCTACTCGACCTTGGACCGCATCTCTCAATGACATGTCATGCTCGGGCATAGTCCAACAGTGGGCGACTATTGCGACATCTTGTTGGCTTGATGACGTCAAGAGAGGGCCTAGGAATATCCATGTTTTAAAAGCCTTCATCGAGAGGCCATGAGCAACACTCATTATAGTAGCGCTTGCTGATCAAAATTCTGGTTCTGCTGCAATAACATTTTAATTACAAACAGCTGACCACTCGTAGAACTGAGAAGAATTGCGGATGGCTGGCTATAGAGCGCCCAAATTCCTGGGCGAGATTCTGGGCTCAACACGGTAGCCATACCATATGTGGCAGCTGTCTACACGGGCCATCCCGAGAGTGTGTATACTGATAAGACTCACATGCAGAAGCAGTCATCCGGCAACTCCTGATATAACACTTGTCACAACACGTGTCGTTCGGAAGCACAGCTAGCAGGAGTCTCCACACCAAAACTTCCTCATCTCGCCTAGCCGGATATACCCTTCTGCTCCGGCACCCCAGTCACCAGCCTGCCCTCCAGCACCGCACTCCTCAGATTCTCCAGCACAAGCACCTCCATATCCCGCTGCGTCTCCACCGTCGCTGTGCCAATATGTGGCAAACACATCACATTCCCCATCTCCAGCAACTCCCGCTCAATCGCCGGCTCCCGCTCAAACACATCCAGCCCCGCGCCCGCAAGCTTCCCACTCTGCAGCGCCCGCACCAGCGCCTTCTCATCCACCAACCCACCCCGCGCCGTATTCACCAGCACCGCCCCATCCTTCATCTGCGCAAACTCCCCTTGCCCGATAATCCCCCGTGTTTCCGCCGTGAGACTCAGGTTCAGGCTCAGCACGTCGCTGGTGCGAAGTAGCTCCTCGAAGCTGACGTATGTGTACGGACTGTCCTTAAGAGGTGTACGCTTGTGGTATTGCACCGTCATGCCGAACGCGACGGCACGCTGTGCGAGCGCTGTGCCGATGCCGCCCAGGCCGAGGATTCCGAGGGTTTTCCCGCGTGGGTCACGGCCGAGGGCGTTGGGTGTTGGGCGCCAGTTGCCGGCGCGGACGCTGGCGAGTGCGGGCGTGAGGCCGCGGAGGGCGCCGAGGGTGAGGAACATGGCGATGTCGGCGGTGGCGTTGGATACGGCGCCGGGAGTGGAGGATACGAGGATGTCTTTTCGAAAGTTGTCAGTAGTGTGTTTAACAGTCAGGGGAAAGTAGACTGGGTAGGGGCGTTCAGGAGATAGGGATATGGAGGAAGAGACGGACTTTTGCTTGTGCAGCTGGGGATGTCGATGTTGTCGTAGCCAGCGCCATTGTGGCAGATGTACTTCAGTGATTTCGGGAGGGCGTCGAGAAGTTCTTGGTCAAAGGGACCGGTGACGGCGGTGGACTCGTTCGAGCGGTAGATGGCGACGACATCATCGTATGTTCCGGATTTCAATGCCGAGAGGAACTCAGCGCGGTTGCCAGTGCGGTACTCCTAGGCTCATATCAGTACACAGCTTCTTAGTCGTCGTCGTCGTCGTCGTCGTCGTCGCAGATCCAGTCAAGGGCTTCGCTCACTCACCTTAAGACTCGCAAACTTCGCGCACTCCTTCCATTCTCCCTCTGCATGTACAATATCGCCAATGAGCAGCGCCCCAGGCAGTTCCAACGAGCCCATTCTGCGTGCCGGTAGCTAGAATTTAAGGTGCGGTGTATATAGCGTCGGTGGGTTGGCCTCTCCTGGCAACAAGACACAGCTCAGAGCAAGTAGATGAATCTGAGTGGAAGATGTCAAGTCCCGGGCAGAGCTTCCTGAGCTCTTTTGTTCCCACAAAGTACCATGATGATGTGCCATGCCGACGACCGTGATTTGCGTGGAGACTGGGAATGTCGGCCGGTTGATCCACTTGTCGGCTCGGCGTTTGAGGTGGGGCTAGGCTCGGCTGAGCGGTACGAATAACCATTTTGGGGTCTTGGGTTTAGGCGTTGGACCGCGGCAAAAGAGCTTTAGGACATTTGGATGGCTGGACGCAGAGGGATATTAAGAACTGGGAGAGCAAGCGGGTGGAAGAATGGCCGGGCAGTGCATCGGGAATGATGTTCGGTACTGGGTTGTGTCTACAATGAATGCAAGTGAGACGAATTGTATCACGCTGTACGCTGTCGCTTGATCCAAATCCGTCAATCATTTGTGGTCCATGCCTCCTGTCAAGAGTATGCTCTGCCCCGTCATATATCCGGTCTGAAAATCTGAGTACGGCCGGCACAAGTCCAAAGGGAGAACGTACCTTCACAATGGTATCTACCATGTTCGCACATTCGTCAGGGTAACCCAATCTACCGACTGGGATCTTCTCGAGAAGCCAGTCTGGAATATTTTCAGCATTGACCATGCCAGTATTGCCAATCATAGCCGGTGCTATGTCATTGACGGTGATGCCGAAGGGTGCAAGCTTGCTGGATAGATTCTTCATCATGGCAGTCAAGGCACCTTTGGAAGCAGCGTAGTCTGCACTGAGTTAGAGGGATGATGGTGCTTGTGACGAATAGACGTACGACATCCGTTTATACCACCGCCGTAGGCTGCGATCGATGAGCTCAAGACGATGCGTCCCCATTTCTGCGCTTTCATGTCATCGACAACAGCCTTAATGAGGATGAAGGATGCTCGTGAATTGATGTTCTGCATCTTGTCGTACTCTTCAATTGGAATATCCCTAGTGCCGATGTTAGCCATAAGCAAGTATACATATGGCATCTCTCGCTCTTACCAAATGTCGACTATCCTCTTTCCATAGCCAGCATTGCTGAACAAGATATCAATCGGTTTTCCATGCTCTTTTCGCACATCCGCGACCATAGAGAGAATATCATCTGCAGAAGATACGTCGACTTTGTGCACTGATATCCGGCGGAAGTCTCCACCGGGTCTTTCAGCTTCACATTCCTTGCGCAGCTGTGCTACCAGTTCTTCTACAGCAAGTTGATTGGACGAGTATGTCAGAGCCAGATCACATTCACTCATGAGTAGCTTGCGTGCACAAGCGGCACCAATACTGCGCATGAGTTAGTTGATGCTGTTGTATATGTTGTTTTGATCATACCCCCCTGAGGCACCGGTGATCAGGGCCAGTTTGCCTTTGATATCGTTCTGCTTGGCTGCCATGGTTGCCATATTGTTAGCAGTTGTTCTCTCCGACAAATGTATATATACAAAATTTATTCCACCTCGAAAGAAACATGCTAGTGGGCATCCCCGTGTTCGGCTTAGGGGCTCCCAGTTAGCCCTCGAGCCCGACCGGCAAGGATCCGGGGCTAGAGGGGGCGTAGCGAGGTCAACTTTGAGGCTCCGAAAACAGCTAATTCGCGCGCGCCCACTCTCGGCAATTGCTTGTACGGCGACCGAATCCATGCGGGGGGAGGGCGCGGCGGCTCCAGCCGGTGAGCTGTCAGACCAGACACCGTCCGCATCTTCTGCCTGCTTGCACAAAACAACTCCGCTCTCATTTCAATTGCCTACGGCTTCACTATCCCGGACAACATGATCTTATGGATGCTGCCACTCCCGATCAGCAGCCCCTGTCGGCCGAACAGCCAGAGACGCCTGCGCCCGAAGGAGACAACAAGGTAAAACGGGTTAATAAAGCTTGTCTCAACTGCAGGAAGAGAAAGTCGCGATGCCATCTGTAAGTCATTTTTTCTATCCAGAATTGCGCATACACATCTTGAGCCCATGCTCCAGTAGGAGACTTATGGAACTGTGATCACATCACGATCGCGATTAATTACTTGCTCATTCGTTGGAGGCTTCAACCCAGCTTCCGCACAACACGGACATCCCTTCCATCTGTCGTGAGCGCGCGCAAAATGCAGACGACGTGCGCAAATCATTAATATCACACTGGACGTTTCCTGCATCTTATCATACGATACCTATGTTCAAGTGCCGAGGCACAAATCTCGAGCGCATGGCTGACTACTGATTCGATAGTGACGAAGGCGGACAGGTGCCATGCCTACGGTGCAAGCGCGAGGACCTCGAGTGTATACTGGGAGGCTCCAATCGTGGTGGGCGACGAATACGAAGGAAAACCATCGATCCACAGGTTGGACCTTCCAGCTATCCGACCATTTATACACATACCCAAGAGGAGGTAGAGGAGTCAGCATATGGGCAACTGAGCGCGGCCACTGCATGGGCTACCCATCCATTACCGACCCAGAGTCCTACGCAGCTACGCCCGCAGCTCCCAGATCTGAATAGCGAATCGCGATACCGAGAACTTCAGCCGCCGGAGATTGATCGGTCTCGCTCTCTGTCTTCTGAACAACTCTCCTTTCCGAAGCTACAAAACCCCTCCGATGCTCTTGGCATACTGGCCCAGGTCGCGGAAACAAGCACGAACAATGATGAACGGCGCATGCAGCTATCAAACGGCCGACACGCACCGTCCGTACTGAATGATAGTCGTCAGAATAGTGGGATGAGATACCCTCCCATTGACGAAGGACATATATCACTCCACCAAGTCGAATGGCTTGTACGCAGATACTATGAGAACTACCATCCATATTACCCACTCGCACCCATAGACAGCCTCAATGTCTCTCGGTTAGTTGAAGTTGCGGCAAACGAGCCGCACCTTCTCACAGCGGTCCTTGTCATAGCGTCAAAAGATCTGGTAGATCAGCCGAATATTTATGAAGCCTGTGCAAGATATATGAAGAGTCTAGTTTCTGATCTGGCAGCAGGTGGTGACGGGGGTCTTGAAGCCGTCGAAGCCCTGTTAATACTTGCAGAGTGGGCTCCGTATACACAACGCTCCGACAGTGAACGGGTCGGGCGGGGCGAAGAGGATAAAGAAGCTTGGATGCATATCGGTGTCGCCCTCAGAATCAGCTATTTCCTAGGACTCGATCGATTTTCGTTCCGAATTCCAGATGAGGGGAAGGATCCGCAATTTAACAGGAAGAGGTTGATATGGACAGCCTGCTATATGTCGGACAGACAAATTTCTATACGAATCGGAAAAGGATTTTGGTCAAGAGGACCAGGTCCTTTGACATCACTTCGTCGGGAGGATCATGTTCCACTGCTGCCAAGAACAACAAATGAAGAGGACTATGCAAGCATATTTCAGGCCACTCTTGAATTGACGACATTGTCAAGCAACGTTCACGATGTGCTCTACGCCAATCCGGGGTCGAGTCTACGCAGTCATTTGAGTGGGGGCTACATCAAGTTCATCGATGACTTCAGAAATGCGATATATACCTGGAAAAGCGTTTGGGGCACCCTAACATGTAAGGATCCATATTCATTCGAAGACACTTCTGCGTCTGTGTTGGGAGGCTACAATTCCTGGAGATCTACAGAACTGTGTTACAGCCTTTTTGACGGGACAAATCGCTAACAATAGATAGGCTCATCACATTTGAAAGCTACACTGACTATGTCATACCATTACCTCCGGCTCTACACCGTGGCTTTTGCCTTTCACGCGACAGTCAGGAGGGAACAGGAACTTAGAAAGAAAAACACCCCACAGTACTCGACACAATACCAGGCCCCTTCCCGACTCTTCTACAAAAATGTTGCCAAGGTTACGGATGTGCGTTTCATCTACGAAGGTCTCGAGGCCGCGAAAGAAATCATTTCCACGCTAAATAGTTATGTGGATGCTCAAAGGTCACTTCGATTTATGCCACTGCGGATCTACCTCTATCTGGTCTATGCAGGCGTTTTCCTATACCGCGCTCGATGCGTGGGTGTCATGGAGGATGAAGAGGACAAGGCTGTCCGGCACATGGTTCAGGAAACCATTTCGAAGCTCGAAAAGGCCGGTATGGGCCCCTTACATCCAGGATCCCGCTACTCGCAGCTTTTGAAGCTGTTGTGGCAAAAGGTTGGCACAAAGGAGAGGATCAGACATCCGAACGTGCCAAACCCGAGCTCTTTTCGGCCTGGTGATACCCCTGCTTCGGTGCTATCTCAAGATAACCACAGCATGGTTGGCTCCAGTCCTGCAGTCACGGAGCAGATGGGTGACTTTGCCTGGACTGACCTGATGGCTGTTGGGGATTTTGCCGTCAATGGATATAACGCAGCTGGTACTCAGGCCGGCGACGACAATCTACTAGGGTTTCTTCCTATGGATATGGGCAATGCCTGGGATATTGGTCACTTCGACTTCGATAGTAGTACTGGTCTTGCCTTCTGAAGTGCCGGGTTGCGGGAATACCTGTAGTTTCATATGCGTTCTAGCGTCTGTTTTTGGGCGCATATACTTGGTCTGGGAGGTCTGATACTGTATTATAATTAGCGCAAAATGCTCTATTCACAATTATTCTTCTCAATATATAGATTTTGGTGTGCACCTCCCTGCTAGTTACGCAAGGTACCTAGTACCTGGCCCCTCCGCATTCCAAATAGTCCTCGCAAGATCCAATCTACCCAATGAGTTGAGCTCGAAGCATCTAAGGCGATTGTTTGATTGAATGCTCACATTCCAATACCATCAAAATTGCGTTCGCTGAACGGCATATGACTCCACAATATTCATACACCGACGGACGATGCCGACGCCACCATCCATGTTCCCGCAGCGCCCGTGCCGGAGAAGAGTCCGCGCACCCGCACCAACCCCCCCTTAGTCCCAACGCACCATAATATCCCAGCGCCGGGGAGATGCTTGATTGCTATGATTGCTCTCTGCAGCGGATTGGCAAGAAACCTGCGTGATTTTTTTCTCGTCTTTCTTCTTCTTCTACTGCTGTACAGTTTCAAATGTCCCAGTGTCCACACCACAACCCTACTTGAGGCTCGGGCGTATCAAAGCATAGATGATCTAGCCGAGGTGGCCTGTCGGGGGGGTGGGAACTCTCGTGCCATCTCATTCGACGTTGACCAGATATCCGCTGCCGAAACACCCCCCGGGCATGTGTGGGTGTGAGTATATTAAGCTACGTATCGGGTGTTGAGAGCTTGCATGACGGTGGTTTTGATTGTGATTGTGATTATGATTGATTGTGAGTGGTGATATAGACCGCGTCGTGGAGGCTGCATATTTACACTTACTTACTCTTGTCCTTCGCCGTTGAACCTCGACTCCTCAATCCCTCAATCCTTCAATCCCTCATACCTCAATCCCTCAATTCCCCTCCAGCCTACTCCTCCACCTCCACCTCCTCTTCTACCTCCCACTTGCGCCCATTCCACATCACCAGCCATGATGGATACTCCTTCCCTCTCCACGTCCTCCCCTCCCGCGCGCTCCTTCACCCAAAGCATCCACGCAACATGGGCGGACATAAAGACATACCGCCGCGCATACATCCTCACGATAGTCGCCTCGTTTGGCGGGTTGCTGTTCGGCTGGGACACGGGCCTGATCGGAGGAGTGCTGACCATGGACGCCTTCAAGCACAGCTTCGGCCTGGACACGAAACACGAGAACTATGCGAATGTGCAGGGGAATATTGTCAGCGTGTTGCAAGGTGGGTGTTTCTTTGGGGCGGCAAGCAGCTTTTGGCTCGGGGACAAATTGTGAGTGGTTCTTTTGGTGTGTTCTTTTGGTGTGTTCTTTTGGTGTGTTCTTTTGGTGTGTTCTTTTGGTGTGTTCTTTTTGTTCGTTTTTGGTAAGGAAACGGGGGACTTGTTGGGGGGCAGATGAGAGATGTGTGGATGGGGCTCGATTTGGTGGTGCGTTGTATATAGATGTATGTATGTATGGGCTAACAGGCAGTGAAAGGGGCCGGAAATGGTCTTTGATCCTTGCTGATACGGTCTTCATCATCGGATCTCTCGTACAAACGCTCTGTGCGATCAAGACTACCAGCCTGACGCAGCTGTACATCGGCCGCTTCATAGGCGGCTGGGGCGTGGGGTGTATCAGTGCTATCGTGCCAATCTACATTGGGGAGAATGTAAACAAGGAGATTCGAGGGCGATGTATTGGCTGGTAAGGTCTAGCTTTCGTTCACTTCCTGCTATTTTGGTGTTTCAACAACCGCTAATTGGGGTGGCCAGCATGCAACTCTTCAACGTCACCGGTATCATGACCTCCTACTTCGTCAACTACGGCATCAGCAAGCACATGTCAGGCCTCTCAGATCTAAAATGGCGTGTGCCGTTCGCACTCCAGATGGCCCCGGGCCTGCTACTGCTCCTACTCGTCTTCCAGAACGAATCTCCCCGCTGGCTCGTCGAGAAGAACCGGATCGAAGAAGCACAGCGCAGCCTGACAATAGTTCGCGGGAAGAGCAAAGGCGACGCCGCCGTGATGCAGGAGCTGCAGGAGATCATCGACGACTTCAACGGGCACGAGCGGCTGACCATCCTGCAGCAATTGAGGGCCGTGGTCGCGAATAAGAAGATATTCTATCGGGCCAGCTTTGCCGTCATCTTGATGTTCTGGCAGCAATCGACCGGGACTGTGAGTCTCATGCGTTGTTCTGGAATACGTGATTGAGACGCTAACCAATCCGCCGGACCAGAACTCGATAAACTACTACAGTCCTCAGATCTTCTCATCAATCGGCATCCAGGGCGCTTCAGCAGGGCTATTTGCAACGGGGATTTATGGGGTTGTGAAGGTTGTCTTCACGGGGTTGGGCATGATGCTTGCAACCGAGCAGCTGGGGCGAAAAGTACGTCTGTTGCTACTCTTCTTGTTGTCTCTGCCATATTACTACTCCCTCAAATCATCCCATCACTTACCCGTCGTTCCCACACTGATATATCGGCCCTTCAGTACTGCCTCATCTTAGGTGCCATGGGCCAAGCCTTCAGCATGTACTACATCGGTATCAACCAAGCCATCCATCCAACCGTTCCTGGTGCGCCCCTTACCGGCCATAATACCTTCGCCATCATATGCGTGTACCTTTTCGTCGTCTTCTACAGCTTCAGCTGGGGCCCAATCCCATACGTGCTCAGCAGCGAATGCGCCCCTAACCACGGTAAGTTACCCATCTCCCCCCCCCCCCGAAGCCATAACTACTTTTCCACTAACATAAGAAATCACAGTCCGCTCCCTAATCATGGCTCTCGCTCTAATGACGCAATGGCTCATAAATTTCATAATCGCCAAGATCACGCCCATCATGCTCGCCGACATCTCGTACGGCACCTTTCTGATCTTCGGCTCCTGCTGCCTACTCTCGCTCTTCTACTCTATCCTGTGCGTGCCTGAGACGAAAGGTGTGCCGCTCGAGAGTATACACGAGCTGTTCGAGGATGGCAGCATCGTGCGTGGTTGCTTGCGGGATATGGTGCCGAAACGGACTCGTGCCTTGGGGCTGCGGCAGAGGGCGGCGGCGCTACGCGAAGCACGTGAGGATGGTTGTGGTGAGGCTGGTAATGGGGTTGGTAATGGAGTTGGTAGTATCAATAAGTCTGGCCTTGTCACGGTTGAGCATGCGTGAAAGGCGGCCCTCTGGGAGATTGATGTTCGTGTCTAGTAGACCAGGGAAATTGTAGGAGAGAATAGAATAGAGTTTTCGCAATTTTCTTCATATCATAAACACTTCTCATAATCGAAATTACTGCCATTACGACACGAGGACGGCGAAAGTTAGGTAGGACTTGCTGCTTGTCATTGTTTTTTCACGCTGAGCAGGTAGAAGGGAGGGCTAAGCCGAGCTATAATCTTGATTTTCCTATTTATTTTTCCATTCTTTGTGAGAGGTGCCCCCTCCGCGCAGTGGTATGATCAAAGAAGGTGGGAAGTCAATGAGCTTGAGAGCTCTGCACCACATAACGTAAGAATATCTCATAATATCCAGTGGTTATCACCCAATATTCGACCCCGCCACCCTATTTCACAGTAGGAACCAACTCAAGTCGTCTATAGCGTGAAGGTATTTTGAAATGTCATCTCATACATCAAGTATATTTCGAGTGAATCGATGTTCCCCATGTTCCCCTCGTTTGACCACCTTTCGATTGTGTTTCCGAATGTTGTCTTCCTAGTGAGGGATTAGTGTTACTTAGCTGTAGGACAGCCCCAAGAATCGACTTCGGATAAATGATAGTGGCGATGAATGCGTGGACGAAGAATGATTGTGACTCGCCCAATCGCTTGCAGCAGCAGTGAACGACATAGTTTCAGTTTTGTCATTAACACAGGATATCTCCCCTCATTGCGCGCATCTTGTGCCGACGTTTATTCGCCAGTGAGGGATATCACAGAGGTCTGACGGCGTTTGACAGCTGAAGACCCTGAAGGAGATCTATGACGTTTATTCTGGCCACGAGGATGGTTCTTGTTGGAAAATTTGCTGTTCGTATCCATTGAGGTGTGATCGTCGACCTGGGAACATGCGATGGTGGGGTCCAAGTTCAGACCCCTGCTTGGTTGCTCGAGTAGATGTTTCATATCCTCACGCCGACGCTCGTGTGCATGATAGATGTTCGCGCACCGCTCATCCAGGTTCGTACGCTTTCCACGTAGATGTTTCTCCTGAGAGATCATGGCCTTCATCCTGGCTTGGGACATCGCAACCGACTGGCCGCCTCTCGGCGCTAGGGGGTCAACAAGTCTTGGGATCTGCTCGACGGCTGAGTCACCGTCTGCAGATTGATTATACGAAAGCTGCTGTTGTGTCCCAGATGTATCCATACTGTCCTGAGAAATGGGTTGCAATGCCTGATCACTGTTCGAAGGAATAGGACGTGCCGGGAGTGATTGGCCCTGAGCGCCTCGCAATGAAGCGGACGTGCCTTTCTGTACACGTATCTGGCGCTCCCGCTTTACCCATTTCAACAGGAGTCCCGCACATTTCCGATGCGTGACAGCTTTGTCAGCGTAACCCTCTAGGGTTCGTAGCGGCGGTATCTCCGCCCCAGGGGCCATCTCTTCTTGCTCCATATGGTAAGCTTTTAGGACAGTATCAAGCATCATGGCGATACTTCGAGTAGCACCGGGAGGCGGCTTGCACCGTGCCATGTTCAGATTCTCTATGCGGACAAGATTATCGGCAGCCGAATAACATGTGCGTTCATACTCTTCGACCGGGAGGTCACCATTCCCGTAAATTGCTTTCTGGTAGAAGGCTATAGTGGTGTCATGATAGAACTCGACGTGCTCATAGATAGTCTCAGGAGCTTTCGGGGGATCGCTTATCCGGGTCTGATGCTCGTCATTGATTGTGTTGGGACTAAGTGGCATAGACGTGGGTACTAGAGAGGTGGGAAGAGAAACAGCTGGCATTTGATAGTTCATGTTGTGGTTCATCTCCCAATGGTTGGATTCGTGGAACTGAGAATCAGGCTGATAGCTGCTCGCTTTATTCTGCATAGTGCTGGGCCATCCATACGGGTCCAGGATAAAACCTTGGGACTGAGACGTAGCCTGGCAGCCGCTCGATCCATCTTGCGCGAGGTCGGGCCAGCCATACGCGCCTGCATTTGAACCTTGGGACTGAGACGTAGCCTGGCAGCCGCTCGATCCATCTTGCGCGAGGTCGGGCCAGCCATAGGCGCCTGCATTTGAACCCTGGGACTGAGACGTAGCCTGGTAGCCGCTCGTTTCGTTCTGCATGGTGGTGGTCCAGCCATATTGATTAGTATCTAAAGGATTGAACCCTTGTATCTGAGAGGGAGCCTCGTAGCCGGTCAATTTAGGGTCGAGGGCAGTTGTGGGATACTGCCGATCTGGTTCCATGTACAGGATGGCGTCGCCTAATTGAGGTCCTATGAAGGATGTATTTTGGTTAGGAAGAGCTTGCATTTGCAGATCGCTGTCGAAATCGAAAGCATTGAACTGGTTCCCGGGGTATGAGTTGTAGCTGGAGGAGAAAGGACCGGGGAGACCGTAGCTGCTGCACAGTTCCTGGGACACCTAAGATGGCATCAATATGGCTCATATGCATATAGATGTTATGATGAAAAAAGAACAAGTCTTACCTGGTCCACGGAGCCCTCCAGTATGAACCTCTGTTCCGTGCTCTGTGCTGCCAGCACAAGCTCCTGGCCGCTTCCGAAGTCGCCTGGCTCGTTGAAGTCGTACATTGCGGAGTCAGCGCCGAGGTTGGCCATTCTGATAGACAAATCTCGGAAACGGAAGACTTCTGGAATTGGCATAAGAGAGGCCATAAACGAGGACAAAAATCTTAAGGAAGTAACTAAGGGGCGCACTCGTCCTGTAGTCTGTTATGGCAGCGCACGCCCATCGCGGGATGGCGCAAGTAGGGTAGAATTTCCTAATCGGCGATTCTAGTGAATATAGAGAAGCCTTCACCATCGCACAATCGCCGTCTGCGCTGAATAGCCCTTGTCACCCTATCAACCAGGGCTGCAACACGTGATTGGTTGCACATCAAGGCCCGTACTGAAACTGCAGCCCTATTCACCATGAGCTCCTTTGTTCATGTAGGTCCGGGCTAGTTTGTATGCTTTCTATTCCTCACCACCTACATCGCTCCTCAATCTCATCTCCGTAAGGTGCTTTGTGATGACGCCGAGAGGGATAGCAAAAGTAAGTGGCCTTGCGTTAGGGTTCTGACGGCTCGTGCCGCAGACAATTTCCAGCATCTGAAGCATAAACTCGAGACACAGACGCGTGCTTGTGGCCTTACACAATGTACCGATCGTGAACACGAGCATGTGTTCAATGGCTAGCGTGGACGAAAAGACGTCAGCCTACGCCGCCAGAGCTCTCGGTCTCCGTTTGCGGTGTTGCGCAGTTGACTATTGACATCCTGTTGCCAATCCACCTTTTCCAATGTCGCTTCCAAAGTGTCCAAATGCAGACACATGCCGTTCTCGGGCACACACTTCGCTTCTAAAATGATGCGTCCGTAAGACCAAAAAATAGCCTCATCCCTTACCAAAGGCTAATTTGAGCTGACCTTTAAGCCTTCCACTTTTTGTGCTGTTGGTTGGGCGTCCTCGAGTCTTGGTCTTGGCCAGACTGGATTTGCCGGGGTGACTCGAGCTCTTTTGCGTGACTCGGTCCTCCTGTCTTATCTGCTCAGAGAGATCTTTGGCCATGTGCCAGTCCTCATGCTCTGCTTGTCCGTCGGCAGGTAGGCGAACAGAACATCTAGTGCACAGAATAGTATTGGATGATTGCTGACGACATCTAGATTCATGTGTAGGCGAGCACTCCTGCTTCGATAAGGTAGGTAATGTAATAGCTGACGTCGGATGTGCTTCATCACCCTGGGTGATACCGCGAATATAGCCTTGATGGGCGGCTTCGCTTTCATACCCATCCAAATCACTGTCACCAAGCTCATGACGGTCCTCATCACCAGAAGAATGTGCAATTTCAGGATGAGCATCGTGTCTACCATGGCCATGGAAGAAATCCTGGATTTTTCCAGAAACGTCCTCAGTCTTCCTCCTTTTTGACGGGGCGACAAGATGACGACCGCGTAAATTCTGTCGTTCGCTATCATTCATGGCCTTAGCTTCCTCTCCTCGCACGAGGAAGTTGCCGATGCCATGATTGTTCGTAACACCATCCTCGAATCCAGCTACGCTCAACGAGAGGTTTGCGCACGGCCAGGCGCGACCATCGGCAACAATTTGGGCGAAAAGGTGCTTCCCAAGGTTGAACAGAACCTCCTCACTGATTGGCTTACCCAGTGGTATGGGCGCCTGCTTCGACCGAGTTTGCGCACCGGTACGGTGGTGTAAGTTGATGGTTTTGGGTCGCCTTTTGTTTTCGAGTACGCCTTCTTCGACGCAACGAGAGAAAATATCAGCGACAAAGATCCGCAGCCAGCGCACACCTTGCTCGAAATTGTTGATGGACGGTCGGAAAGACTTTGCAGATAACATGCTCTTGATCTGTGTGCGCGGATTGACTTCACTGTAATCCTCGCCCCTGATGACGCTGTATAGCCATGTTCCAGTGTCATCTCCAAGCCGTTTGAGCTGCTCTAGAGAGACGTCGAGCAAGTCCTTCACCATATCGGTCTGGAACATGGCGACTGTCTCGTCGCCTAGCTTGCCGCCCAGGTTGCGGATCTTTGTAAACTTGAAGCCGCTAAGAAACTGCTGCACTGCCCGGTTTCGAATAATTGTCTGCTGGTTTGGTTTCTTGTGAGCAGAACCAAGTTTCGCCAACATTTTGTTTCTCGAAAGGCCTGCGGAACAGGTGTAATGAAGTTTCTGTCGAATTGCTGCTCTGACTGACCTGACAATCTCAGAGCCAATCAGCAAGCAGATGTCGTCCCAATCTGGATCCTCCTCTTCTGTCTCGGCGTCATCTAGGTCCACTAAGGCATCTGTGTTCCAGTCAAGAGCAGTTGTTGGGGGTTGAGGGAGGTGTTCCGTTGGGTCGTCGTATGGTGGTGGGCCCTCTAGTTCGGGATACCTCTCAAGCAAGATGCCATGTATCTGCGCTGAAAGATCCAAGAAGACCTCATCGACACTGGCTTTCTCCACCCTTTGCACTGGAGATCCAGGAAGAGCATCTTTGATCGTCTGTAGAATCCTTCTGGATTCCATTCTGTATGGATCCAAGGAGACCTTATGAGTGGCGATGTGCTTGAAGGCTTCTTCATGATACGCCCATTTCTCGTCTCCTTCTTTCCATGTAGCTACATGCTGCATTATAAGGTCTGGACATAGCTTTTTTGCTTCTGTCATGGTTATATGCCTATTCAGACCATATTCACGAGCCGGATAGTTGATGGCTATCAGGCCTTGCCATTGCTGAACAGCTAAGGGCTGATCCTCTGGTATGCCCAGACGGACCATCTCACACTGTGCATAGAAGGCATCAAGATCTATGTGTGCTATGACGCGTAAAGGACAGGCTGTTGATGAGAGGGCGAGTTGATTAAGGTGACGGAAGGTGAAGACAGACTTGCGGGTGCGACCAGTGCTTGTCAACGGGGAGGATTGGTACGGTTGCGAGGACGACATCTCGTCAAATGTCCAGGATAGACAGGACACTTCATGGCTTGCTGGGGTTATTAGTGAGGCCACCGAGTCTGGTGAAATAATTGAATGGTTCGATCGAGGAACGCGAGCGAATCAGTGGTTGAAGCGCACGGTCCCACCTTCTTGAGGAAGTAACCGATATTAGCAGACACGGTGGAAGAAGCCTTCTCTCCTACTAACCCCACTTTATGCCGTGAACACAGGAGCCATTATGCCATACACATCACTAAAAGCCCCTAAGTTTACTGTAAGGGGGAAAAGTGCCATCATCACTGGGGCTGGATCAGGTAATGTGGAAGTCATCAAGCCACTGAAAGCGTTGAAGCTAATGCGCGAGCATCATGCAGGAATAAACTTAGCATTCGCAAAATTACTGTTGTCCAAAGGCTGTAATGTCCTCTTCGCAGACATTGCACTGCGGCCCGAGGCACAGAATGTCGTAGACGAATATACGCCAACAGGAGAGGCTGGCAAGCCATCTGCTATATTCCTTCCCACCGACGTCACACATTGGGACCAATTGAGCAAGATGTTTGAAGTGGCCGAGAAAGAATTCGGACAAATAGACTTGGTCTGCCCTGGTGCTGGCATCTACGAGCCACACAATTCAAACTTCTGGCATCCCCCCGGTACTCCATTATCAAGAGACCTACCAGATGCTGGCAGATACCTGACGTTAGACATTAACCTCACACACCCGATACGAACGACCCAACTGGCAATCTCTTCCTTCCTAAACCCCAAGACAGGTGACAAAGCCAGTATAGCTAATCCAAAACGAATTATCCATATATCTAGTATAGCTGCGCAAGGAGCGCCCGTGTTCGTGCCGATCTACTCAGCCACGAAGGCAGGGCTAAGCTCCTTCGTCCGTTCCCTGGGTTCTCTGGAACATACGAACGGCATCAGGGTCAATGCTGTAGCACCAGGCGTCATCGAGACACCATTATGGAGAGAGCATCCCGAGAAGATGCACATGATAGATGAAAGTGTAAGACACCATCAACTCCTGTTTGGCATGACTCTCACTACGCGCAGGTGGACGTCTGGGCAACCCCTGAGGAAGTTGCAGAAGCTATGCTGTCATGTGTCGAAAGTGATAATATGGTAGGAGGTACAATCCTAGAGGTCGGACACAAGCACACAAGGAGGATACGGCAATACAATGATCCAGGACCAAGTGGAAAGGGCCATACAGCCACCAAGGCACACGTAGCACAGCAAGAAGTGTACGACTGGCTGAGTCAAGATGGATGGGGCAAGCCCGCGGTCTGATTGCCTGGTGCCATATTAGGGTTGTTGCTTTCTTGAGGCCGTGTCTTTATATATATCGTCAACGGAGAACAATAGAATGGCTCGCTTTGCAAGGTTGAACAGAGCCATTGTATCCCAACGACTTAGTCAAAAGTAGGCTGCTGGATTGTGTTTCACGTAATGCGTGAAGTTCTGTTAGGAAATGTAAGGGAGGGCCGGCCAGACTTTGTGCTGACCGCGATGATAACCTTTGCCATATCATATGCTGACTTTTGGCTTCCGGACGATTCCAACTGATTGGATTAGTTAGCCATGCCGATCGGGTGGTGGCCAGGTGGCGGGGCCGACATTTTGACCACCCCTGACGTCGCGCTATGCTGTTTCTCATCTTTATATGTCTCTGGCTGTCATTCCCAACAAACTCTTACAATCATTTCCCATCATCGCCATTTCCGCACCCACACTTCTACTTCACTACACCACCGATAGAGATATCAACTCGCACAAGATGACTTCTTCTCTTGATCAGCTCAAGTCTGCCGGCACCGTATGTCACTTTGTCTCACCCTTGCCCCGCCTACCCCGCCACGAAACATTATTCTGGAAGATTTTAGCTTCAGCCGTTACTATTGTTCCAGTAGATCTCGGAGGCTAACACAAATCCTGGTTCCATAGACCGTAGTCTGCGATTCGGGAGACTTTGCTACCATTGGCAAATACAAGCCTCAAGATGCTACGACCAACCCGTCCTTGATCCTCGCAGCTTCGAAGAAACCCGAGTACGCCAAGCTCATCGACGAGGCTGTTGCCTACGGTAAGAGCCATGGGAAGACTCTAGAGGAGCAGGTTGAGTCTACGCTCGACAATCTCTTGGTACAATTCGGCAGCGAAATCTTAAAGATTGTCCCCGGCAAGGTGTCGACGGAGGTCGACGCGGCATACTCCTTCTCCGTCGAGGAATCGGTCAACAAAGCATTGCACATCATCGACGTCAGTAATTGCTTGCCCAATCAATTGTATACGAAATGTTAATATGCTGACTCTGCCATAGCTGTACAAGGAGAAGGGCGTCTCAAAAGACCGGGTCCTCATCAAGCTTGCGTCGACATGGGAAGGCATCAAGGCCGCGGAAATCCTTCAATCTAAGCATGGAATCAACTGCAACCTGACTCTCATGTTCTCACTTCCTCAAGCAATTGCTGCTGCGGAAGCCGGTGCTTTCCTCATTTCACCCTTCGTGGGTCGTATTCTCGACTGGTACAAGGCTACCCACAAGAAGGAATACTCGGCCTCTGAAGACCCCGGTGTCAAGTCAGTCCAGCACATCTTCAACTATTACAAGAAGCACGGCTACAAGACTATTGTTATGGGTGCCTCTTTTCGTAGCGTCGGAGAAGTCACAGAACTTGCCGGTTGCGATTACTTGACTATTGCAGTAGGTTGACTGCTTCAGTTTGTACACGCGGATACTGACTACATCACAGCCGAACTTGTTGGAGTCTCTATACAACTCCACCGACGCAGTGCCAAAGAAGCTTGATGCCTCAGATGCAACTAATCTTGACATTCCCAAGAAGAGCTACATCAACAATGAGTCTGCGTTCCGTTTTGCATTCAATGAAGAGCAGATGGCTGTCGAGAAGCTCCGTGAGGGAATTTCCAAGTTCGCTGCTGACGCGGTCACGCTCAAGGATATTCTGGCGGAAAAAATCAAGGCTTAGACGACTGACGCGTTGAGCACGAAGTACGACGAACTTGAATCAAATTAGGTCACATATCGTACGGGTATGGCTACCCAAACAGATTGTAGCTCATAGCTCCAAAAACAATTATTTGTATTACAGAGCATTTTTGCAATAGATGAGGAGCGAAATACACCATTTGATTTGAAGTAACGAATATAGCCCCCGGCCTTTGTCTGAAGGCGAAATCGAAACGGCGGCTTTTAACATGCTGCTTCCTCAGCTGTGGCCCACGTGTGATTGGCGGCTTCGGAAGCAGAATGATGCAACCCTCTCATGTCATTCTGTCCCTCATAAAGTGGGGTCGTGCCGGGTGTTGCCATCTACCAGCTACAAATCTTCCCGGGTTCTTCTTCATTGCAACGATATCAGCTCCTCAAATCAATTGATCTGTCTTGAAATAACAAGAAAGTTCTACAAACTCCCTAAGTACATTTCCAGTCCGAAACACCGCCAAAATGGTTAAGGCTGGTAAGTGCACCACTCAGGCCGCGTTCAGGCGAGAGCGGGGCAGCCGTCGTGAGCTGGATTGAGCACATTCGTGCCCTCAGACTCTCGACAGCAGGCTTATTGGCTCACCATACAATTCTGAGAACAATGTTGGACAGCATCATGTTGCTATCCATCATAGGGCTATCCAATGGCAAAGGCCTGTTCATCATGCCCGACTTGGTGCCTGTTTGAATCGTGTGCGGCTGGCTAATCACTTTGTCATAGTCGCTGTCCTCCGTGGTGACTCTAACGTCAAAGGCACCGTTACTTTCGAGCAAGAGTCCGAGTCTTCGCCCACCACCATCACCTACGACATTTCAGGCAATGATGCAAACGCCGAACGAGGAATGCACGTTCACGCTTTTGGTGACAACACCAATGGCTGCACGTCCGCTGGACCTCATTGTAGGTACAGCGAATTTGAAGCTCATGACCTCGATTGACCGTGGACTTCAGTCAACCCGCACGGCAAAACCCATGGAGCTCCCACTGATTCCGAGCGCCATGTCGGTGACCTAGGCAACTTCAAGACTGACGGTCAAGGTAACGGCAAGGGAACCATCACTGATCAATTGGTCAAGCTCATCGGCGCTGAAAGCGTCATCGGGGTATGAGCCACGATTAGCCATATATTAAAAGCGTCTCTGACCAAGCTAATAGCGGACTGTTGTCGTACATTCCGGCACTGACGATCTCGGCAAGGGTGCAAACGAGGAATCCAAGAAGACCGGAAATGCTGGTACTCGCCCAGCTTGTGGTGAGTCGCACAACTATAGGCATCATCCGCCCGGCTAACATCATGTAGGTGTCATCGGAATCTCTTCCTAGAAAGCTCAAGAGTAGTATTTATGTCATGAGCCACCCACGTGATATGCTTTACAGATGAGTAGAACGGGTTGATTAGTATATGAGACAATAGTAGTTATCACACAGTTCTCTCTGGGTCCGTGACACGAGCGCTCTTTTCTATAATCGCTCAGTGAAGTTGTCGAGACTCGACTTTGATCAACGTAGCACTTAGTTGGAATATTTGGCTGCAAGGATGGAGACTGCGATGCGCAGTGAGTGAATGTAATCTGCGAAAAGGATGGATGCGATCTGACTTCCGATGAGGGGTAGCTTTGGCTTTGGCGAAGAGGCCACATTTAATTGATGGATCTAGGATCCGCATAATGGCCGAAGCTATACTCGTCTACATCCGCAGAACCACTACAAACACTCCCTACGGAAAGCCTACCTGCTCATATCGTTCAATTGAACCCTCGACGGCCTCTATTTTGTGTTCATAAGGAAATCCAGTTTTTTTCTTAAAGCCTCGATTGACAATCAAGGGCCTTCTGGTGCGCCCTCTCTTCTTCGTACCTAGTATGTCGTGTGCTTCTTCTCTACTTGGATGCCAGTTGAGCTCCGCTACCACTTTTACGTACTAATGTACCACAATCAAGACACTTCTATCCGATATCGCTACCATGGACGCCGGATTCCAAGCGAAAGTTAAAAGCATTCTCTCCGGAGACACTTTGGTGTTACATGCTCTACAGAACTTCAAGCAAGAGCGCATCTTGAGCTTAGCCTACGTTACCGCGCCGCGTCTGAAGAGAGATGGAGATGAGGTTAGTGATCGCGCGCTACTAGACGATGGCTCGTGACAGTAGATGTGGGAATATACGAGACTGACCGAAGCATACTTAGCCTTTTGCGTTCGAATCTCGAGACTACCTCCGAAAGGCGCTCGTCGATAAAGTTGTAACTTGTCGCGTCCTCTACACTATTCCTACGTCGAACCGTCAATATGGAGTTGTCGAGCTTGCAAATGGAGCTCGTCTGCCCGACGATGCTGTTCACGCTGGATGGCTAAAACTTCGCGACGACGCTGGCAGAAAAGACAACGCTGAGGAAACCTCTGCTATGCTCGAGAAGCTCAAGGTTCTAGAGGCTAGGGCAAAAGCCGAGTCAAGAGGGTTGTGGGCAGAGAATCCGGAAGCTGGCCGAATTGACACAGACTATGAGCTCCCGGATACCAAAGCATTTGTCGAGGAATACAAAGGGAAGCCCCTTGACAGTAAGAATATCCTAGGTACTCTCAGCAGGCTATATGATGCTAATTACAAGCAGCGATTGTCGAGAAAGTCCTTGCTGGCGACCGGCTGATTGCTAGGTTCATGCTTTCGCCTACAAAGCATGTACAAACCATGCTACTCATCGCTGGGATTCGAGCGCCATCAACAAAGCGTGTAAATCCTTCCGATGGCAAAGAACAGCCAGCAGAGCCTTTTGGAGATGCAGCGCAAGAATGGGTAGACCAGCGGCTAATACAAAGAAGTGTCACTGTTGACGTGCTTGGCGTAAGCCCTGCTGGCCAGCTCATTGGTACGGTCAAGCATCGTCAAAGAGGCAGTGTCGCACCGCACATCCTGAGCAGTGGACTTGCGAGATGCGCCGACCACCATTCTACATTATTGGGAGCTGAGATGGGAGAATTGCGAAAGGCAGAAAAGGCTGCAAAGGACGGCCGTATAGGTGTGTTCCATGGCCATGTTGCTCCGAAGACAGGTGGCAAGGGGGAGCTTGAAGGCGTGGTGAGCCGAATCTTCAGCGCCGACACTATCTTTTTGCGGACCAAGGAGTCTGCCGAGGACCGCAGGATCAACATAAGTAGTATCAGGCAGCCTAAGCCTTCGGACCCGAAGCAGGCTCCCTGGGGAGCAGAAGCTAAAGAGTTCCTACGCAAGCGTCTCGTTGGCAAACACGTTCGGTACACAATTGACGGGAAGCGAGCTGCCACCGATGGGTATGAGGAGCGAGAAGTTGCCACGGTCATATTCAACAAGGAGAATGTCGGCAAGATGATGGTCAAGAGCGGCTTTGCCTCTGTGATCAGGCATAGACAAGACGACCCTGACCGGAGCCCTATTTATGATGAACTTTTGGTTGCCGAAGCGGAGGCGCAGGCCGAAGGAAAGGGCATGTGGAACGCAAAATCACCTGCGGCGAAGCAATACGTTGACTATTCGGAAAGTCTGGAGAAAGCCAAGCGACAACTCGCGCTGCTATCGCGTCGCAAGAAAGTTGCAGCCGTCGTTGACTTTGTCAAATCGGGCTCCCGCTTCACAGTTCTGATACCCAGTGAGAATGCCAAAATTACTCTTGTGCTATCCGGGATCAGAGCTCCGAAGTCGGCGAGGAACAAGGACGATAAGGCTGAGCCCTGGGGAAACGAAGCCCACGAGTTTGCCCACCGCAGGTGTCTCCAACGGGATGTCGAGATTGATGTCGAGGACTGCGACAAGGTTGGTGGGTTTATTGGGACCTTGTTTATCAACCGCGAAAACTTCACAAAGTTGCTGGTCGAAGAAGGATTGGCATCTGTTCATCAGTACTCCGCCGAGAAATCCGGAAATGCGACCGAGCTCAATGCCGCCGAATCGAAAGCTAAAGAGCAACGAAAAGGTCTATGGGAGAAATGGGACCCATCTCAAGACGCTGAACTGGAAGCTGTGCCAGAGGCGACGAACGGATCCAATGGTGACGCTGTATCGATTGAGCGACGTAAAGACTACCGGGATGTTGTAGTCACTGACATCGGACCTGATGGCAAGCTGAAACTACAACAGGTCGGCACGGGAACAGCTGCACTCACAGAACTCATGAACGCTTTCCGATCCTTTCATTTGAACCCTGCGAACAAGGCTCCATTGCCAAATCCCCCCAAAGCTGGAGATTTCGTCGCTTCTCAATTCTCAGAGGACAAAGAGTGGTACCGTGCCAAGATCCGGCGCAATGACAGGGAGAACAAGAAGGCGGAAGTCGTATACATTGACTACGGCAACAGTGAAGTCGTACCATGGTCAAACCTGCGACCCTTGTCCCAAGCCCAATTCTCAACTCAGAAACTGAAGCCTCAAGCCTCCGAAGCCGTGCTCGCTTTCGTTCAGTTTCCAACCTCGCCAGGGTATCTCAAGGATGCGATTGACTTCCTCTATGAAGTGACTGGGAACAAGCAGCTCGTTGCCAATGTTGACCACACTGCCGAAGGAACACTGCACGTCACATTGCTTGACCCAAAGCAAGGTACCGCATTCAAGGACAGCATCAATGTCCATGTAGTCGCCGAGGGATGTGCGATGGTCCCGAAGAAGCTGAAACCATGGGAGCGAGCCGCGACCGATGTGTGGACTGTCCTAAAGCAGGCACAAGACACCGCAAAGGAAGAACGTAAAGGCATGTGGGAGTATGGTGATATCACCCAGGATGATGACTAATTAGAGCATGCAAATGTTTGATGATGAGACGACAGGAATAGCCAGTGGTCACGGCCTACAAAAATTCGCATAACCAGGCATCAAGGCATTGCATAAAAGTTGTAAGCGCTAATTACATATGGTCCGTAGTTGATTAACCATTCAAGAACATTAAAGTCTTTCAGTGCGCTTCGTCAGTCGTATTTGTCCAGATGTAAGACGACTATAGTGAGCTGTACTCGCTGCGGGTTGATGAGGCATATATCGTGCGTGTGCGCGTGTTTCAAGCGTGGTTTATCTTCTGCCTGTCTTTGTGGGGATTGACAGACGGAGTTTAGAGCGAGGCGTGCACGTACCACATGATTGCGTATGCCGCCCAGCCCATTCATCTGTCCAGCCTGAGGTGGCTACTACTACCTCTCATGACCTCTTTCATTTCCTTGAAGCTTCATTTTATGTTCTACTGATTCAACCCTCCCTTTACAAATACTTCTCTATAGGACTTATACTTTTTCTTCTTCTGCGGCTACCTTCGACCATGTATTGTCGAACTTTGGGCCTCAGTGCCTCTTTGGCGCTGGTCGCTAACGCTCTGATCCTGCCACCAAGCGCCGCTTTCGAAGTTACTGATGCGGCAGAAGTCGCTAGTACCTTTCACATTGACCCCAATCACCAGTTCGCAAAGTTGGAATGCAGGCACTGTCCATATCCAGAGACACTGAACCGTGCAGATGGATCTGGGAGATGGACGTACAGCGTCGAGAATTCGCTGGTGAGCCCTGGACTCTGGATGGGGCATCTGCCGTGAGAGATCGCTGACAAAGGTCTAGATTTTCGAGTTCAGTACTGGAACAGAACGAGACTCACTATCTATCAACGGTGCCCGGCTATTTCCTCCTGTCTTTGGCACTGTACCTGAACCTATGTATGTTGATCAAATCCCGAACAACATCGAGGTGTCCACATTCATAAACGCCGAAAAACACGATGCTGGTATTAAGCTTCAGGTTACTGGGTACGAGTTTCGTTTCGATTCCGCCCAGACTATATCTGAGAACGGTAATGAGCTCCTCCCGATGACTCTCAGCATCCACTCGGTCGAGCATATTGCCATTCCTCCGCAGACTATACGAATATTCCTTATCAAGGATGTTGAAGGTCATCTGGCCATCGTGTCTGTTAATCGAGCAGATGAAACAGATCATCATGCTGAAGATCAAGGGTCTCATCCAGGGTTGGGGGAGTGTCATAACTGGTCAGTGGTGTGCCAAATCAAGGCACTGCTCAAATCTAAGAAACACGGATTTGCGGCATCACCTAACAGACCAGGCTGTCCTAAGATGATGGGACGTCCACACAACATCAATACCCATGAGACACGTCCACCATACATGCACGGAAAGCCCCATCATACTATGCAGCCAACCCATGAACACAGCGGGGATCACCGTCACCATCACCACCACCACCACCACCACCATCGCCACGGAAAGATGTCTCACTTTATGCACATGCTAGGTCGGACTTTGTTCAGAGTGCTTGTGCCAATCCTAGTGGGTATTGCTGCTGGCCTTGCTACCTACCTTGTCGGCATGGTCATCGGTATGAGTGTTGCCTTGATGTGGCTCAAGATACGAGGTCGAGGCTACCAACGAGTTCTTGCCGATGAGGAAGATGTTGCTGATAACATGATCAAGCAAGAGAAGTCTGCCTACATTGCCGAAGACATTGCTGAGGTTGAAGGCGAAGCTCCCCCAGCTTATCACGATGTTGAAGAGAAGGAAGTTGTTGAGGCAGACAATGGTGCGAAAACTTGTCGTATCTAGAACTGAGCTAGCCGCTGAGATGTTCAATTCTCGGGTAAGTGTTTCCAAACAAGCGACCACGGTCGACGTCCCTTGCAACGGTGCTTGAGATGCGTTGTACCAGAGAGGAGAGAAGCGTATTCACACAGTAGACTACATTAAGCAAGAATGAATCTGAATCGGGGTTTATCAATAGCGGTTCTTCCTTAGACAATTGAAAGCACGTTTCAAGTTTCAAAAAGTGATATTCAGATAGTGAACAAGGCAGTATGATTGGATGGGCAACAGTGATAATAGGGTGGTCCATTCATCAGGTGAATAGGTGATTTTCTCAATAGCCCAGGCCTCCGATGTCTGATCCTGCTCTTATATAACCTTACCCTTTGAATTCCCTGTGGATTTTTCTTTGGATCCCATCACCACTTCAATCGCCACACCCTGTGGCCAAAAAGCATATCGCCATGACAAGGCGATCCAAGCAAACAGACAGCAGACGCGCCGGGGGAGAGAACCCCAGCCCAGCTGGCTCTGGGCAAAGGGTTCTCTCCAGGAAGTTGAACGAGTTGCCGTCCACGGGGCGTGGAACGCTGCTCTTGTTCAACAAGGTCTCTGGTCGAATGGGACCAGGGCCTACGCAAGAGCAGTTGCAGCAATGGGCTGCAGTAAGGGCCGCAGATTTAGACGGCAAGTATCCCCGACCTCATTTCCAATATCACAGTATCTTCAGTTTCTAGTCGCCGAGACAGTCTGTTTCTTGTATAGCCAACAGAGGGTTTTGAAGCGATGGCAGTTCTTGAAGGTGGTCTGTCTTCATGCAGATGGCGCTAAATCGGACGCGTCTTGCGCTAGGCAGCTTAAGCTCCGCGAAGTGGCTGGAACCTTGAAAGACGTGGCTAACAGCTTATATTTGTAGGCTACGCATCATCTCTCCTCGCGCAACACAACGTTGTCGTGCCTTCACCCGAAGGCGAACTCTTGTACACCAAAGACGCCATAGCAGCGTTAGTTGAGGCGCACAACGCTTCGGAAACGAAGCCAGATCCACCCTCCCAGCCAGCCGGATCTCCAAGCTCGAGTTCGGGGAACAGCAAGGGGAAAGACCCTTGTTTCGACCAGCTCATCGAGTCTTCACGCCTTCCAAAAGGACGACAGGTGTCTCTCCTTTCCCCAGACCAGATCCTGAGTACCATCACTACCAGTATCCATCCACGTCGTGCGCCAATCATGGCAGACCTCGAAGAAGAACAGAAGAAGAAGGCTCGAGAGATCGAGGAGCTACAGGCCCAACTTACAACGGCGCGAGAACAACTGACGGTGCTTGAAGGCACCAATTCGCGACTTGAGGAGCGTCTCAGCGGCAACGACAGCACTGTTTCAGAGCTCCAAAGGATCATATCGAATCAGGAGGGCAAAATCCAGCAGCAAGAAAGCAATGCGCGGCAGCGAGAACAAGAGCTCAGTCATCGCGACGAGCAGATCCGACTGCAGGAGGCCACACTGGGGGAACTGAACGAAAAGATCGGTGAGCTTGAAGGTGATGTCAGCACTCTCAAGGACGATCTTCGGTCTGAACGAAAGAGCTTCGCATTGGAGAAAGATCACAACCAGAGAGAAGTCGGCAACTTGAAGGATGAGATTGCCAAGCGTGGAGAAGAGTTCGATAACCTTGCGCAGCGTCTAGAGAAAGAGCAGTACAATCTCTCCCAGGAGCGAACCGCACATCAAACCGCAAGGGAGTTTTTGGAAGAGGTGCGGCAAACAAATACGACGTACAAAGATCAGATCATTTTCCAGCAAGGGAAGATCAGTGAGCTTGAGGAAGCTGGGAACAGTAGCCGTAATATGAAGAAGCAGAACGACGCACTTCTCGACGAGCAAGAGAGTTTCAGTGTCAAGGTCAAGGCTTTGGAAGAAGAAGTGGAGAATCTACAAGAGCAATTGGAAGCCAGCCATGGGCAGCTAAAAGAGAAGAATGACGAATATGATAGCCTCCGCACCGAGTCCAGAGCTTTACGCTCACGTATCGACGAGATGGACATCGAAAAGTCACGCTTTGACCGCGATCGCTTGAACTTTCAGACTCAGGTCACCACTTTACAGGCGCAGCTCGCCGAGCGCTCCAAGGCCATCGACACTGAGGACACCGGCCTTTTCACACCGCCACCACCTACCCCACCTCCTTTGAACAGAATGAACAGCCTTGCAGACGAGCTCTCAGGACAAAGCGACGACGAAGAAGAGGACGAAGAGGACGGGAATTCGCTGGCCGAAACCGTGAACATCGATATGATTGAGCACGAGACGCAGACTGACCCTGAGCCAATCGTTGAGCCACCTAGCCTGAAGAGCAGTGTTCTCACTATTGTCTCCTCGGAGCCTCTCGACGCACCAGCACCCCCAGAGCCGATCATAGAGCGTCTGACTCCAAGTGGCGTTCGTGAAACAGTATCTTCTGTCCCTGTTGCAGTAACACCGCCCTCAGCACCGATCATACCCAAGCCCGTGGCGCTACCTGTCGCTCATACGAAGTCGAAGAGCTGGTCTCCTATCTCAAATCCCTACGATACCTTGTGGTATCTTGGCGCAACTCTCATCAGCTTGTTGTTGGTCCTCATGGCGTCCCAGACCATAGAATACCAAGCTTTCAACTCGCCATCACCCTCCACCCCGTTGCGAATTCTACACGCCACAGCTTCGCCGGTGATCTCTGTCTTTCACGCCTTCCCATCAGCACGCGTCTTACCGATTGGATTCAGCAACACGCCTCTTTCGCGGGCAGGAAGTCACGGAATGGGAAGTTGGGCCGGTGGACTTGTACCCGTTGGGTTTACTGAGAGTTACTTGGACCCGGGATATATGTTTGGCGAATGGATGATCTGGGCAGAAAGGGTGTTGGGTGTGGATCGTGGAGCTTTGACTTGAGCTCGAAGCAATGTGGTTGGGTTGGATGGACATGGACCGTCTTTTTTTCTCTGAAGTAAGCGAATGTTTTAGATACCCGGTCGTTGATTTACTCTTTCTCCGTCAGGAGTATTGTTGGAGCGGCGGAAGACTGCCGTTGCTGTATCGCTGTCGGCCCTTCTGGACGAGTTTATGCTTAGTTACGCGGAGATGGTCATGGACGGCGATCTTCGTTGAGAATGAGACTTTATTGCTTGCCTTCAACACAACTTTCTTTCGCTGACATATGGCACTATATTTACTCCAGATTTCCATTTCACCCGTCTGCATCGTCTATATTATACTAGAGATCCAAGACTTTAAGCTCCTGTTCGGGCACAACGTTTAGTCTACATTGAATGAGTTGATGCTGCTACATGGATGACTTTCGTTGAAACATATTCTGTTCGCGTCTTGAGTAATAACTGGGCAGCCGATATGATCAATGTCAGTTCCATTGTCGATAGAGAGAGTCTAGCTCAGTAGGGAGACGCGTCTAGTGAAGGCTTGACAGGTAGGCGACGCGAGTAGAAGTTGCGGAACGACTTCGGATCGTGGAAAAGGGCGCTAGCCAAGTGCAAGTGCTCGCAAAACGCACGGGCCAACTTTGCAGCCAACAAAGGTTGCAAAGAAGTGACGGAAAGCAGTCGCTCTTTCCAGCTTAATTGCACCACGCGCTTTTGCAGGCAGCCTCCGACGTTGTTGATGCTGGATTGATGTTCTTGCGCGCTTGCCCCGTTTAGTCACACGTGTCTTCGCTCGTCGCTCCTACCCTCCGTGCTCCCCATTATATAACCCTTTCCCCCCTCGTGCTTTCTGCCACTTGTTTTCTTCCCTTCTCCTCCTTCTTCCCATCCCCAAACTCAACTTCGCCATCAATATTCCATCCATATCTCGACCACCAACGCGTATTCCATCGACTTTTCCACTTCAAATAACTCATCTTACTAATTCAAGATGACTGGACGTAAGTATTATTCTCTTTGTTGTCATTCTTGACATTACTGTCGCGGTTTTTTTGGTGTTGCAGCCAACGCCACTTTGCTTATTCGGTGGTCGCGACGTTCCTGAAGCTTCAACGCGTCAGCCTCATCGTGACCCGCCTTACCCTTTTCGGACCATTACCATTCCCCAACACCACAAGCCTACCTCGTCGCCGATACACTCAAGCACACTTGATTTTGTACTAACATTATCATACAGGCGGCAAAGGTGGCAAGGGTCTCGGCAAGGGCGGCGCCAAGCGTCACCGCAAGATTCTTCGTGACAACATCCAGGGTATCACTAAGCCCGCTATCCGTCGTCTCGCTCGTCGTGGTGGTGTCAAGCGTATCTCAGCCAGTAAGCATACCCTCGTTTCATCGAGCCCATAGTCGTCTATATTAACTCACGTCCGCAGTGATCTACGAAGAGACCCGTGGTGTCCTCAAGTCCTTCCTCGAGAGCGTCATCCGTGACGCCGTTACATATACCGAGCACGCCAAGCGCAAGACCGTTACATCCCTCGACGTTGTCTACGCCCTCAAGCGCCAGGGCCGTACCCTCTACGGTTTTGGTGGTTAAGTGTATTCGTCGTCATTCTGGGTTATAAGGGGCTACTTCAGCGTTGCGCTTGCATAGTTGCCATATTCACTACTTGCTCGCGTAACACATGTAGATTGTCGCACGTTGTCACAGGATCCGTTCGGATGGTATGTAGGTCCGTGACTGTGTGGGTTGGCGTTTGGGTGGTATCTGGGTCCATGGTGTCGTTGACGATATGTTGCGATGCATCATGACTTTGCTTTACGTTAGTTCTAGTAGAACAATATGATACCTTTGATCAAGTCTTGGTTCTGGTTTGATGTGAAGCATTGATTAACAACGTGCCTATTGCGGGCTTGAAGATGCCAGGAGATGGTATGCATATGAAGAAATCATCCATGAATAATCGTGCGTTTGTTCGTTATTTATAGCAACCCACCTACACCCTGAGTCCCGACTTTGCCTATCTGCATACCATACCTAACCTGGCCCTACCTACTACTTACTACCTACCCAGCCCTACGAATCAGCATCACCACCATCAAGCATAAAAGAAATTTCACCCCCTCACCCCCCACCAAAAAGGGAAGAGAAGAGAAGAGAAACACCACCGAGACATGTGAATAGGAAATTCGTTCGTTCGCCCGTCCGTCAGCCTGTCCGCCCGTCAAAAGCCGACACGACACGATCGCTAGAATGAAAAAAAAAAAAAAAAAAAAAAAAAACGAGAAAGGGCAAGGCGAAAAAGAAGAGGAAAAAAGAAAAAGAATTGATTGGAATTGTGGAAATTATGGAAACATGATGATAAGTGCGTTTGTTAGGGGAGTTGGGGAGGGAGTTGGGGGGTGAAACAAGTAAAGCAGCATAAGTTTTTAATCGGTCAAAACAAATGCTATGTGTGTGTATGTGTGGGTTTGTGGAAAGATGCTCGCTGTCTTGTCTGTCTGTCTGCCGTTATACTGCGGTCCCCCGAATCCCGACCCCCCCAAAACCCCGAAAAAAAACCATCGCCCGATCTCGTTCGCGGTCTGTCTGTCTGCCTGGCTGTCTATTCGTAATGATCGATTGTGTAGGGAGCAGGGAGGGGCCTGGCGGTAATGGTAATTTGCCGTTTCGTGTATAGTCGTTGTCGCATGTAATGTCGTCGATCCATGGCATTGTATGCATGAGCCCAGTCCTGCTCCTGCTGCTGCTGCATGGCGCAAAAGAGGTTGAATGACGGTCTGCGGGACAATGCCATGAATCCTTTTTTTTCGTCTCGTTATATAGCTTTTCAAATGATAGACAGAATAGAAGGGAAATGGAACTGCCAGTCTAGACTAGCGTCGTCCAATCACTTTCCAGTGCAATGGCACTCACTTCCATGTACATGTTGTGCTGCTCTCGTGTAAATGGTGCGCGCAGCGAGAGAAAGTGATGCGCGAGTCGCCCGTCGCAACTACTACCTGTATCGTTTGCCGCGATGGTCGTGGATGACTTCGCGCTCAAAGACGAACTCGTCGTAGCTGGACCGAGGTGCAGGATGCCGAATCTCCTCACGTTCCCACTGAATCTCCTTGATGCGCGAGCGACGATCGCGGCGGATATCGTCTGATAGTTCGACAAGCTGGAGAACGTCCTCCTGCTATATATTAGTACTACCCCTCAAGACGAATCAAAGGATCCACTTACGTAGCGAAGGTATTCCATTACGTAGAAGAAGGAGTCTGTCTCTTCGTATTCATATCCCATTGTCTTGATTGCATCCTCAAGCACTAGATCTTTGGTCACTTCTGTCCACATGTCCTCTTTGGGTTTCGGAGGGTGTGGAGGCGCGATAGCCTTCTGACTGCTACGACTTGACCCGAAATCGGTCGCATATTCGCCGTCATCAGTGATGAATTTCGACCGGCGGTTACCGCTATATCGTTCCCAGCTGATTTCTTGTCCAGCGCCTCCTTGGCCGTCCAGACGTACACGTCTGGTGCCAGGAGGAACATCGACCAGTCCCCAATCTTTAGTGGCACCGTTGTAGGCTTCACCAGGGTAGCCGCGATCAAGTGCTTTACGGTTGTAATAGTCAGCCTCGGCTTGAATATCGTCCTCATAGTGAGGCTGTGGGCGTCGATGAGCGACTTCACGATCGCGCTCGCGTGGTGCAGCGCTCTGAGAACGATGGCGAGTGATGGAAAGCTCAAAACCCTTTTCATCACCACTAGAGTCGTCCTTGTTATCCTTGATTTCAATCTTCTCAATCTCAGACCTATCTTCGCGCACGGAGCGCGCTCTCTTCCTGTCTTTCTTTTTGGAGCGTTCCGGTTCTTTCTCTCGACTGGACTCAAAGGTGATGTCCTCGTCGTAGGACTTTCCACCAGAAGTGTGGCTAAGACAGCGTCAGTAAGCTAAAGGTTTTGGGGTAGTAGAACTGACCGTCGATGGATTGAGAGCTCAAAGTCGTCATCCTTGGGGGGCTCAGGGGGTGGTGGTGGGGGAGTCAAAGGGCGCGCGCGCTCAACACCTGCTACAATTAGACGACGAGCAAAAGTACGCAACTGGGCACATTACCATGGTCAATGTGTCGGTGATGGGTGATGATCTCCTGGATAATGGGAGGTCTCATGATGGGCTGTGGCTCCGGCGGAGGAGGAGGAGGAGATGGTGATCTAGATGGCGAGGAACTAGGCGAACGCTCGGTACGACGAATGATGATCTCTTGCTTCTCGACCTGAGGTGGTGGAGGTGGCGATGGGGGCGATGGAGGTCGCTGCTCGCGGCGTCGGTATACAAAGTCTTCACGTTCACGGGCTACAAGACGCGGAGGCGGCAAGCTACGCTCTCGCGGACGAATGACAATCGTGTCCTCATGAACATCGCGACCTCTTGGGCCTCTGCTATGCTCGTCGCGAAAGATGATCTCTTCTCTCTCGGGAGCACGAGATCTGGTGGATCTGGCGGACTTTGGTGGTGGTGGTGGACTCGAGCTTCGCTCCTCATGCCTGAAGATGATCTCGTCTCTGTCGACCTCACGGGGCCTCGACGGTGGACCCGATTCCCGCTCTTCATGTCTGAAAATGATTTCTTCCTTGTCGACATCGCCTCCACGATGCGACGGAGGAGGGCCTGGAGGACCACGCGGCCCATTTCCGGTCCTGAATCGGATCTCCTCTCGTTCCTCCTCACGAATCGACTCGCGGACAGACTCTCGTGGTGGTCCGCGTGACTCGGTCCGTCGTATCGTGATCTCTTCCTTGTCTACGTCACGGCCACGAGTGGTCTTGGAGCGGTTGGTCTTGACGCTTCGAGTATCTTCCTCTGCGGGTGGTGGAGGTGGAGGACGACGTGAGGTAGCTCTGCTCTCAACATCCTCTTCCCGACGTCTGTATATGATCTCGTCTCTTTCGACCTCACGCGGTACCTCACGCGGTGGGGGAGGCCCCCGCCTCTCTCGAAATACGATCTCTTCTCGCTCTACGTCAGTCTCTCGCGGCGGGGGAGGGCCACGCTCACGACCACTGGGCCGGCGTTCATTGCGGATGATTATCTCCTCGCGGTCCACGTCGTGTTCGCGCGGACGAGGCTTGGCTGAGGAAGCTCTCGAGCGTGCATCAAAGTCCTCGGTGTGGCTCTTGCGAATGGTCAAGGGGCCTGCTGTCGTGCGGCCGTAGTCTTCACGGAGGAAGTCAGGCTGGCTGCGTCGAGGATCACCACCATAGTCTCGACGGGAGGACTCGCGAAGCTCGACATCAAGCTCGTCGTAGCTACGCTGGGAGCGACCACCATGACTGTCGCGGTAGAAGTCCTTCTGACGCTCTTCGTAGAGCTCAGCGGTGGGATATCGTCGAGACATGGTGGGCGGTGAGGGAGAGCGGGTTGCGGGTAGCGGCGGGGTTGGAGAGATGAAGCTCGCAAGCTCGCGAGGCTGGGAAGAAGCAAGACGGGCAGTGATACACGGCACAAACGAGAGGCACAGGAAGATGTGGTGAAGAGCACAGCGAGGCCTCGACAGAAGAAGCCAACAGTCTGAATGGCTGGGCGGAAGGGTGAGACTGAATGGGGATGTGTGTCAGGTTCAGGTTGGAAAAGAGCGCGGTTGGGCAGATGATGTCAATGCGCGGGCAGGACTGGGACTTGGACTGGAAGTGGGAGGGACTGGCACTTTGGGGTTTGGGCGGGGGGCTCAGGCTGTTGTTGTTGCTGCTGTCGTTGCTGCCCTGCCCTCGCCCCGTTTAGCTGGCTGGCTGCCCGTCGTCTACCTGGTGAAGACTACTATTATTATATTTATACATACATCCATACATCCCAACGTTAATCACACACTGCGCCTCAGTCATCATGTCCTGTCCACTCACGGTCCGCCGGATGCCGTCGAGACACGTACTATGTAATTATATATGTTACCACTGTGCCTCAACCTTGAACATAGTTATAGCCTTTATTGACGTTAATCGCTGTCCAGCTGGTATTATTAGTCCAGCCTCCTGGCACAGCACGCACCCGCTCGCGCACACCTACATACGCACGCTGTCTCATGTTATATCCTCACCATTGGCTGCCGCGAACGAGTGAGCGAGTGAGTGAAAGCTGAGAGGCTGGGACGCAGACACCAGAAGCGTTTCGTCTCGTGCCGCTGCCGCAGCTCACCGGCGGCCGTTCGGAGCGGGGGTAAATGGATGCGTAGGAATGGATCTAGCTTCTAGAAACGTGGAGTCTTTGCTTGCAGATGTGTGCAGGCTGATTGCAGTGGTGGTATGCGAACTGCCATGGCCTGGGGCGAGACAGGACCTATCTTTGAGAGCTGGACGCTGTTCTTGATGTTCTTATACTGCTTCCAGGGCTTCCTGGCTCGATACTGCTCGACGACTGGACGACGAGGCGAGACTTTGTGTTGATACTTTGTCGGCCCTGGTACCGGCCAGGTAATCGATAAGCAAGACGTCATCTTGCGTAGTCGCATGCCTGGCTGGCCTGAAAGTGAAACAACATAAAACTAGGACGACTAGACAGCCCAGCCCCCTCAATTTGCCAATCAACCTTGCCGCCAGGTCATCGTATTTGAGCATCAACTCATTCGTTCCTCTCCATCCGAGCCATTTGTTGTTGCGCCTTTTCCACGTAGTGTCATCTGCTTGAGCTGCCAACCAGCTGAGTGACTGCCAGCCATTATGTCATCATGCTTACTCAGGCGTTATTCAGCGACTGACACCCGACCCTCGAGGATTCATCTCTCTCCTCTCCACTCTCAGTATATCTTGTCACGTACAACAATACCATATCCCGTCTGTCAGATGGTGGAAGGGTGAATTGTGAGTTATGCTGGGTAGAGCGAACATAAGTTCTTCGATTTGTCAAGAACTTATCACTCCACGTCGTACAAGTCATTCCAGAAGAGGATATCGCTCAGCATCTCCTCTGGCAGATTGATTGCAGCGAAGTTCTCACGCTTTGGAGTTCGTATTTGAGTATGAACGCTCGCCGCAGTTTTCCAGCCAAAGAATCCAGCCATCTCCCAGTCGACGAGACCAACAATCCGATCGTTATCAACAATGCAGTTTGACTGCGAGACATCGTTGTGCATGAGGCTGAGGTCGGAGTCTTTGTTGTCCTCTGCAAAGATGATTTCTCGTTCGAGCTCCTGAATGCCACGATGCTCGACGGGATCTGGATCCGGAATGACGTATGATCGGCGACTGGTCTCAACTGTCGGGGTTATTGTGCGCAGTCTCTGTAGTATCTCTCGTGCCTGTTGCTTGAAGGAAGTCTTCTGACGCTGCGAGATGTACTGCCATGCTACGTTGAGGCCCACTCCAGGGATTCTCTCTTGCACAAACACATCTCGTCCGTTGACCTGTCGACAACTTAGTAGTGCATAGGCCAAACAGACATATTCTACTAAGCGTATTGGAGAGTGAGTAGGTACCTTGGCTGCGAAATAGACCCGAGGGACTTTTGTGGTGCCATCCAACACCGTCCTCGCAAGAGCAATTGCCTCGACCTCGTTCGCATCGGCGTACGAATAGTCGCGGTGAGCCCGTCGCCCTTGGAGCAGCTCCTTCAGGTGACTAGACTTGACAATCACGCCCCCGAGCGCAAACACATCGCGCCCTCCGTCCTGGTTCTCGTAGATTCTGGTCGACTCGGTGCATTTCGCAAGGACCGTAGACCAGTATTCTAGGGCCTCGGGCGTGGTGCGATTGATGTGCTTTGCATCAGGCACGAAGTCGGTGGGCTGGGGACGGTAGCGGCCGTACAGAGGCACGTCTGCGTAGCGGTCTGTGGGCGGTATGTTGTCCGGGTTGGCTTCGTATGGGTTCATTGTGTGGGTGTTGTTGGATTGATGGACGGTGACGTTACGTGCGAGGACGGTACATCCAGCAGAGAACCACGAGCCGCCCACAAATCCATGTGCACGGGCCGTATCTCCGCTCCCAACGGTCGCCTGCCATGTGATTTCACCTTAGCAAGACCTACTTCTCAAACTCTATTTGTCCTTCTATCCTCCTGCTTATGTGAGGCGTACTTGTAGTCTACTTTAACGCCGTATACTGAAAGCTGTTATTTATATTATGCTTGCATATCATCTTCTACACAACCCAGTCAACACACCATTCCACGTGCAATATCAGCCAGCACATGCGAAAGGCGCGGAACACGAGGATACCATCCCGCGGGTACATCGAGTAACGTAACCCACTAGCCACAAACAACAGATATCCAACACCATCTTTCCACATCCAGCCTAGCGCGAGCCCTATATCGCCTTCTAGAACGACTACCGGGGGTCGGCAATATCATAATCACGAATCTAAAAAAGGGGGGCGCGCGATCCCATTTCCCATCTCTCAAACCCCAACCGCGCTACGCAATAACACAATAGATTCGTTAGTTAGCCAGGTCCCTTGAAATGGGAGTGCTTTCAAAGCATATAGCGTAGCGGCGGGTTATTGCCAGTAGCCCCCTGCTTGCTTGCTTGCTGTATAAAGTCCTTGGCCCCGAGACTGGCTATTCACTGGTATTTTCGTTCTGTTTTGTTTCGTCCTGTTTCGCCTTGTTCAGTTTCGTGCAATACACACACACACATACACCTCGTCGCTCTTTAAGCAAATATCTCCCCCAACCACGCTCGCTCACCACCACACCAAACCCACCATGAAACCCACCACCACCACCACCCCGCTCCTCGCCCTCCTCACCCTCCTCACCACCCCCCTCCACGCCCAATCCCCCACCACCACCGTAGTCTCCATGTTCGGCCTCGCCGGCGCAAACTACACCGCCTCCATCATCGCCATCGCCTCCTCCACCACCACCCTCCAGCTCATCTGCCCGTCCGCCCTCTCCTCCCTCTCCCCCGCCTCCAACGACGACGAACAAGACTACGCCTGCTACGCCCCCACCCTCACCGTCACCACCGCATCCACCTTCTTCGCCTTCGACTACACCGATCTCGACAACGGGAATACCGTTGGGGGCCCGATTACCTGTTCGCTTGGCGGGACGACGGCGGCGGCGTGCACGCAGATGGCGAGTGGGGTCGTGGATGGCAGTTCGTTTAGTACGAGTGGGGAGTTTAGCGTTAGTGCGCCGGAGGATTTTGTCTGGGTGCCTGTTACGATTACGGGGGGGTTGGAGAAGATTGGTGGGTTTTTATGCTTTCTTTTTGCGGTTCTGCGTTCTTGCTGTGTTTTTGGGGCTCTTTGGGGGGGGGGGGTGTTTTGTGCTGACGTTGTGATGGGTAGAAAGTGCGACGCGGACGGGTACGGGGGCGGCGGCGCCGACGGGGTCGCAGGGTGCGGCTGCGGAGGTGACGGGTGGTCGGGCGAAGGGGGTGAATGCGGTTGCTGTTGGGGCTGTTGGGGCGGCTGTTTTGGCGTTTGCTGTTTGAGGTTTTGGGATGTGGGAATAGGGGGGGTGGGATGGCGGGAGGGGATGGCAGAGGGACGAATGTTTTTATAGCTGTTGATGTAGACAGAGTGTGTATATGCTTTTAATATGTACGTTTGATATATACGCTGAACACATACAATCATATCCACATATGCAAGCCTCGTTTCCGATTCTATACTCAAGGCCTGGTTCTCGCGTTCTCGGGTGGGATTGGGCTTTAGAACGTTGATGATATACTTCTTACCTGCTTTGCTTATATTCTCCTAATTCATGTATAGGTATGAAAGCGAGGTAAGAGTAGGGACGGGTGTGGACTATAGGGGAACAGGGAAATATAAGATGTGTAAGAGACAGTATAGAGACATGGAGGATAGAGAGTAAAAGAACGAAAAGAATAAACAACGTAGGAAAGCACGTAGTCCTCTTGGCTTTGAATGTTGTTTGTTTCAATATCTAGGTTCAAGTTGGTTGGTCTGTCCAGGTATCGATTCAGAGATCAGGAACAAGTAGAGTCCTGTCTGGTCTGTCCAGGCATCGATTCCGAGAGTAGGAACAAGTAGAGTCCTGTCTGGTCTGTCCAGGCATCGATTCCGAGAGTAGGAACAAGTAGAGTCCTGTCTGGTCTGTCCAGGTATCGATTCAGAGAGTAGGATTAAGTAGAGTCCTGTCTGGTCTGTCTGGTCTGTCTGGTCTGTCTGGTCTGTCTGGTCTGTCTGGTCT